GAGAGTTGTGACTGCAGGAAGAGGGCATCCGTGGGCTGTGAGGCGGGGGCCACCTTCAGCAAAAGACTAGAGAAACGGGGAGAACGCTTGGAGCTGCCGGGTCGGGTCAGCCTGCTCAGGTAAGCTCCGAATGAGCCAGGCCTGCAGGACGATGACAGGACACACTTTGGGAAATGACACCGAAAGGGAAGCTCTGTGCATCCAGATCCACACAAATATTGCTGGAGCCCGCCGGGACCTGACGCATTCAGCAAATGATTGTTTTATGTCCTCTGACCTTTCCAAGGCTTTATGGATGGTGGATAAAATGGGAAAAAAGGAATTCATTAAAAAGCACCCTCTAGACAGCCTGCCCGAAGTGCCTGGCCCCTGGGCCAGAGCTACGTCAGGAGTGACCACGTGCAGAGGGTGTGGGGCGGAAGTTGCCCTCTCTTGGCCTGGGGGCCTTCAGACCACAGGGACCTTCGGGGTGACTGTGCCCAGTGCTCCCCTCACCCACAGCAGGGGCGGGGTGCCTGTCAGAAGGGACTGGGTCTGGTGCTGCCCCCTGCAGGACACCAGTGGGGTGAGGGCCTCACATGCTCTGCCCCCTGGCTGCTGGGCCTCAGATTCGTGGGCAGGAAAGCAGAGCTAGTCATCTCACTCTGGGGCTGGCATTTCTCCACCAAGGGGCCTGCCCAGGTTTGAGGACACAGAAGTTCCACTGAACTCTGGTATTTGCAGTGGCTCCTTGGGAGGCCTTCAGAGTTAAGGGAAGCCTCAACACGGGCGTCTAATCAAATGGGACTGTGCCTTCCTAGGAAGAGGAGGGGAGACCAGAGCTGGGACACGCATCTTCCCCTGAGATGCCCTGGTCACCCTGGGAACCTGCAGAGACCCCTCCCACAAGAAGGGGCCCACTGGATGCGGTCCACATCTGACACTTCCCAGGCATGGTGCGGAGCTGAAGAAGCCTTCATTCCTTCCCACATCTTCGGTCTGTGGTCTTGAGCTTCAGCAACTGAAGGGACAGGAACATGTCTGCAGGCAGTGTGTTTCTGGCCATCCTGCACAGCTGGGGTCGGCCTTGGAGTTCTGCTTCTCCGAGCCTGGGCTGTGGGCCCTGCTGCCAAGCAGACCGAGGCTGCGGTGGCTGTGGTGCTGTGCATTCGCCACGCAGCACCTTCAGGTCTGTGGTTTCCAACCTCTGGGGCCATCTCAGCCTTGTGCGTGCTGCATGAGGGTGGCAGTGTCCAGTCCCACAGATGCGGTGAGGAACGTGGCGGCCTGGGTCAGATCGACCCCCGTGCAAAGAGGGCACTGGGAGGCACCTTGCTGATAAACTTCCATTTGGAGACCTTGTATAGGAAACGGTAGGTCCCAGATCAGAACGGGCTACGCTGCCAACACAAACTTCCAGCGTTTACTTCACAGTGTCAGTCTGACTCTCAGGAAACGGCCAATTGTCACAAACTCTCCACAAGAGCTTCTCACAACGCAGGAAGAGCAGCAATGCCACGCTCAATGGCATTTTAGGAAACTACCGTGGCAAATGAAGGTGTAAGAGAATGTACCGGAGAAAGCTTGTCATCTGTGGGGCTGATGGTGCTGTCAGCGCCATTGTGGCTGTTGCGTCTCCCTGGTGAGAGCAGGGAGGAAGCTGTGAGGGACCTGTGCCTTCACAGAGCCCAGAGACATGAAAGGAATCTGGTGTGCAGAGGTTCTGGCCACCGACGGCCTCAGCCTCCGTTCAGCAGCTCTCCGGGGAAAAGAACGTTTCATTTGAATTCTTGATGGAAGCTGGCATTTTGACAGAAGAGTTGGCCCTAATGCAAAAATGAAGTTTCCATGAAAAAGCACCTTTCCGGTGAGGACCAATTCTGAGGTCTCAAGCTGACAAAGGCAGAAGTGTGCTTGTTTCTGTCCAGTTTACTTGAGAATCTTGAACCATGCATTGTATTACATTTTCAGTGGAAAGACCACGTTCTCTCTCTGTGTACCGTGTCGGGGGCTTCCGTGATCGCTTGTTTGGGGACACTGGGCCTCGGTGTTGCTCAGGAGCAGACACCAATGTGTGCTGGGGCTGTGACTCGGGAGCTTTACGGACTGGGGCTCAGGCTCCTCTACACACCCTTCAATGTCTCTCTCTTGCACCCAGGCAGATCTCAGTGTCCTTACACATCAGCCTGAGAAGATTTCTCAGTTAACCCCACATAGCAAAGGATCTTCTAATGTTCCTTTTGGAATTAGTTAAAGGTTCATTCTGTATCTGAGACCATCTGGAATCATACGCGGCCAACATTCAGGTCATTTGCCAAGACTTTGGTAGTAAGTTAAAACTCAAATTCCAATTATAACACAAGTTGTTTGTATGTCAGGATGGTCGTAACTCAAGGGTCCACCGTATTAAGCAGCAGCTCCTAAGCCAGCCTCTGGCAAATGCTGCCTGCTGCTGCGGCGGGGGTTGGGGAGCCAAGCAGGACTGCATGCCCAGGCAACAAACGCTTTATTCGCATTTTCTCCACACCTTCAAGGCCTGACTTGAGGGCAGCTCTGGAGTGCAGATGGCTCCATGAAAGCTCCAGGATCCTTCTTGGGCTTCCTGGCAAGCCCTCAGTGACTGCCACGTCCTCATTATCCATCTGCCCCACCTCAGATGTTGGTGCAGCCTTCCTGGGCAACGGTGACACCTGGCAGGACTTAGCTAGGGAAGAAGCAGCACAGGGACCCTACAGTCTTGTTGCAGACTCACACCGTGATGGTATTAGAGACACCACAAATATAGGAAAGGCAAAGTTGTAAAGGTTGAATATGTATACATTAAGTGCTAGTATCTTACTAGTGCTCAAAATAGCCTCTGCACTGGAAAAGATCCCACTTGGGCTTGTGTGGTCCTCTCTTGAAGTCTGGAAGTTGTTTTCTCGGGAATATTTCAGTTCTGGTATCCTTTGACTTGGTCGTCTTCTTTTCACACCTATTTTCCTATGTCTGGTCTTTGCTAAATGTGCTACAATTTGCTTTCTGGAAATTCCCTGTCAGCTTTTCTTTAGAAGAGACAACTCACCAGATACAGGGAGCACCACCCCTCGGTTGCCAGGGAATCAGAATGTCACCCCAGAGCCACCAGGAGGACAGAGCTTATTGTAGAGACAGAAGTTGCTGCTTTTTGTGGAGAATAGCACACGCTGATTAATTCTCTAGAAGACTCTGCAAACTCTGCCTTTATTAATTTATTTAACTTTTTTTGAGACAAGGCCTCACTCTGTAGCCCAGGCTGGCCTTGAACTGATGGCGATGCTCTTGCCTCAGCCTCCTCTGTGCTGGTGTCGAGGCGTGCGCCATGATGCCTGGCTGTGCTCTGCTACTGTTTTAAAGGCCCACATCCACTGTAAAGTTTCCCTCTTCAGCAACTTTTCTGTTGGCAGTTCTTCCTGGCATATTGAGCACCCACTTGGGAAAGAGATAAAGCCAGAAGAAGCAGTTTCTTACTTCCGCAAACAGCACAGCATAATGAAAATAACTACTTTTGTTATTTCACGCAAAAAGGCAGAACAAAGAACATCTTTTCAATCACTTTGCAAGATGTGCTTTATTTGGAGTCAGCCCTGAACCCAGACCACACATGATCACACTTTTTACATATTCTAGCTCATTCAATGATTCTTCTCAGAAACTGTATTTTTAATATGGAATGAAAACTACATTTCAGTCATAAATGTTTCATGCTACATTGTTATTTCAGGAGGAGGTTGTATTACCAATGATAATAATTTAAGAAAAGGCCATTTTTATTTCCCCAAGCTCAATATACATATTTCTTTCATAATTATGAACTTAAAAAACCCATCTCAGATGTAAAAATGTTAATTGGAATATGTAAACTCTTTGATATACCTGAAAAACCGGAAGGAAAATGTCACATACTGGAAAAACCCTTGCCTTAAATCATCAAAGTGGGAGAGAGCGTGTGGAAGGCGGGGTGGGGCGGGAGCACCCGTGACCCGTGGTGGGAGAGGCACCTGTCCCTGTTCCCAGCTGGCTGTCTCCATGTCCTGTTCCCATCTGCTCTCTGGCCAGAGCAGGAGCCATCGGAAGCAGGCGGCCTGCACTTCCTGCAGGGTCCCCTGGGACCTCCACCACGCAGGTGGCTGCATATTGGTTTTGCTGCTTTTCTTGATTTTTCCTGAGAAGTCACTGGTGTTTAATGGAAAGATTTCTTATTCATCTTCAGTTAAGATAAGGCAGTAAGAGTATCTGTAATGTTATCTTTTTGCTTAGAGTGAGGCTGGCTTTCTGCAGGCGTCTTCGGGGGCTCCCGGTTCCCTCCCTCTTGCTTGGGAACATGGCCAGGATCCTGCCTATTACTGCTGCTGCAGATTTGGGCTGCTGAAGAGTACCGAGCTCCTTCAGTGCATCCCCAGCTGGTTATGAGCTGGCAGTGGCCTCACAGTGTTGCCCCAGGAGACACATGGTCCCCATAGGGTGAAACACGACCTCTGTCCTTCTTCCTGCTCTGTGTGTCTGAGAGGAGGAACCTATACCTGGATCTTCCATGTGCTCAATCAGAATGCAAGACACCATTGATAAAACATCAAGCAAGTAGCCCTAATTCCAGAGAAAGGGGATTACAAAGAGTATCTTCAGCAGCGCCTCCACTTGCAAGGAAGCGCGGGCTGCAGAAGGAGGTCAGCTCCCTTGCTCACCCATCAGGGGAGAAACCGATGCCATGGAAGTAGAAATGCGTAGCTCTCAGGAGAACATTGTGCTTTTGTAAAAACAAATTCAAACGTTAGCACGACTTGCAGTTCGGGCCCACACCGTCAGTTTGTCTTCTCTCTGGTCCATTTGATCATTGTCTCTGGTGAGCGGTACAGGAATATTAACTTGGCATAGAGATCTTCTTCTAGTTCCAGTTCCCCTGTCTCTCGAACTAAAAAAATATCTGTGCATAACTTCAGAATCCGATCCACATTCGGAAGCTCTTCGAACATGATGGAGTGGGAGATGCCGCTGAAGAACTCACGGACAAACTTCCCAATCACCAGGACGACCGAAGCGTATAATCCCATGATGCTGGAAAAGAGGAAGCAGGTCCGCACCAGGCAGTTAGCTACGGCCCAGGAAATGCGGGAACCATGTCTATCCGGGAAGACGCGGAATGCGACAGAAATGCCACAGTACTACCAGACTCTCCTGAAACTAGCTCTTTCCCTTTAACGACTCTGCCTTTTTCAGAACTTCACTCTTAGAATACAACTCTGGGTGGAAAATGACTTCTTCTGAGGCTAACTCTGGGAAATACATTGTTGACTCGTGTCCGGTGGGAGACGTGTCTCAGCCCCAGTCAGGCCATGAGGAGACCGTCGGACGTGCTCACAGTTGACATCTAATTGGGCCATGTGCTAAGGGTCAGAGGGCAAGGAAAGCAGGAAATCACGCCAATCACCAGATTTAAACACTAAATTTCATCAAGCAAGGACATAACAGGAAGGCACACAGTGAAGAAGCCATCCACAGTCTGGGGTTGTGTGTGACATTAGATGTTCTGATGTCTTTGAACCTCTGGTTCCCTTTTTTTCTTTGAAATCAAGGGGTGAGGCTATGTGAATTTTAATACTGCAGCTATACAACTTGAGAATTCTAAGAAACAAGGCATTCTCACCCACCACCTTGTAGGGCTGAGAAGCAGATGTGTGACTGCTGGGGACTGAATGAGTCCTTACCCGTAGCCGGCCAGGAACCCCAGGCTGGGCGGGCTGACCTTGTCGTTGAAGACCATCAGCTCCAAAGCCTGAGACTCCTGGTCATATATCCTGTTGCCAGTCAGATTGAGGACCCACCACTCACTGTTGGACTTAGTCGTGTTGTCTCTGGACAGAATGATGGTGATATTCATGAAATCTTTTTCTGAAAAGAGAAAAGCCAAATCAAGTCAGCATGAGAGGTAAGAGTTCTAGGACCGGATACAGCCGGCAGCTCTCAGGTGGCCGGGCCTGCTCACTGGCTGCAGCACGTGGGTTTGGGATGAACACACTGATCACGCTACCAGAGACAGCACCGGCCCCTAGGTGTGGGCGTTGTCTCTTTTTCCATGAAGGAGCTTGGTGGCCGTCATGCACGTGTACAGGGGAGTCGGAAGGTCCACCCCTAGCTGCCGTGCCTAGTACTCCAAACAGTTACGAGGACATCTGACCCAGTCACTGACTTCTGGTACAACGGACCTATTCATTAATATTCTCCACCTCCTGGAAGCGCTGTCAGGGCCAAAGACTGTCAAGTTGCACATATCATTGTTCCTTATCTTCATGGGAAAATACCACGTGTGCAAGCATAGTTTATGGTCACACAGCAACTACCCTAGGTCCGGCATGTTCGGGTCTCTCCACTTAGGCAGACCACTGTTGGCTGGTGTGACTCTTGAGTGTTTCAAAGAAGGAGTGACCTCTGAGCCATGTTCGGCTGGGTGAGAACTTCAAGGTGGGCAGGTGGGATGGGACTGGCACTCATTTCAGGGAGGACTGGTGGCACGAAGCTCTGCAAAGCTCTGAAATTATAACATATGGCCAGCGAATGCTTCTGCTGGACCATAGGGTGAATGCAAAACAACAGCAAAAGACGGGGCAAACGAAAAACAGGGCTATACAGTGCATGAGCTTTCTGAGAAGATTCCAGCACCTGTCCTGGAGACAGTGCCTCCACTGGGAAGCGTGGCAGTGACTGTGAATTCTGCAAGAGAGCAAATCACGTTTGTCTTACTCCACGATAGCTTTCAATCCTAAGAACCTAGGACAGTATTCGGCAGAAAATGTCTTATGGATGGATGGATGGAAAGATGCATGAGGGGTAAAAGAGTGGATGGACAGAGGGACAAATGAAGGGATGGATAAGTGGAAGGATCAATGGATGAACGGATGGGCGGATGGAGGGACAGGTGAAAAGGACAGCAGGACACTCCTGAAGCTAAAACTCTGAGCAAGAATTAAAGCTCAGGGCACTCAGGAACAGGGTCATTCTGGCTCTGACGTCCAGAGACAGGTACAAGGGGAAGCATCTGGTCCTGCCCAGACCCAGGTCTGGATCTAGTTCTGCCAAGTACTGGTTGTATGACTTTGGCTGCGTAAGCCATACCCTGAGCCTCAGTTTAACCTCCAACCTGTGCTACCTCTACCCATGGTGACCTCACAGACAGGCACGAACATCAGTGTGGGGGAGGAGTGGGAAGCACCAGGGAGCTCAGTGACATTGCAGGTGGCGTCGGGGAGTGGCAGGGGCTGGCCCCAGTGCAGGCTGACCTCTAAGGGCAGGGAGGATGCCCCCTTCGTCGAGCCCGCAGGGAAGGAGGAAGGGCACTGTGAATACCCGGCATTTCCCAAGGGGAGGGAGGGAGCTCAGGGAACATCTCCTGGACAGTGGAGATCGTGCTGGAAGCCAGCAGGTCACTGGCCAAGACGCTGAGGCAGGGAGAGCTTGAGGGCAGACAGAATCATCCTGAGGCCTGCTTGTGAGCAATGTGTAGTCTCGCAGTAAACAGTTCCAGAAGAATTTCTGAGTAAAAGGGATAGGCCCAGTTTACCTCACAGTGACAGGACGCATCTTGAGAAACCTGTCGCTAGACAGCCATGCCATCGTGCAGCCGTCACACAGCACTGACAGAAACTGATGGTGTCCTGCCTCACACCCAGGCTACACAGTATATGCCATCGCATATACTGCACGTGTGTACACCCCACACGGTGTACGCCATGTCACGTGTGTGCTCAGCACTGGCCGGACACCTCAAGGCACAGGACTGTCACCCAGGGACATCGCCTGCTCACCCTCACTGTGACACTGGAGGATGATGCTAGGTGCCCGACAGCCCTCAGGCCAAATCAAGACAATGTCACATTGCCTTTTACTGTTTCTCGGGAGGGAGCAGCGAGAAGGATGTTTGAGGTTGCTGACAGAAGCGAGTGAAGAGACTGGTGCACTACCACCGCGGCCCACTAAATCTAGGCCCGATCATCAGAGGCTGCTTTGGCAAAGAGAAAGAAAACAAAGAACAGGGCTCAGAGGTGTGCACAGGTACACGAAGGTTTTTGGTTCTTTTCACACAGGGAAAGTAGCTTGATAAAGGCTCCAAGTATGAACTGTTGAAACTGGATAAAAATAAGATTTTAAAAAGTTCTGAAGTAAGTTCTTGTTCCTACCTGATAAAAGCTGCTTTATAGGTTTTGAGTTAGAGTCGCTCGGTGCTTTCACGTAATATGGGTATATCTTTTCTATTGTCCTGTGGTGAGAAAAAAGCACAATGAAGTTTTAGTTAAACTTTATTGCTATTTTTGACCTCCTATCAATGATGAAAGTCTTCGTAGACAATGCAATACATCAGCATCTGAAGCTGTGATACTCAGAATCCCTTGACGCTGAGTGGATTCATGGCTCCCATCCAGATTCACAAGTGAACTCAGCAGCAAGTCAACGGCTGCAACCAGGCTCCTGGGTGTCCCAGGTCTGTCACTTGTTTCTGACACCAAGGGGTTCTCCTTCCTGCTAGAGCTTATCCATAACGCTGCATGCTCTCCTGCTGGAACTGTAGGACTTTGGGGTTATCTATGATCCTCTGGATGGCATGAATGAATCTGGTAGGAGTGAGGGAAATGTGGGACTTGGACTCCAAGCTGCATCTGCCTCTAGAACCCAAGTGTTCTCATCTGAAAACCACAGAGAGGATTGGATGATCTTCAAGAACCCTGAACTTCAGCAATTCATGAAGAACACCTTTTCATCTGGGGACTTTCAGAGACTATGTCCTGGTGGTCCTTATGCTGAACACATTGACACAGGGCCGGGACAAACCGCAGGACAAAACTGGAGGCTGCTGGTGTATGTCAGGAATAGGCTGTGTAGCAGTTTTAGATCAATATCATTGCTTCTTTAATTTTGTGATGATGGGATTGACCTGAGCCTGCTGCAAGTGAGGCAAGTGTTCAATCACTGAGCCACATGTGGGTCCAACATCATTTTTTCTTGCTAGCTCTCATACTGGATTCTAAACCTCACAGCTCCTGTCTGAAATGCAGCACATACAAAATGCAGCTTAAAAAAAAAACAAAAACCCACGGTGGGGCTGGGGATTTTGCTCAGCGGTTCCAGTTCCATGGCCTGCCTTGAAAGCGCAAGGACCCGAGTTCGATCCCCAGTACCAAACAAAACAAAACAAAAACAACAACAACAAAAAAAAACCCACAGTGAATGCTTGAACTAAAGAAAAAACCTTTTATGACAATAAACACCATGTTGCCGTGGATCCCTCCCCAAGTCTCCCCTTCACTCTGAACACCACCCCACTGTTCCTGCCACTTTCTGAAGCAGCTCTGCAAGTTCTCTTTCTTGACTGCCTTGTGCTGTTGGGGCTGCTCCAACGTCCCGAATGATTTAAAACCCTTTCATGGTCATTCTGACTTTGGGGAAGAGCCACAAGTTCCACAGTTCTGGATCGGATTGAGGACACAATGTCACATCTTTAGGAGCCTGCCTTTCCATTAGTTGGCATTTGACAGCAGCATTCATCATATTTTCGATCACACCTTGTAGACACTCACAAAAGAGGACTCCCAGAGTGTGCTCAGAGTGAGGGGAGGGTTTTGAGGAAGGTTCATGGCAATATGTCTTTTAACATAATCATTAAAACAATTTAAACATTCACTATTTTTTATCACATTGTGTACATGATGAAGTAACATTTTGAAGTCTAGTTTTTCTCCTCAGTGTTTGCTGACCCTTGTGCCCCCTGCCCACCTGACCCCAATTCAGTCGGCTTGGTATTCAGACCCTGGCAGGCAGGAGGCACAGAGGGAAAAAGTCTTCTCTGGCCTTTGGTGCCTATGGCCAGCCAGGAACAAGGTCTCACTGCTCCCTGGGCCGCTGGCTAGAGGCATTTGAGGGGCAGGAATATGGGGGACAGCAGGGCTCCCTCAGAGAGAATCTAGCTGTTCCCCTTTGGAGTGTGGTGAAACAGTCTACACTGCACAGCGTGTGGTCCACAGACCCTCTCCTGAGAGCCCGCCATACAACTACCTGTGAATTTGCGGGAAGAGGTGCTATAGCAGCCAGCCACCCTTCTGGCCTGTATGCAGATGTCCCCAGAGCCTCAAGGGCTCACAGGTGAGGTTTTCAAAGGTGGCTGGATCTAGGATACTGACGCTTAATTAAGAATATGACCGTGGGATGAAGGGTGCCCAAGCTAGTGTGAGTGCTGCCCCAGGGCGGGTAGCCTGGATGGGACACAGGGGCAGAAAGGGAGCTGCAGTCCTCACTGCTGCCGTAGCTTCCACTTGGCCGCCTGCCACCTCCTGCCCCCTCTGCCAGGCCACCCTGAAGCAGCTGACTGGACTGTAACCTCTGCAGACTGTCAGCTAAAATAAAGCTTTCCTCCTTTAAGTGCAGGTGTCAGATATTTTGTCTCAGGAGTGAGGAAAATAACCAAGACCCCCATGGAAGCCATGCTCACTGGGAAAAAAAGACTTACACAGGTGTTTTTGAACTTTCCGTGTCATTGCCAGCAATCATTTTAGCTATACTCTCTCGTGTGACATTTTTAAGAGGAAATGTGAGTTTATCTGTTGCTATTTCTGCTTTTGCACCCAGAGTCATGTTTCTGTGAAGAAAAAGAAAGAAAGAAAAAAGCACAATGTCAGTGAATAGTCAGAAGTCTGGGAGAGATTTCAAACGTCACTCGACTCCTAATTCTAGTCCCCTCCCCAGGGCTGCAGGCCCACAGTTGTCACCCCAACCCCTCCTGTCCGTCTCACCTCCATATTCATCTTTGCAGGAAACCACATTAATAAAGCCTGGGGAGGCCATAAACACTTTTGAAACAAATGGGGACGGCATGGTCTGTCGGCTGAGGGAACAGTGAAACTCATGTTCTAAAAGGAATGTTCAATCAGAAATTGAATCTTAAAAATATTTAGCACTTCAAATAAAAAACTAGGAGGTAAAATTTTGGCAGTTAGCACAGAAATTGATGAGAAATTTGGGACACTTTCAAGGGGAAGAAGGAGATTAAGGAGTTCTCTAACTCTGAAAACCCTCACTGAAGAGCGCTGTGTTCTTGTGAATTTACTTTGGAGTCCAGGAAGCTTTCTTCTGTCTGCTCTGTGAACTAAGCAGTTGGCAATGCACACCTACTGCCTGCTGGTGTGGAGCCCTGAACATCAAGTCCTCGATGGCAGAAACCTGGTGGTCAGCGGCAAGGTGTCCGGGGCTCTCACTAAAGTACTGGACACCAACTCTGCACGAAGGAGCTCTTTCTATGATGCACTCTGTCCCCGAAACTGCAGACAAGGCAGAGGCCGTGTGCTGGCCTGGGCTCCTGTCGTGGGGGTGACTCTCAGCTTGCTCTGCCCCTCCTGGGTGCCAAGGGGCCCTGAGACCACGAGCTGAGGGAAGAGACCTTCCAGGGCTTCGCTGCTGGGCCAGGGATGCAAGAGGTAACCCCAGCTCCAGGGGATGCGATTTCTTTATTACCGAGACCAAACTTCAACCTTTTATGGAGATCTCGGTTCACCCAGACTGTTTTGTTTTATAAATCTTCACCCTCTTTCTCGGCTATTTATTTTTCTGTCTTGTTCACAGAACTTACTGCCAGCCACCTTCTAAGAACTGAAGTCAAACGTATATATATATATAAAGTAAGATGGTCTGGTCATTGGTCCCTGGACAAGTCGCTGTTCAATCAACAAAAGGGCTGGCTTTGGCATTAGAAGGGGCTTCTCAGGGATTAACTATCGTTCCACATCCGCCTAACCCTCTACCCTCCTTCCCCCACCCCACCGGAGCTGCGCCTGGGAGAGAAACAAACGATGCACGGAAACACAGTAACTACCTCTGGATACTCCATGAAAAAACAACAGAGAAGCTACTATTGGGGTCCGTGAGCTCCTGTATCATTTTCTGCTTACTGGGAGGGCTGATGGTCCACAAAGAATTTGAGTTTCCTTCCAGTTCTGCTACTGTTATATCTTCTCTTTCATAATTTTCCAGAAATTGCATAGCACCCTGTATGCACACAAAAGCACAGGCATAAATAGATCTCGGATCCGATGCTGGGGAGACAGCAGTGACTGCCTGTTACTGACTGCACAGAGGATTTCCTCCCTCAGGGGCCACCTGTATCGTTCAGACCTTAAGCCTCCACTGTCCTTTGTCCCCGATCCCCAGGCACCCTCCTACTCCCTTCCAATGAAACAACCAAGGAGAGCCAGGTCACTGGGAACACTTTTCCTTCCACGGAGAAGAGTGCTTATCAACAGAGGCAGCCCACCTTCTCATGAGACAAACATTTCATTCACCCAGGTATCCCGTCTTCAAAGATCCCTTTTGGCAATGCGCATTTTTGGTACAGGAATGTTATCTGTTTACCTAATCACTCCCTTCAATTAAAAACATTATCTGAAAAGTTACTTTTGATGATGAGAACTACTGTCTCATTTCATTGAAAGCTTCAGATGTAGAGAAAGGAACACATAGTATCAGGTATAACTCAGCTACTAGAGCACTGGCATTGTTCTATATAGCAAGGGATGGATTCTGGCTTTTTACCATTAAAAAAATAAGTCTATATCCTTCTAATTGATGTAACTTGAGAAATGGTCACGGTCACATTCTTTACAGTCTGTGTAATGGTTATTTTTTATTACAATGGAAGTTGCTTGAAGAGTTCCAGCCAACAAAGCACACACATGAAGTAAGAGGAAAGCTCTCCCTTCCTGGGACTGTGGGCACGTGACCAGTGTTGCTCAAGTCCCTTTAACACCTCCATCCTAGTCTGCTTCCCCTACCACTCTTTGCTGAGCCCTCAGACTGCTTCCCATTTCCATTCATATAGACAATGCATAAGCAAGTACTTACAGATCACTTTTCCAAATTTTGAATTACTGTCTTAGGGTAGATTCCCAGAGTGGACCTACTGATCCAAGCATCAATATCCACCACAATTTAAAAAGTTAAAAAAATGGATCCATACAGATTGACCTTACATTAAAACATTATAAATTCAAATTATGATTTACCACCATTTATATCCAAGAACACAGATGCAACGTACTTAGATGACCACAGTGGCCAGGACCCTGCCATATAACTGATAATCCCAGAAAGGTTCCCCACCCTCTCACCGCAGGTGGAGCAGAGCAGGAGACAGCCTGTGAACTCCCCCAAACAGAAGGTCTTCCTAAAGATCCATGATGTGTGTTTACTTACGGTGTCCCTAGAGAACTTTTTTATAAATGCAGCAAACCTCTGGCTGTCCATGACTTTCAGCTGGCTTTGTTGGGCACTCATTGTGAAAATCGGCTGGAAAACAGAAGTACACAGTGCTGTCAGTGCCTCCCAGCTCTTCTTTGTGTCCTGGGTCCAACACTGACCTTGTCCATCAGCCTGATTCCCGGAAGGTAGCTGGCCTCAGGCCTCTCTTTCTGAACCGGTTATCCCTGTGCTGAAAGCCAGATGGAGCAATGCTTTCTCTGCGCACCTCAATGCATATGTAATAGCGTGATGGATGGCCAGCATTTAGCCAGGGCATTTGGGCCAGCAGTTCCCTCCCCACTAAATATCCGAACAGCCACTCACGCAGGAATTCGGTCTGGGAAGGGTGGGGGCAGGTGTGCTCCAGGTTACCTGGTACCCTCCCAAGGTGATCGTGACAGAGACGTCCAGGGGCTGGTTGATAACCCCAGCGACAGACTTGATCAGAGACATGAAGAGCAGAGGAAACCAGACGATGCAGATGAGCAGGACGATGATCATGCCCCCCATGCCGTACTTCACCACTTTCTTCTTCTTCTGGCCCCGTGGCTGAGGGTACCTCTGCAGCGGAAGAGTTCAGAAAGGCTCAGGCAAGGCCGACTCGCAGCAGGCGGGAGAGAGGCGGGTGGCAGGGGTGTGGGCCCCTCCTGATCTGCTCTGCTGGCTCCGACAGGGGCACCACCATGGTGTCCAGCCTTGAAACTGTGCTGAGCCCGCCCTATCCGTACACCTGCCCAACGCTGCCCTCAAGCTACCCTATGCGTTCTGCTGGTGATGAGCCTGCAGACCAACGCATCCCTTATCCTGCTGGATAAACCTGCTTTTAAGGGATCACACGAGAGAAGACATTTCAAGTTTCGGAATATTTAAAACCTGTGTTTTCAACCCTCCTGCATGTGCACCTGGAGAGTAGGAAGATATTACTCTTGGTTTAATCCTGACCACCCTGCCCCAGTGGTTCAGGCCCTACCATGAGACGTGCCCCACCCCCAGCACCTCCAGGCTGAGTTTGGAGGCCGAGAGCGGGTGGAGGGCGTGATCTGCACTGCCCTAGGGGTCGGTGCTGAGACTGGGCTGTGCTGTGTGCGGAGGCGGTCAGCCCCTCCAAACTTACAATGAGACACCCAGAGGTGGGCCAGGCAGGCCCCACCAATGGGGACCAGAGCTCTCTGTGAATCGATGCATTCGGGAGACCAGGGACGAGGGGTAATGGGTCATTTGCAGTGGGTCTGCTGTGCCAGCCGGCTACGTCTCCTGTGTGCTCCTGTCTTGCCATGTGACGCCCGGGTCCAGCACAGGCCTCTGCCCGTGAGAGGGCAGCACCAGGGTGCAACAGAACCATGAGCCCCAACAAGCCTCCTATGTGAACTCCCTCCTCCTGTGCTCTGATGCTACCAGCAACAGCAGGCGGCACATACAGACTCCCCATTTACTGGTAGTCAGCCCACCCCGCCCTGCACTGGGCTGATCTGGGGCGCCTATTCCCCGAAAGGAGCCCACCTAACCCAGCAGATAAGAAAAAGAAGAAACAGCCCCACATTGGACCTAAGGGGCACCGAGCTGAAGGCTGCGACCTAGAGGGGCCGTGGGCTGTGCCTGCCCTGACTCGCCATGGCTGCCCGGCAGTTCTGGAACAGGAAAATGAGGCTGGGCCTGGTGTGGGTGGCGCCACATGAGCTGTCCAGGTCAGGGGCAGCCTTCGCACCAGCGGGTGACACTGTTGGCTGCAGTGTTGTATTTAAAACTTACTGTTCTGAAAGTAAAACTGGAATCTAATACTTGAAAATGTGGAATGTATGTCCCGACAACATCTATGTGCATGTGCAAGTGTGCGCACACACATACACACAAACACATAAACACATGCTCGGATTTCAGTCTTCTCTCAAGGAGGCGAGGGGAGGGAAGCAGGCATCAGCACCGCACCGTGCAGGGTTCCATGCGTTAAGGAACTCATTTTGCCTCTGCCAGGGGCACAGTGCACTCCTCTCCCCAAAGTGAGGCCTCAGCTCCTCTCCAGGGCCAGAGGCCATCATGAACGCCGCAGGCCCACCCTTCCTCCTTCGCTTCTGCTCACGCCTCCACACTCCCTGGGCTGACGGAAGCCCTTGTGGACGGCCACCTTCCTGTCCCGGGTTGTCCCACAAGCCCTTTCCTAGGTGAGCCGGCTCCTTGCCAAGTTTCCCAGTTTGCCATTCCTCTCACGCATTCTGACAGCTGCCTAAGGTGTCTGGGGAATGGCTGGTGTGGGTTTAGATTCCACACCTGAGAGGGTATGGAAATGGCTTATTTTGGCTCACAGCTCTTGGGGAGTCAGGCCAGGGGCTCTCAGCCCGACTGCTATGGGCCTCTGATGACCCGGCACATGCGTGGGAGGGGTGGCGGAGGGGTCTGTCAACCTCATGGTGGCTGAGAAGGACCTGTGTCTCAGTGTCTTCCAGGACACGCCCCAGTGACCTGGCTTCCTCCCACCACCAGAAGTAGCGCCACAGTCTGGCAACCCAGCCTTTACTACAGGCCTGGGGGACACGCTGGACCCACACCGTGCTGTGGCTGCCCGGAGCTCACTGGAAACAGCGGGAGGAGTGGCGGGAATCGAGGACTTGCCCACCACCATTTTGGCTCCCAGGAAATCGCTCCTGCTTCACAAAGTGTGTTACACAGATCTTATCACAGAGCTCACGACAGAGACAAGGAGAAACGGGCTCTCGCTGTGGGACAGCTCCCGGAGGGGAGAGATGCGCTTCGAACTTTGTGAGCTGGAAAGGCCCATGCGAAAGGGCTCAAATCTAAGCTGTCTTTGAACTGGCTTTGACCAGCAAGGGTCCTGGTGGGTGTAGCAGTGAGCAGCTGGAGTCTTGGGTACCCATGACTGGGAAAAGAGGCCGTGCTTCCTGAGGACACTGTCAGCTGCTGCTTCTTTAGGTGCTGTGTCTGCAGACTCAACCAATTTTGGGTCAGAACTATTTGGGGAGAAACTGCACTTGTACTGAACACACGCGGACTTTTTCCGGTCATTATCCCCGAAACACATGGCACAGGACCTACTGACACAGCACGTGCACTGCCTGAGGTGTGTGAATGCTCCGGAGCTTATTCATAGTGCACGTTAGGTTGGGTGCCATGAGTGCCAGCACCAAGCAGTCTTATGGATGGGACACGAGCATCTGCAGTCTCTGGTATCCGTTATGGTTTCTGTCCCTAAAGCCTCACACGCTCACAGGTGGGGCTTGTGGAGGGTGACTGAATTACTGGGTTTATAGATCATCTGTGGCAGGATGTGGGGTGTGGTAGGAGGAGGCAGTCACTGTGGGTGGGACCCAGAAGTTATATCTCCTCCCTTCAGGCTCCCTTCTTGACTCTGCTTCCTGTCCCCATGCTGTGAGCAGGTCTCCTCCACCAGGCCCCTCTGCCATGCTGTTCTGCCTTCGAGCCAGCTGGCTGTGGACTGAATATGAGCCAGAAAAAGCCTCTCCTTCCTGAACTTGTGGGTGTCAGGTATTTTGTCCCAGCAGTGAGGACTTCACTGAGAGTCCCCAAGAGGGATATCGGAAGCAGTCTGTTGTGGATCCTGAGCGATGGCTGCACACCTAGAGTCCCAGGGCCAGACCCAAACTCCAGGCCAGCAGACGAAAGCAGCCACAGGACGGATGCAGCAAGTCATCCTATGGTGCCAGCTCTGCCCAGGGTGTCGTGGACGGGGAAGTGAGCATCGTCTCTGAGCTGTTGGGAGGGCTCTGTGGGAAGCAGTGCACACTGCTCTCAGGCTGTGAGCAAAGCACTCTGGAGCAGGAATGCTAAGCTTGGACCTCCAAGGCCCCCACATGCTGCATGTTAGACTTCCCCGAGTGGTGCTTCTGGGAGGTGGCAGGGCCTTTCGGGAAGGCAGGGCCTAGTGGAGGTCATAGCTCGTTGGGAGCACACCCTGGAAAGGGCTTGTGGGACTTCAGTCTCCTGTTTGGCTCCTCAGTCACCATGAGGTGATGGGATGCCTCTATCATGCCCTCCTGCCATGATGCTCTGTGCTGCTCCAGGACCAAAGCCAACTGGTCATGGGCTGCGAGTTGACGAAAACCTGCTGCCTTTTTAAGTTGATTTATCTCAGTTTACAGTGACAGAAACCTGATTAACCCATGAAGGAGGATCTAGTCTAAATTATTTTCTGTGTGACCCCGTGTATGCAATTGAACATTTTTGTGGCATCCAATTCTATAATGGAATAGCCTTAGTGATTAGAAATTTCTTTATATTCCACTGAAATTTGCTGGTGCTTTTGACTACTTAATTCTGCTTTATGTTTTGTTTTTCCCCTCAAATTAATTCTAGTTTTGCTTTTCTTTCCAGTACTTTCAGATGTTAAAAGTAGCTATTATTAAAAAAATAGCTGCTTTACCCACCCCTCATATTTTCCTACTTTAGACCAAATGATTCTTGTTTCTTCCTTCTTTTCTCACAGCTCATGGTGTCCAGACCTCTCTGTCACCCTGGTTACTACCCTCAAGGTCCTCTATGGACTGGATCTGGTCTTATATGCTAAATCTTAAACAAAATTCTACAAATAGCAGTAATTTTACTCATATTTAAACCCACATATTCTATCTAAAAGAATAAACAAATATTTGTGTTTCCATCTCCTTTGCACAAAGAGTTCCAGTGCCCATGCCTCTGTAGAGAAGGCCTCAAGAGGTGGAGGTGAGCCCAGGCCACCTGGCCCATCTGTTCCTCCACGCCACCCCACTGCCCTGAAAGACACTGAGGACTTATGGGCCATGCAGCAATGCGTCCTTTCTTTTTAAAATACAACTACAATATACTGTTGCCCAAAGAAGAAAACACCTGGACGCTGTTGCTCAGGAATGCAGAGGAAGTTAAAAATCCCCAACTCCAGGGCTCCGGAAGTCAACCAACAGTTCTATAGACCAAGATGGTGTTTGTTCCCAGCCTTGTAACCGAGCTTCAACTGAGAGAAATAGACGGGAAGGTGCACTTTCCTCAGCGTCCTACCTTCTCCGACTCCCGCCAGCACTTCAGGATGAAGATGTGCGCGTAGATGTCCTCCACGCAGATCCAGCTGGACAGGCTCAAGGTCGTGTCTGTCCACACCCAGTCCATCACTGCCCTCAGCTCGGTCAGAAACGGGACCAGGCGGAACCTGCCCGAGCCACAGCTAGTCAGTCAGACATGGGGGCAGCCCTGTCACCATCCTTCCCAGGGGCTCCTGTGATTCTTACTGTTTGAATCCTGAGACTCGTGTTTGAAACCACACTCAGGTGACTCCCACAGTAAAACCCAGCATGGAAATAGCTGCTAATCCATGGAAGATTAGTGCTTTTCAAGCTGCCTTTTCCCTGATGTCTGCCCGCACTGGGACTGCGGTTCAAGTAAGTCTGAGGAGCGCTCAGTTTCTCTCTCACTTGTTTGCATTATGAGCAGTGTTTGGCTCAGGAGCACTGCGTTGCTGTGGTGATATCAGTGAAGATTGTTCACTTGAGAAGGAAAAGCTGAGGGCAGGTGGGGGAGGGAGAGGGAGCAGGGAATGCCCTGAAGCTGGGGCCAAGGACGTGTACATCCCACACAACTGGGCTCTCACTAAATAAAGCCCTCTGGAAGCGCCCTTCGCCCCTGCTGTGTAAGGCACCATCCCCAGCTCTGCTTATGCTGAGGAACAAATTCTGGGAAACAGGAGAGGCTGCCAGCGAGGTCACCAGGGGAAGAGCAAATGTACTGTGTCTGAAGAGCTAATTCACCATCAGGGCCATGTGAGTTCGGCTGGCAGGGGGCAAGTAAGTGCCATGTACATGCTCACTGTCCACAAATGGTGCCACAGATGTTTTGGAAAAGTTCGGACTTGAAATACTCTGTGACGTCATTCCCAGAAACGTGTTACTACTGAAGGATTAGGGAGCTCTAACTTTCATCATTGTAGTGCTGTCACAGTAATTAGGCAGGATACTGAAATAAAAGATTAAACAGGGTGCGGGGTGCCGCACCCTGTCCAGCCGTGTGATCACACCCAGGAATGGGTTTAAGCTGTCACAGCTGCTCATGGCCAGGACAGAGAGTTCCAGGACGACGGCGTCACCGTCTTCTCCTTCCTGTCTCTTCCCAGTGGGACACACCGTGCCTCTGAGCGGCTCAGCTGGTGACCACAAGCAGTGTGCTTACCCTTGGAACAGGAACAGGTTGACATAATTGTAGCTCTTGGTGAGGAAGTTCCCGAGGACACGTGTCGGGTAGCCGCAGCGGATCTGGTAGGCAGACAGTCCGAAGTAAACACACTTCACGAAGTACCAGAGCTGAGCGACCAGGTTCTGGCTGAATTTCCTACAGAATGTAAGAGTGCGGGACGTGAAGGAATGGAATATGTTTCTGTTACAAGAAGATACCAGTTTAGAATTGAATCAAAGCGAATTTCCCCTCTGCCATTTAGTCAATTCTAAGAAATTCTCTGTACATTGTGGGTCACTTGTAGGGCAAAAGAAAATCCAATAATTAACCAAATCCTGTAATCATGTACGTTGTTCAGTTGCCATGGCGGTGATTACATTAACTCACTCTTAAGTGAATCTACTAATAAATGTATTCTTACAGCGTAAGTGAGGCAGCGACCACACTCTACATTAAAGCTTATGAAACAAAAAAGTATGTGTTTGCTTGACGGGGCTGAAGACCTGGAATATGCAGAGGGGGGACGCTGAGCAGAGGGCTCTGTTTTCTCCTTCACGGCACCGTGGACAGGCACGAATTAACAAACTTCCCAAGCCTGGCTGCAGGCCGTTGGGAGCTATGGCCTCTGTCCCTCAAGACACCATCCTGTTCTCTGAAAACCCTGCCTGCTTCTGGACAGCTGTGCCAGGCGCCCGATCTGCCTTCGGAAACCGCATCCTGGCTGCAGACCAGGTCTTTGTGTAGCGAGCAGAGACCCATGTGCTGTGCAGCTTTGGAGAGCGAACTTGCACCTGAGCGACTACACTAGGAACCCGTTTCCCAGGGTTGATGAGCTTTGGAAATATGTTCCAGCTTTGATAAATGCAGTGTTTTTGCAAGGGTCTTCAATATGGTCAGTGCACATTTTCAAAAAGAATGAAGACTTCTGACACTTTAGCATCTTTTTGTCCTTAAAATTAGGAGCAGCACTTGAAGATTTTTACACAAGCAATGTACATCTCTTTGCGTTCTCCCTGGATTTCTCGCTAACTTTTAACTTTGGTGTTTTGTAAAACTGACCACAGTCCCTAGACTACCAGACTTACTCCATAGGCCCAACCTGACCGCGACTGCGGTGACTGCAGGGCAGTGGAGACAGGGAATACAAAGTGAGTGTCTCCCAAGCCCTGGTGGACACTGCGTGATGTTCATTTCATTCACTGAGTGCCCTTGGGAGGGACTTGTAAAGACGGGATGGATCCGTCCTTGTCTGTCCCATATCTGGCAATCAGAATTTAATGAAAATACGTGGACGGAGCTTAGCGGCAGACCTCGTGCTTAGTGTGTGACAGGCTCTGGGTTTAAGCTTTGCCACAATCAATCAATCAATCGATCGATATTATGGAGAAAAGTGAAACAGTGAAGTTACGCTTGGCACTGACCAGTGGGCACGCCCCTGGCCAGCTTGCTTACTTTTTTGAGTCCAGTTTTCTCAGACTAACAGGAGAGGAAATACAACGAGAGTTCTTCCGAAGGGTGGAAGCAATCATGAAGGTCGAGGAGCAGAGCCCTATCCTGCTCCTGACACACTGTGGATGCTCACTAAGGATCCAATACCACACTGCCCAAAGAAACAAAAAACGCTCACAGAGACACTCAGGTCTTACAAACCAACTAATCCCTGTCCTGTGTCGGTTTATTGAGAGTGATCGGAGCAGAGTGAGGGAACAGATCTCAGCCTGCTGACCTGACTGGGTGTTCACCGTCCTCATGATCAGGGCCCCAAAACCAGGAGCAGTCGAGGCAATGACCATGTTCGCCACTCCAAACATCCTCGCTCCCGAGAGTTGTCAGGAGCCTCCACAGTCTTCCTTCTCTCCCTTCTCCCCACACAGCAAGCCCTGAGAGAGGCCTCCCACCGCACCGTCATCTGCATTTTCTAACGTTACATTAGTGCGGCCTACCACGCCTTCGTCACCACCCTGAGATTCACCCCACTACCGAGTGATCAATACTCCTTTCCTTTTTGTGGCTGAGTCGTGTTCCAGGGTAGGTGCACCCCAGAATGTGCTTAGCCTCTGGCCTCTCCACGGACATCAGGGACGACCGCAGTAAAGCTGCCACGAACCTTCATGTGCACGTCTGTGCGTGGACACAGGCTTGCATCTCCACACACACACAACTGCCAGATCCTAGGAGGTGAACAGAAGCCCCCGGGAGACGCCAGGCTGCCTCTGCCAGCATGTGAGTGAGCCAGTGCTGGGCGGTACAGACACTCTGTGACAGCACTCGAGGGAGAAAAAGGAAACTCTGGATGCCAGTGTGTGATGGTCTCATGGTAGAAAGTGACGAGAAGCAAGACTGCCAGTGGCGTGCTGGCAGACACCACAGAAGGCTCACCAGCCCTCTACATCTTGCTAAATATACCCAAATCGGGTGCCGCGAGCCGGTGGACTAGGAAGGGTGTTCAGGGAGCTTTGAAGGTGAGGTCCAACAGACAGACGGCCTCTGGTTGGCGTTCGGTGCTCATCACCCTATGTGCCTGGATGCAGGGTGGGCTGTGCTTGCTCGGGGGTGGCACTGCTCCTTCAGCTGCCCTCCCGCCCCGGACAGGGAAGGGAAATGAAGAAGCTGGGCAGGCCGTGAGTCAGGGCAGCTGTGTTCATTCAGCCACAAACAGACACCTTGGCTTTAGCCCACTGGGCCCACAGCAGAACGCTGCCACAGAGCCGAAAGCTGGTACATTCGTGTGGGTTTAAACCACTGACTGCAGTAATTTGCTGGGACAGCAATGGACAGCAGAAGGCAGCCACATGGCAGCATGTTCTGGAAGCGTGGTCTCTGTGGGGTCTGGCTGGGATGTGGCAGGGATAACCAACTATCCGCATGGCACAGTGAGGGGCCGGGCCTGGCCACCTCAGACAAGGCTGGAAAAATGGGCGGGCGCTCCCCGCAAGGCAGGGAGACCCACGGCGCCCAAAGTGGGGTCTGCGATCTGGTGTAACCACGATCAGCTGATGGATTGGGGAGACTGCTTCACTCCACGGGGTTCAGCTGTCCTAATCTGTAAAACTAGACAGCAATTTTAAGAATTTTCTGAGGATTACAGTCTCTGAAAGTTGGAGGTGCTGTGGAGGCTGGTGGAGAGGGTCTTCTACTAATGCTCTGATTTATCAGAAAAAATATCCAAATTCATCATTTGGTTACCTTGGGTGTTACATTTGGTTAATTTCTCTGATTTAAGGGATAGATATAATTCAATATTTATAGAGCATATTATTATTTTAAAGAATAACAAGATTCATAACATTTTCATGAAGAAATTATAGTATTTTTACAAACAACGGCCTTGATTTGAATTATCCTTATAATCTGAGCTCTATGGTATGATCAAAATATTCAGAGAATATTCAGATTTTTGAAAAATTTATTATAGTAAACGACATATTGCCATTAATGCCTTTCATAATTTTCCCCCTCACTGAAAACACATTGACTTTGTCACCCTTGCCACTTTCTGAAGCCTTTCTGGGAATCTTTCCTGGGGGTGACTCCAAGATGTGATAAAAAATATGTCAATGTCACTGCTGAGTGCACCAACAGAAAGGCAGCTCCCAAGTTACGACGGTGGCCTCCTCTAACTGTGCATTCTCCAGATCTGGTTCCAGGCAATTTCCAGCTCTTCCCCAAAGTCAAAATGACCAGTGAGGGAAACATTTTGAATCCATTCAGGACATCAAGGCAGCCAGGACAGCAAAGCTAAAGACACTCAGGAAAGGAGACTCTAGAGCTGCTCCAGAAAGTGGCAAGGAGACAGGCTAAGTGTGCTCCAAGTGAGGGTGAGGATTTGGTGGGGGAATTGGTGGCAATGTGTCTCTTACTGCAATAAATTTAAGAGAGAAAACTAAATATTCACTGTGTGTTTCAATCATACCTCATACGCTTATCCCCTCTATAGAATGTGGAAGGAGAGGCTACTATGCTTCTGGGCATTTTCTAGTAAGAATATTTTATTTCTTTAGTTTGACCTCAGCCTCAGCAGCATTTTCCTAGTTCCTTTTCCTGTTAGAATATGTGCATCCCATCAGCGGATTTTGGACGCAGTGATCCCTAAGGTGCCGACACCCAACAGTAGAGTCCCGGCGTGCAAACGAGCACAGCGCTGTGCTCAGCTTTCCTCCTCAGGACGGCATCTGCTTTCGCTTCCTGGAGAGCCCCAGGAGTAAAAGCTCATTTCCATTACTTTGCATCCCCACTTCCCAAAGGAAGCTGGCGAGCCTGGCTGTCCACAAGACCCAGCTGGGGACAGCGCTCAGCTATGATCAACGATCGAGCTTGCTGCTCACCAGGACGACCTTCCCCGGCGCCTGAGGGTTTGAGACGGGGTCAGAGCTGCGCCAAGAGAACCGCCTCAACGGGGGTGGCCTTGTGGTCAGGTACACGGCTCCCATGCCAGCGGCTGGTGATGGACACAGAGCTGGAGGAAGCGACAGCCCGCCCCATCCTGCCACGCCACCCCGGTGGCCCTCACAGCTGATGCTCCTGCCCACAGCCATCACTTGTTTTCCCTGAATTGCTGGCCGTTTATCAGTTCACACAGGAAGCATTAACTTGGGTGTGTGATGCAGGTGCGGGGTGGGACAGCCAGGAGGAGCGGGGACACTGGGCTGAGGTGTAAGGAGGCAGGACCGGACAGTGCTGGGTGAGAGACAGCAGGGGAGGCCACACCGGGGCAAGGAGGCCAGGGCCCTGGACCCAGGGGGAGACAGCGGCCCCCAGCCTCCCTGCTGAGGCGCTCTTGTCATCTCACCCAACCTGACCCGCAGCTCAATTCTGCCAGCAGCAACTGCTGTGTGGACGGAGGGAGCAGCAGCGCGGGTGAGGGCTCCCTTTTCCTAATGATGTGGAAACCACGGCCCTCCTGCTGTCTCTTCTTCTGCCAGTTAGCAGCCTCGGTTTCCCCATCAGTCCTGTCTGACACAGTCGAGGCCCTCTCGCTCCCGAGTGTGCCTGCAACCTTGCCTGGTCAGGGAAGCTGTGGCTGCCCACTCTCTGAAAGCTGTTTCTGTGAACTCAGATGAAAGCCAGCTAAGATATCCCAGAGGAACCAACTTCCCACGTGCTCTGATTTCACAGGTTCCAGCCCCGCCTGCAGCCCCCGCTGCTGTGGATGCACCTGTAGCCGTGACCCCCGGGAATCTGCCTGCAGGGGCACCACGCCCCCAGCCCTCGATGCTCACCTCTCTGTGACGCCAGGGAGGATGAAGAACATCCAGAAGTGAATTCCGAACACGAGGATGACCTGGAAGATGACCTTGCCCAGCACAGTCTTCCTGAGGTACAGCGCACGGTCCACCACCATGGTGCCGAACTGGATGAGCACCATCACCAGGAACGGCCCGGGGACCTGGTCCTCGGACAGCGAGGAGGTAATGTCTGCTGCGGCTGAGTGTTTCTGGGGAAGAGAGTGGCATTGGTGCCGAGGCGCCTCTCCGGGACGGGAAGCTGGTGCTCGTCAGCGGCCAACCTACCCCGAAGGCCCAAAAGCCGAAGACGATGATGACGAAGTCCACGGTGTCGGCCAGGAACATGAGCACATACACGTCGGTCACAGCGCTGTAGTCCGGGTGGATGAGGTCATAGAAGAACTGCCGGATGGGCACGTAGATCTGCAGGGTCCTGTGAAACAGACCCCACGAGCTGCTTCTGGGGCGCAGGCACTGAGAGGGACTGGGCACCGTCCCCACCACTCCCTGTGCCCGGCTCGGGCTGCGTCATGCCTGACTCTGCCACACTGTCCTTGTAACCTGAGCCTGCTGCAGCTTCTGCAAGGCTGGGTGCTAAGAGGACAGAGGACACTGGGTGGCGGGGAGAGGTGGCCCTAGGGAACACGTGGGGTGCTAGGCGCCCCGCTTCTGTCTCTTCCTGTCCTATCCTTCCCCACTGAGCCTCCTCTCTCCAGCCCACCCTGCCCTCCCTGCACACCCGACTCTGGGTGCCACCAGTTCTGCTGGTGGCCTGCAGGTGCAGCCCGGCTGAACCTGGCGGACCTGCCCCTCTGGTGTGGCCCCCGCAGGCACAGGGGACCAGCTCTGTGCCCTGATGACCCAGATGTCTCTCCATGGGCACCCTGAGCACATCTCTGAGCCCATCTGGCTCTGAACTCGTGGCCCTCTGCGTCTACCAGGCTGTGCAGTAACCACGGCTGGACTGCACCGTGAGCCCGGGAGTTGTTCACTTGCTGTGTTCAGATAGGAAGAGTGTGGGCATAAACGCTGTGTATAGGAATGCCATTGTGCTAGGTGGAAAATGATTTTTAAGAACAAGGCAGCCATGGGCGATTTTACCCCACCAGGGACCAGATGATGTTTGCTGCCCTCTGGCGACGGGGAGAGGACCAATGGGGCCCGCAGGCTTGGCCTGGCCGCCGTGCACTCACTTCCGGATGGTGAAGGCCTTGGCCCTGACCAGGTGCTCCTGGAGTTTCTTCACGTACAGCTCCCTCCTGCCCTTCTGCTTCACGCCCAGGACACCACTGCCCTTCTGGCTGCTGTTCTGGGTGCTTGTGCTGCCTGGGGGAGTGAGGGCGGGGGTGCTCAGGGCAGAGGAGCAGGTTTTCCAGGGGACCCCAGGCCTGGGAGCCAGGGGAGGCCTGGCCTGGCTGCTGGGTGTGTTGGGCACGGAGGCCTTGGACACTCAGGGACCCATCCCCTCAATTCTGGCCCTCGAGAAGCAGACCTGTGAGGCTTCACCCTAGGGGTGGCTCCGCCCTAATTGTCCTGTAACCTTTGTCCCAGCAGGAAGCACTTCAAAGAACAGCTTTTATGGCACCAAATAAAGCTGTGGCTTTTCCAGATGGGGCGTGCGACCCACACCTTTATCATAACCTAATTTCTCTAACTACACAAGGACTGTGTCTGCCCCCAAACTGGCCCTGAAGAGGGACACACACAGGTGTCTGGAGAGCTTCAGACTGTGGACCCAGAAATAAAAGCAGGGTGTATCTGTGCCCTGGCCTACATGTGGGCTACGAGGGCTTGTCCAGCTCAGGAAGCAACTGGACAACATGGCTGAAAATTCCCACTGATTACCCTGGAACCCATCTTCAAACTGAGCTGTGCTTCGGGGGCTGGGACACACCCAGGAGAATGTCTGCCTACAACGTGGACATGATGCTCAGGGGCCCGAGGGCTGCAGCCCTGTGCACAGCGACTTCAAATCATGTCCTGGGGAGGAAGCGGATGTTTTGAGCAGAGGTGGAATTTGAATTTGGGCACTCTTCCTGGTGCGGTGTCTGCCCCTTGCTAACTCCTGGCCACTCACCTGCCCCAGCCCAGATGCAGTGGGACACGCACCTCTTTCGGACCTGTTGGAGGAGAAGCTGGAGCCTGGGGAGTCTGGGCAGCTGCTGCTTGAGCGCTTCCTGCACAAGGCCATGGGAGGCTCAGGGAAGGCCACATGCACCGACTCCACCGAGGCGGCCAGACTGATGGACTTGAGCGAGTCCGCAGAGCCCCTCCTGCCGCGGCCAGGGGACAGCTCAGTGTCTGAGTCGTCCTTGTCGGTGCCGCTGTCCACAGCCTCATCCTCGTCCCACAAGCCATGGCACTGGCGGGAGGAAAGGACCCTGAGACCTCAGTTCTGGAGGGCCACTGGCTCTGCATGCCCACCTGTGGCACCGTCCCTCCAGACCGGGAAGCATGGGCAGAGGGGCTCCTCAGCGAGGGCTACACGCAAGGCCCAGGAGGGGCCATGTCCGGGCCCAGGGTGGCCACAGAGCTGAGCGGGACAGAGCAGCTAGGTGGCACCGGGAGGGGCCCGGCAGTCCCTGTGAGTGCTCTTTCCAGACCGGAGGGCATGCACCAGGGCTGTCAGCAGCTCGGGGACAAAGCTCCGAGGGTTCCCCTTGGGAGGTGATGCCATGGTGAGACAAAGTCTGCCAGACCTTCTACAGATCATGGGTTTTGCTGCCAGGAAGCGGAGCAGAGGGACGGTAAGGTGGGGAGGTGCACAGACTGGGCAGTGTCCCAGGTGACTCAGAATGGTCAGTTCACCAGACACAAAGTCACAGCTGTGCGTGCGTGTGTGCGTGACTAATGCCATGGCCCATGCTCAGGTGCTCAGAAAGAACTGGGGACTGGTGAAGACACCATTGGTAAGATGAAATATTTTAGAGGCACAATGTTAGGACAAGACGGAGGCAGTGAGGCTGTGCGAGTAGGCACAGCATTCAGAAAGATCCGTTGCACGGTCACCCGGACTGGGCCATGGCGGTTGGCTGGAGGGTGCAGCAGGCTTGGCTTACAGTTCCCACGTGTGCTCAGGAATGGAGCGGCTGGACCAGTGTCGGCCACCCCGGGAAAGTGTGCTGGGCACAGCCCCGGCCAGCGTCCCCACCAGGAGCTCGGGGCTTCTTGCTGCTGGGAGAGAGGCCACGTGCCCCGGCGCCAGCGGCAGCGCTCCGACATCCTCAGCCTAGACCAGGGCCCTGAGGTGCCACACAGCCTCACAGAAGTGTCCTCAAGGTGCACAGGAGGCCTGGAGCCCACCCGTTGTTGCCGCTCCCCACACCGAGATGCGGGCAGTGCTGCGGGCCGCCCCGCAGGGTGAGCGGCTCCTGAAGACGCCAGCCCATACCTTCAGGATGGAGCGGTGGAAGAAGAGCGCCAGCAGCTGGATGAGGTCGTAGAGCACGTAGCCCTCCTTCTTCTCCACCCCGATGATGTTTGGCGGGTGGTAGGGCTTGTCCTTGTAGATCTCCACGTTCCTGTTCCAGGGGAAGAACCCGAACTGGAAGAAATACTTCACCACAATCGCCACCTGGCGGGGACGGCAGAAATTGGAGTCATTTCTTTCTCCTTTCAGGAACACGCGACAGGAGAAAGGGAGATTACCAGTTCAGGAAGAGCCACTGCGCAGCTCTGACGGCGGGAACACATGCTGCCGTGTGGAAGGACAGTCCCGGGCCCCGGGACTGCGGACGAGGGAGCTGGGGCGATGCCTTAGGGTCCTGAGTGCCCCGCAGACACGCAGGGCCAGAGGGCTCTGCTCTGCCTTCGCCACTGTCCTTTCCTGTTGGGTTTGGGACTGATTTCATTGGACGTTTACACAATTGTTCCGCTACTGACCAGCAGAGTTGAGGCATGCCTGTGTCCACCTGTGTCAGCCTGGCTCTGACCCTGGCTTTGACCTGGGGGTGGCACACGTTTGGAACACACGCTTTCCACTTCCCTCCACTAGGTCTGTCACCTGTGGCTGTGACCCACCAAGGAACAGAAACAAATATTTTCCCCCTGTTTATCTTTGCATTCTCATGCCTGGCACTTCTTGGTTTGGGGCAATAGTTCAAATTCTAGAGTGAATTAGCATCGATTTAATTTCCTATTTACTTCATTCCTCGATGTTTTGGGAAACAGAGAGCCCCAACATTACAAAGAGCCATTTTGTTTTTTTCCTTTGAAGCACCAGAGATTGAACCCAGGGTCTTCACAGTGAACTATATCTCCAGCCCATTTTTTATTTATTTTTATTTTAAGGAAGGGTCATGCTAAGTTGCTAAGTCACCTAGGCTGGGCTTGAACATGGGATCCTCCTGCCTCAGCTTCCTGGTGCTGAGATAACAGGCGTGCCACCAGGTCAGGCTAACAAATAACATTTTTATTTTTAAGACAAAGCCTATATAATTCGGCCTTATTCCCTCTTCCCTTCTTGTGGCCTCCTCCTCTTCACCCAAGGTGTGGGAGGCATCTGATAGGTGCCTTGTGCTGAGAGGGTTGGGAGTGGTGTCCATTCCCCAAACTCCAAGTACACTGATGGTAGAAGGTTCAGCAAGGCCCTGACCATCATGGGTAGACCAGGCCACCCAACAGCTCTTCTCTCCTCTCTCTAGCTGAACACTGGAGCCTGTTCTCCCACCTGCTGAGTTCCTGGGCACCCACCGCCCTTCTGGGGACTGTGACCCCGACAGTGGTGGCCCGAGGCAGGGAGGAGCATCGCAGCCTGAGCATGCCAGGACTTGGGAGCCGGGCAGCAGGCTCGTGGACCTCACAGCAGGCTCTGGACCGAGGGGCAGGACAGGAATCCAGGAGTGGGGCATTGTCCTCGGTGTCCTCAGACTCTCCCTGCCCGGGGGCCTGGGCCCTAGCGTGCTGCTCAGCTGATGCTGCAGGGCTGGCAGCTGGGCTCCGGGTCCCTCTGGCCCGCCAGGGAATCCCTGAGTGGCTCTTGCCCTGCCCCAAGGAATGGCTCCCGCCCCCCCTTGCGTGGTGCAGGGAGATGGCTCAGTGCTGGTGACCGCCGGCTCACCCACCTCAGTGTAGACGATGGCCATCATCCAGAAGCGCCGGCTGGGCCTGGGCACGGAAAGCATGGCCCACAGGAAGATGAGGATGGGCAGCAGCAGCGTGATCATGGAGGCGGACACCATGTGGTTGAGGATGATCACGAAGTAGCACACCATCTCGGAGCGGGCCACCAGCGTGTTGTACATGGCGTAGAACAGCAGCAGGAAGCGCGGCTGGGCCACGTAGAACCTCTCAGACTCCTCCAGCTCGTCGTCCTGGAACATCCTGCCACACGGGGGGCCCAGTGAGACGCTGACTGTCCCGTCCCACGTCCCTCCCTCGGGGCCCCTGCTTCCCAGGCCCTGAGTTTCTTTTGCGGGTCCCTCATACAGGCAGAGGAGCCCGTGTCCGAAAGGACAGGGTGTATTTTGCATTTGGGATGTTTCAGAGTTTGGAATATTTCCATGCATAATAAGGTATCTTGAGTTTGGAAACCAAGTCTAGACACAAAAATCATTGTGTCACATATACTTTATCCACGTGGCCCTGGAGTGACTTCATCCAACGGTAAGTAAAACGCAGTTTCCTGGCCTGCAGTCACCCACTTCTGGCCGCAGTCAGATTTGGGCTCGCTTTGATCTGGGATTTTGGGGTTAGGGTCACGGCTATAGGAGGCACGGTTTCGGAGGGGTCAGCTCGGCCCTCCCACAGCCTTGCTGCCCCACAACTAGGTCACACGGGCACCCAAGTGTGACGATGGCCTGGGCTGTGTGACTCTGCAGTACACACGTCCCAGTGTGGCGCGCGCAGTGCGAGTGTGAGCAGGGCCGGGCTCTTACTTGTTGAGCAGCAGCTCACTGGCCGTCAGCTCGTGGGTCAAGGGTGGCAGCAGGCTGGACTCCAGCTTCTCAGTACGGCTGTCGTCCGGGCTGACCACCATGTGGTTCTTGGCCTCGGCACCGTCCTGCGAGCCGAAGGACAAGTGCTCGAAGCTGACGGCCTTGCTGTAGGAGGGCGGCACCTCCATGTCCCCATCATCGGTGGAGAGCTGTGGCAGCACGTCATCCTCCTCCTCCTCCTCCTCCTCCATCTGGGCACCCACTGCCTCCTCCTCTGCCTCAGCCTCCACTTCTTCGATGGTCTCCGTGGTCCCCTGGCGGGAGTACAGCATGGTGCACTGCGTGGGCTCGCTGTGGGCACAGAGGAAGGGCACGGGCCCCGGCTCAGCGTCTGCATGGCCCAGACTCTCCAGGTCAGAAGACACCACCCAGGACTCCCACGCATGGCCTTGCAGGCTCGGGGGACAGAAAACACCTTGAGTGGCTGCATCAAGTTTGCTCTGAGCCTTCAGGATTTTCATTCCTGAGCTGCAGGAACGGCAGCCAGTGGCCCTGAGGGCAATGTCACCGATGACCCACAGAGCAGGGAGCAGGCCTTTCTATGCGGAGAGGCTCAGAGCCATGCCAGGACTCGGGGCATAGCCCAGCGAACACGGCCTTAGGGAGAGCATGTGGAGGGAGCCTCACCGAGTTACTCTGCTCTCAACTCCACCTCCCAGGGCTCAACGCTGGCTGAACTGAACAAGCACATGCGTAGTCACCCTCTGTGACTTTTCCTCCTGTTTCCCCACACTCTGCCTTTTTCTTGTTGGTGTGCACCACATTTGACTGAACTTCCTGCACTGCTGGGCAGGCAGCCCTTTCTCTCTGAGCCCTGTGCCTTTCACAGGGCACCACCACTCCCCTCCTAGAGCCACCTCCTTGGGCTGCTGACTGCACCCTCGGGCTCCTGTTGCGGCACCTCCTGTCAGCTTCAGCCTCTTCTTCTACCCTTCCCATCACAACCCTGTGCTTTCTGTCTACATCTTTCCTCCCCTTACTTGTCCCTTGTTCTAATTTTCCCCGCCAGGCACAAGCAGGAGAGGTTGGAAATGGGAATCGAGCAGTGGCGCCCTGGAACTCATGGCCTACAGGAGGAGCAGCAATCAGTACCAGGGACCCGAAGCAGGGTGGTTGTGGGACACTTTGCTAGGCCCCGAATATGCAGTTAGCGGAAAGGCCTGTGAGTGAGGAGGCTCTGGGAATGCTGGGATTCTCAAATCCACAGATCTCCAGTTCTTGCCGCAGCCTGCAGTGCAGACAGTCAGTGAGTGGTGGGTGAAGGAGCCTCCCCAGAACCGGCGGGGGTCCTGCGCCCAGAAGACCCGGGGTTTGCCAAAGCTGGGAGGGGGCCTGCTCCAGGCGGAACCCCAGGGTTTGGCCCTAAGTGTGCAGGAAGCCAGGCTGAAACTTACCTCAGGGAAAAGGGCTCCTGGGAAGCCACGGAACTGAGCCTTTCCCGGAGACCTCCGGACCTTTGGCGCTAACTCCGCCCAGGTGCAGCTTCCAGGATGACTGGAAACTGGAGCTCTGGGCCTGCGCTGCTGTGTGCAAGCATGTGCCTCACGTGCCCTGTCCATGGGCACCGTGACACCTGGCACAGGAGGGAAGTGGCCCCTCTGATGGCCTCTGCCTGGGGCTGGGTCAGTGCAACAGCTGAGCCCTGCCCACTGCTCTTGGGCGACTCCAGTTTGGGGTCAAATGTAAACCACTGCAATTCTGAGTGAATAGTGTTTTATGGTAGGATTTAATGTATAGACTTAATCCCAGAGTAATTTTCTTTTTATAAACAAAACAAGTGATAGTCTACAAAGGTGATACAGTCTACTATATAATACTAATTCTTTTCAAAAGCCATGGTAAAATATATGCTGACTTTTATGTGAGTCATGTACATGAACTGTGCACTATAAAGAGTTATTGTTTATCAAATAGTAATGTAAGGCAGATTTTCACTTTTTAGCCCTGTATGTATTTTTTGGTAAAATCCTGAAGAAACTTTTTTCCCTGCAAGGGCTGCCTTTCAAACCTCTAAATCAAATGCAGCAAGCACACTTACATCTTTGAAAATGGAAAGTGTGAAATACTTAAAGGACCAAGTTTACCAAAAGGATTTTTAAGAAGTTTCTAACAGACAAAAACGAAGGAGCAGTCAGGTCTCAGAGAGCTGTCCCGGGGACACTGCGTCTCCAAAAGGCCAACAGTGATGCTGCGGTTACTCATGCAAATTCTAAAGTAAAGATGAAAAACAAACGACACACATCACAGAACCGACATCGGCAGTGACGTCGGGAGGAGGCGGTGACGAGGTACAGACCGAAGCATGCACGAGGTAAGCACCTTGACGCTAAGCTGCCACTGTCAGCGGATGAGGAGGACATGTCCATGCTGAGCATTTTACGGAGTCGAGGCCTCGAGCGCTCGCTCGTTTTGGGCACAGGGTCTGGTCCATCTAAGTCATCAAGGGTGGACTGCCTTGAAAACAGCGTGGTGGCTTCAGTGTAGCAGCTAGCAGCGCAAACAGTCACAGAGACACAGAGTTAACACAGTGGTACAAAGTCACAGGGTCACAGGTTGACACACGGCCATGCAGCAACCACACTCGACGCCACCAACACCACCAACAGCCCAGCCCTACGGCTGCTCGGGGACAGTGAAACATGGGAAGCCTGGGGCTTAAACAGCGCTTTGGCTGCAAGAAAGCAGCACACGGCCCTCTCTGAATGGGACAGGGACACAGACCAACAACAAGGCCCACGTGTTCTCTTGAGAAGCACGAGGTGTATAACTTTGCAATGGAGATTTTTATAATTGAAGAAATACGCTTTCTTTAGAATACTGCAATACTGAGTCCCTCAAGAGCATTTAAAGACCCAATTGTATAAGCAGAAATCGCTGCTCATGGAATTTGCATAATGTTTTGTTTTTTTGTTTTTTTTTTTTACCACTGTCTTGAAAATGCCAGAGGAGAAGCTCAGGAATGAACCAACCAACTGACCTTCCACCCTCATTCTGAGTGACACTCAGCTAAGGCAAACCAGAGGCCTTGCGTGTAGGAGAGATGCTGGTTCGATATGCAGCTGGATATCAACCAACATCAAAAAACAAAACAAAATGCCACGAAGAAAATAAATAAGAGAATTCTAGCAATGCCAGGGTTTTTTTTTTTTTTTTTTTTTTTTTTTGTCTGTTAATGTTTCATTTTGCCTAATGTTTTCTCCAGATCGTGGACTAGGTCTTGGTGGGTGCCGCTGGGGAGGGAATCCACAGGCTCTCTCATCTCCCTGTACCAATGGGGAAGGGCAGGGCTGGGCACACAGGGCCCCACAAGGCACGGGGATCTCTTAGGTGGCAGCTTTCAAATGGTGACCACCCTGTCAGGTCTGGGTAAGATTCAAAATGAACCTGCAGAATTTCAGTTGCTCTGGCAACTTCAGGAACGGGGGTTGCTGCCTGACTTCCTAAGTCAACCACTAAAAATCAAGTTTGCCAGTTTACATCGGTACCGGAAGGAAAGTGGGACTCTCATCCTGGGAAATGCTGGTGCACTTGTCGGCTCCTGACCCACCCTCATTACTGCCTGCGGACAGTACCGCAGGGGCTAGAAGGGAGCGGCCACTGTCAGCTGTTCCGGCACCGCCCACTTCCCGCAGACCAGTGAGGCGCAGTGCAGCCAGGAGAGCAGAGAGGCTGGGAATGTACTCGGCCATCCCGCAAGACGCAGCTCCCCGAACTCAGCCAGGTATTCCCCTTATTTAGGTTAAAAATCAAAGTAAAAATTCATGACAAGCTAATCTTCATAGCTCTGGTTTTCTAGTAAATTTATTTATTGATTGGCCATTTTATAACTTGAGGAATATCTTGACAACCAATGAATTTAAATATCTCCTAACTCAATTCTGGATTGGGGGTGTTCTTTTACATTTATCATCTAGGGTCAGGTTTTATTATAATCAGGCTTTCTTTTTCTTTTCCTCCTAAATTTTGATTTGTGGTGTTTAGGTAATTCTCAATTGGACATATAAGTTGTCATGCAGTTAACAAGCACCACCATAGGAATCGTGTGCTGATTTTATGGACAATTTGAGTGTACTTTCTAATATTCTTTTCTATTCCTGCAGTTCAGTCTCATTTAGAAGCAGTTGTTCTCAAGCCAGTCTCCTGATGATGAGGAGATCTAGGAAATCTTTTAAATCTTATGGAAATTTCTGTATTTATGTGCATTTTACCCCTTTGGGAGTTAGTGCACAACTGCATGAAACTCCAAATGAAGTTTATTACCAATCACTGCTAACGTTGTAACAAATGAAGAGGTCCTCCTATTGCATTTATTCCCCTTTTCATTTGCCAAATTCTGGGATCCAACAAAAAGAATCTCTTTACTCTGATACAAGACAAGAAGGGAAGTTTATAATGCATTATAAATTACATGATGGGCTGGCATACTTTTTGGAAGAAAAGACGCAAAGCTGTGATAATGGAGACCGCAGGTGTATGGAATCATCTTCCTCACACTGCAGGAGGGTGCTGTTCCCAATGAAAATGAACCTAACGTTCAGCAGAATTCACCAGAGCTGTCTAGAACTTTGCAGTTTAGATTTAAAAAAACATAGTTTGAGTCAGACTAAATCCACATTCCACACACATGGAGCAGCCCTGGCCAGAGCAGGGGGCAGCTGGACATTGGTGAAAGTGAAACAAAAAATGAAGAGCGGATGAACGGATGCGCGCAGGGACGCTGGCTGGCCGGGCCTTGGTCGGGAAATGCGTCTCAAGAAGGCCGGCGTTTCTCGTACCCTGCCACGCCCGCTTCTGGAAAAGTGGTTGGTCACGAGTAGGTTGTATGCATTCTTGCTGGTACTCTGGGAGCTGGGGATGACACCCAGGAGCCCACGAGCAGTTCCGCAGTGGCCAGATTTGGAAAATTCCCCTGCCCTTTGCTCTCCCTGGACTTGGGAAGCCGTCTGGACAGCACGCGTGTGCCCGGTGCGGAGACACAGCTGTCCTCACCCTGCCACACACACCTGTGCGCTGCGCACACCCACTCAGCGTCTCCTCGGGTTATATCATCACTGTCGTTCTGCCCAGGGCTTCACGAAGGCCCAGCTGTGCCACTGAGCGGCACCTGCCACCCCACGTGAAGGAAGAGCTGTGGCGGGATCGCGGTCCTCACCCTCAGGCCGAGAGGGGCAGTGGGCTGTACGTACTGGCACCGAACCAAAGGGAGAGCGGTTTCATTTAAACCCCGGTGTAGGAATAGAGCTAGACTTATTATAACAACAACAAACTTAGTCAGATTGGCAGCTTTCAAATAAGATAGTCATTAAGTTCACAGAAAATAAAAATCAGCCACAGATTAGCAATGACAGCCCCCACGAAGCCTGCCAGGAGACAGAATGTTAAGCAGCAGATTGCTTTCTGGAGGGCAAAGGAAGGTGCTGCAAGCACCCATCCACCGAGTGCCAGGAATTAGAAACTTGTTAAACAGAAAAGCACTGAGGAAATCAATGGTTTGACCTTGAAACTGAAAGGTTCCTGTCCTAAGTGTTTCCTCTCCTCACAAAAATACACAGTGCCTGAAGTATCTGTGGGTGACTTTGGAATCTATAAATAAGCTGCGATGATACCCCAATTAAATGAAAAATATAACTCCTGAAAGTTCTAAAAAATCAATACTTATTTTGGGAAGACGAGAAGGAACATACCTGTGCAGTTCCATGTGCACAAAAGTTACAAATCCATATATGCATGAATACACGTTTTTAAAAACAAAACTAATTTAACATGCACAATATTTTAAAATCTAAGTATTTATCTATATACACCTTGAATATCTTTCCACACCAAGAAATACAGATGTGCCTCAGCAGACAATTACTGAGAGCAAAAGACCAGGCTAAGTCAGAAATGATCAGTAGAATGACTCAGTAAGTTAAAAACAGCACTTTCGTCCCACTTTTCAGGTCGCTTCAGGGACTGGACGGACACACAGCAGCATTTGGGGAGCACTGCCAAGGGCCGCTTGAAGGCAAGGACCCTGAGCAGCTAGGTCTGCGAGTGGAAAGGACCTCAGGGTATAGCCGGCATTAGGAAGGCTATGGCCTGGTCTGAGTGTCTGTACCAGCAGAGCCCTGGGTCTGGCATCAGAGGTACCCTTAGCATGGTCAAAGGAAAAAGCAAAGCACAGATGTCCCCGGGATATGGTTCTGGGCAGAACAGGTTGCCACAGCCCAGCGGACTGTCCTGGGCAGTGCAGCTTCCTTCCTGAGGCCAAGACTTCACTTCGTACCCCTAAGCCAGTGCATGGCAACAGCCATGCTGCAAGAAGCCCTGGGGTTTCTCTGGGACGGGGATTCTGGGGCTGGCAGCGGCAGGGGCCGAGACACCAACACACCACACCTCTGAGTTCTTGAGCTTGGGTCCCAGCCAAGTCACGAACCTGTGGGGCATGGGGCTGCTAGGGATTCCTATCCCTGTGACCTTCCAATGTGTCTTAACCCCTCGGTACCCAAGCTTCACGGCTGGAAAGTAGGTGTGACCATCACCCTCTCCTGGGAAGATCTCAGGGACAGAGGAGGCAGCCTGTGTGCTGCGCTGTGTGCCAGCCCTGGCTTGGCCACTACCAGCAGGGTCCCTGTACATCCTGCTGTGAAGGGAAGGGAGCTGGCGGAATCAGCTCTGAAGTGTGTACTCTAGAATTCTGAAAGCAGCGATTCAGGACAGGAAAGACACAACAGAGGTGGGAGTCCCTGGTAAAGGGACGCTCTGTGGAGCAGCCTCTGGGGAAGGCAAGCGATGGGGGAAAGGGAGGGGCCTTGCTGTTTGCTCCCAGCCGGGAATCTGTCCCGTGCCTGGGGAGCAGGCAGGTTCCTAGCGCTCACCAGTGACTTCTGCTTTCACCTAGGCGGGGACTGCGAGCAGCTGATTAACGTTCACCCTTCCATTCACTTCTCATTGACGGCGTCCACCTCATTCACCTTGGCCAAGAGTGACCCTGTGCAGAGAGAGGAAGTACCTGGAGATGCTGTCATGGGAATCCAAGCTGTCCATCCTGTGGGCCGGTGGGGTCCCTGGCCCGGCTCCGGGCCGCTCCTCGATGGTGTCCAGGCCCGACTCCCGGGAGAGGTTCATGATGTGGTTCTGGTAGTACATGTGGATGCTCTCACGCGTCGGGACGTTGCCCTGCAGAGAAGGGGATGTGCCGCAGTCGTATGGAGCCCTGCCCGGCCCCCAGGGCCCTGCCCGCCACAGCGACACCGGTACCAGGCTGGCCAGGCTGGGGCCCGAAGTCTGCCCATGCATGGCCACGAATGTCACCCAGGTCACCAGGCAGCTGACAAGAAACTCATTCTCAATGCAGGTAATTTCACTAAATCGCAGTAAGCGTTCTAGAAACAGACTGTCAGATGCAATCTCTGTGTGACCAGTGTGCATTTGCTGCTCTACATATAGCTTCCCTTTTCCTGGAGCCCTTCACAGGGCACGAATAAGCTGCACATCTGTAAGCCAGGGGTAGAAGGAGGGACAGCGAATAAAGTGGCCATCTCACTAGGCCCTTGTGTGTGCGCACGCGCATGTGTGTGCACATGTGTGTAAATGTGTGTGGCTAGTGTTTGATTACCTCATTCTGAGGCTGGAGTAGACTTACTATCCAGAAAAAGCGAAGGGCTTATGCAACAACTGCCTGCAAAAGAAAGGGTTCTGCATCAGAGTTTTAGATGCAGGTTGGGCACGGTCAGTCTGAAGGTGCAAACTGCTCTGGAGTTAGACACTCCCTGCGCCTCCAGGACGCAGTGGTGGAGAAGTCTACATCTAACCTTTCTGTGGGTGCAGGCAGAGTGTGGACACACTAAGGCTACAGTAGGCAATCAGCTTGGCTGTGTGCATGAAGTGTGTGTGGAGGAGAAATAAACTTCATGTTTAGACTCAGGCATCTCCCCTAGGGCATCTGTGTGTCTGACTATCTAACCCTTACCTCCAATTAGAGACCTGAAACATTTCTGGACCCAGGCATTCTGGATGAGGTATATAAGACCTATCTATGATCTCCGAAATTCCTTCCATTGCAGTACTGAGGACAGAACCCAGGATCTCTCCACAGAGCCAAAGTTCCCCCTGTATTTTGAGACAGGGTCTTGCTGAATTGCTAAAATGCCCAGCTTGGGCTTGAACTGGAGACCCTCCTGCCTCCACCGCCTGGAGTGTGGGATTACCAGCATGCACACCATTTCCAGCTGACTGTCTTTCGAGTGTGTGAGAAAGCAAGAAGAATTGGGCTGCGGTGCTACCTTCTTGATTTCTCGGGTCAGCATGCACCGCTCGATCCGCAGCACCGTGGAGATGTCAATGTGCTCCCTGGAGATGGAGTTGAGCCACGTGGTGAAGCTGTCCACGGTGGCCAGGAACAGCACCCAGGTGAACTTCACGATGTTGAATATCCGCTTGATGATGTTGTCTAGGAGGAAGGGACACAGCACGTGTCAGAGGACACTGCCCGATGTGGCTCCTGGCCTGGGCAAGGCTTTCCCCAAGCCGGGGCTGCATCTGCCCTGCATCCCTGAGGCGAAGAGGGACGGAGCCTCAGCATGGCCTGGCGGGGGCTGTGGGACAGGAAGCTACCATGGTGGTGGAGGAAACAAAACAGAATCAGAGTCAGCTTTGTGAAGTCTGACGAGGGGTCAAAGGTGGCATCTCCAGGTCCCCAGAACCTGACAAACACCAGGCACCCCTGGCCATGCCTCGGTGACCTGCCCAGCCTCTGTGAGGTCAGCGTGTGTGGAAAGCTGCTACACCGGTCACTCTGAGGACAACGCGGGGACATCAGTGTGAGCGCCACACAGACTAGGTTCGCAGAGTCGCTGGCCCTCCCTCCGCTGGAATCTGAGGACCATACGACTGGTGGCGCGGAGGTAAACCGACTGCATTCCCAGTGACAGCCGTGCCTGCTACTGCCACAAGGACAGAAACAGTTACCAGCCAGCTGCCAAGTCCCATCATTTATCATTTTCTTCTCTTCTTAGGTAGGAACTGTGGGAGAATACTCTGCTCATCCATTCATTCAGACTTCGGCTCCTTGCTACCTTTGCGTCTTCAGCAGACACCTGAAAGCTGCTTTTAAAGGGTTCAGCACACAGAGTAAGTCTGGATGGCTGCCACCTGACTGCTTCCATCGGCCTATCAGACTGACCCCCACCCTGGCCAGAAGCAGCCTGAGACCCCTTCTACTGTGCCTGGCTGTGACTGGGGGTCCTGGATGGCTGTCACACAGCACCTCAAGCCAGGTCCCCATCTGGTGCACAGCACGGGCCCCTGACTGTCGAGAAAGGCCTGAGAGCAGGTCCCACAGCTGTGACCTCAGCTGAGGAATATTATATGGCTGTAAAAACTGAGCTCCTGTCATTACAAGAAGAGTGAATGTAGAGGGCGCTGTGCTAAATGAAGTAAGCCTGAGTGCTCTCACTTGGGTGTGGACGCTGGACTGCTGAACCCTTGAAAGCAGAGCGTGGGGCAGGCTCCAGGGCCGGGAGGCAGGCGGGCGGGAAGCTGGGCCAGGGGTCCGAGTGTGTGGCCTGCAGTGTGTCTTGTGCCTGGAGGTCTGCGTACAGCACAGGGACCAGAGTTGTTGCTCCTGTGCTGTGTACTGCAAATGTGACACAGAAGACTGTTGGTGCTCTCAGCACACGCGTGCACACGAATACACACACGCGTTCACTCACACAGACAGACAAAGGCTGAGTGGGTTTCCTGGACAGTGGCCTTTGCCCCCAGACAACAGGGAGAGCCTGGACAGAAGAGGGCAGCTCCACGCTGACTGTCCCGCCTCCCCTGTGGGGCCACAGGGCCTCCGACATGCACAGCCCCTGGGCTGTGTGCTGACCCGTCTCTGGGGGGCTCCCCTCCACCCCGCTGAGGAGTGCAGCAAGCAAAGTCCACTTTGGAACGGAAATGGTGTTTTGCCTGTGCTGGGGGCTGGCAGAGCTTCCTCAGGCCCAGCCTGCTCTCGTAGGAGGAGAAGCAGGTGGGTGCCTAGCTGTGAGGTCAGACTCTGTGCAGGTCCCCAGGGTGAGGACGGGCCTGGGAGGGGCCGGGTCACAGGTGGCAGCCTGGAGTGAGAAGGAAGGGGAGCAGGAAGCCGGGAAAACAGGGCGGCGGGAGCCCCAAAGACCAGGCTCCACTCTACAGGCCTCCGGCACGCCGGAATTTCCTTGCACTCCCTGTCCCTCTTTACAGTTATGGTGAACAAACGCATGTCACCCACACTGGTCGGGCACAGCCTCTAGCTGCTTGGTGTAGACGAGGAAGGGCGATTTGCGTGTGGGCTCGGGTCACACCCTGCACACACGGAGGCAGCCCCGCATTTTGATGACTTCTTTCTCTAATTCATTCACAGTTATGTGTCACTTAGAAAGACAAAATTTAAAAGATTTTCACAAGGAAGAAAAAAGAAAAATTAATCACCAGTATTGTTTGTGCCTTTGCCCTGATAGCTTGTGAAACATTATGTCCCTAAGCTGCCCTTCCTCGGTTCCGTCCACATAACTTTTAGACAAACGGGAAGCCCACGTCTCACTAGATGTGTACTGCCAGTTACATTTTAGGAGTCGCTTTGCAATTTGAGGGGAGGCAGGATTTCGAGGGATGTGGAGTATTTAACCCCAGCCGAGAAACAGTGCTGGGCTCATGATTTTCCGGCCAGCCTTCAACTCTGCACTGTCTGGGCTCAGGTCATGTTCAGACCCCCACACCACGGTGTCTACTATGTTACCTGGTCCATCGGATTTCTTTTTGACTGGCTCCTCCTCTCGGTCTTCCCAGTCCACAGGACCTGCAAGGGGTTTGATAAAGATGAGTTACATAACTTGTAGGGCAGTGAAATGCCAACACTACTCTTCCGTGCGGAAAGGAATTTATAATCCAGTCTGGGACACTCTGCCTATTGCAAGAATTCCTGGGGAGAAGTTGTAATAATTCAGCACTCATTTCTGTGCACTCCAGAATAAAGGTATGTCTATCAAGTAGGTAACTACAACCCTGTGCCAGATCCAGCTGGCTGGCTGTTGTTGGAAGGCCTAAGTCCTGCAAGGCTTTCATCTGTTTAATAGTTGAAAAAATATAAAGAGTAGTCTTTTGTGCATGGAAAAATTATATTAAGGTCAAATTTTAATGGAACACAGCCAACCCCATTTCCTTATGGGTTGTTGGGGCCACTTTTAATCTACAATGGGCTTATAATACTCCTTGTGTCCCTTAAAAAAGTCCACTTCCTGAGACATGCTATGAAATTTTAATTTTGAATATATTGGGATGGTGTTACAAATTTTAGTTTGCCATATCTTAAGATGACATCAGAGGATGTCATCATTGGATTCCGTACCCCTCATTTAAAGTTAAAATGGAAAGATCTAGTAAATAAAAATACAGATGGCCTGTCGAACTTCAAGGTCAGACAAAAAAGGAATCTGCTTAGTGTGGATACGTTCATTGTAGCAGACATCCCTGCCCAGTACTAGCAGGCTATGCTATGAGTGGTATGTGCTTCTTGCTTTCCCTGATTCAACTATACTGTTTTATATCAGGAGTCAGGCCAAAGCTCTATGTGACTCAAATAGGCCTGTCAGATGGTGGACTGGATGAGTACAGCCCCTCCCTGAATGGCTGCCGTGGAAACCTAGGCCCTGGTCTGTGAAGTGGCAGTGCTCTGCTGAGTTACATGCAACTGAGACCCCAGTAAAATCCTCTCCCCTGAATTATGGCTTCTCACTGACCCAATGGGTTGCTTGCTAATTGCAACTGGTCCCAGCACCAGTTTGTTCTATCCAAGCAAGATAAGCAGTGCCAACTCCCTATCACCTCTGCCTGGCACCATCATGCCAGGTGTTCAGCAGTATTTCACTAGATGCCTTCAAAGTATACCTGGATCCCTATTCCTTCCCACTATTGCACTCAACAAATACTAGATGTGATTGGGGAGCTTTGTCTTTACTGCCATCAGCAGCACTGACCAGGACTCAAGACCCAGCTGCTTTACTCTAAGTCTTGTTTCCTGACTATTCTTTAATTCACCTTGTGCTGTAGTGGCTCACAGGAGGCCAGGACCCATGACAGAGATTCTGGCAAAGTCCCCTTCCCTTATAGTTCATACATTATGTTCAGGTTGCACTTAAGCTAAGCATTACCTGGTTTTTATTTAGAAAACTCAAATTTACTGGGCTTCCTGTGCTTTATCTGATAACCAATGATGAACACCATTCAGAATCTGACTGTAGGTCATCTTTGCAAAATTAGTTCTGAGTAAATGTCAGTGTCCTATCTTCCCTTCTACCACCATTTCACATGGTGTCTTTAACAGTTAAGCTGACCTACTGTTTAGTGTTTCTGCACACAGCTTTGCTTTCTTCTGGAATGTCAATCTATGCAGAAACTACCATTTTTGAGGATGCATCCTCTGACACTCTTAAATACAAGAAACTCTTTCTCCTTCTGGTCTTATAGTATGGATTTTTCCCCTACACTTGTCTTCTGAGCTGGTAAGGACATCGGGCTCTGGAGCCAAGTCACCTGCCAGGAAGTGGAGACGAGCTATTCCTTGACCGGCTCTGGGAGCACAGGCAGTCTCTTCTTTCTTTGGGATGAGGGTCCCACATTTGCTTGGGAGTGAGGGTGTGGGGGTGCTGTCGGAAGGACTTTGTGCATTACTGTGCCCAAAGCACTGACTAGAGTTCCAGCCGCCCAAGGACAGACTGTGAGGCCTGGAAGAGAGCTGGAAGAAGTGACACCTTCCACTGAGATGCCACCGAGTGACATTTACTAAAGGGAGGTGTGTACAGCCATTTCAGTGCTAACATCACCACTGCGACTTGCAGGTAACTGGTGGGGCACCTCGTGATACTGAGCCTTCCTCAAGGTGACTCATGACACACTCCTGGGACCCAGCAAAGATTCTGAGAGGACAAGTATCTAAGAACAAATGCAATTTTAAATAAGGGGCATCTGCCTTCCTAAGCATTACAGCTAATTGCACGGCTCCCGGGCTCAGGAGTACAAGGCGCTGGCCCAGAACCTGAGAGTGGAGAGAGGATCAGAACAGAGACCAGATCGGACCCCAGGCGGAGGAGCTCACCCTGGTGGGAGTGGCAGTGGAGTCTGAAAACAGGAAGCATCATCTAATAGAAATTGTAGTTACCTATCCACTGAGAAGCCTAAAAATTACATTTGAATCCATATAATAAAAAATTAAGATGTTCGTACAATTAGCAGGAAATATAGGAAAACATTTGTTTAATAGTTGGGGGAGGGGCTTTGCAAGCCAGAGGATGACTATAAAACTACAGTGAGAAATACACCTTTGATATAAAAAATTTAGAAGTCCATTAAGATAACATATACCTTAAACTAAATTCAAATGTAAACAGTAGTATGCCTAACATATAAAGAACCTCAATTAAGAAGAAAAGAACAAATAACAGAGTGATATGAAGAAAAGGTAGAGGTGCTTCAATCTTAGAACTGGAAATGCAAATTACACAGAAAATGTGAAATCGAATGCTCAGTCTCATTAGCTCAGAATTCCGTAGACTTCAAATGGGAATAAAGGCCACCTGTCACTCCTCAGAGAGGCAAATGACAAAAAAAGCAGAAATAGCCTAGGAGCAGGAAAGAGCAGCCTCTTGTACCTGACATGAAATAGTGTGAATTACTAAACCTTTAGGAAAATGCATATTAAAATCAAAAGCAATCCCACCTTACAGAATCCAGTCTGTGGAAAGTGTGTGTTCTTCCTGACCCTTGCGGGACCTTTAAGTACACAGACAGACATACGTCTGACAGCCTAGGGAAGTTCTGCAAGTGTCTGGCAGCACTGCTTACAGTGGCAAAAATCCGGAAGCAGCCTTTCTGTCCATTAAGGATGAGATGAACGAATAAATTATGCACATCTGTATCATGGGATCTCTCGCAGCTAATAAAAGTGATACAGTTTCATACATTTTTAATTGAAGAAATGTCCACGACATATTGTTAATGAAAGTACAAGAGTTATCTGTAAGCATGAACTCATTTTTGAAAAACAAACAAATGAACTATATGCACTCGGAAAAGGCTGACAGCACATGGTCAGCGATGTCCCTTCGAGGCTGGGCAGGGAGGGCCTGAGTGGGGCTGGGCCTCGTTCACTTCCCTACTCCATGGCCCTGTGCAGCAGAACGTGATCTCATTCTTCTCCTTACACAAATCAAAATTTAATTAAAGTTGCCAAGAGATAGCAGGGAGAAAAGGAAGTCTAAAGAGAGGTTTTTTAGTTAGAATTACATTAGAGATTAAAATTTCCCTTTTATTTTTTGATTGTTTTTGGAATTTCACAAGGAATCGATGGGTGCATTTTCTCTGTAAAAAATCAAAAAATGTGAAAGATAGGCCTCAAGTTTCCTTTAATCAGACCACTTACTCTCCATTCTCCCAAGAAGTAACTACTGCGGTTAATATGCTAAGTATTCTTCCAGATCTTTCTTTTGCATTTAATCACTATCATACCCACCTATTAAAGATACAAAATATCTCCAGGGAACTTGGTCTTCTTTGTTTCATTAATGGCTTCATTCTCTGCAGCCACTTTAAGTAGTGCTGTTTTTCATTTAATCTGTCAGGAATTGTCCTCCGTGCCAATTCAGAGCTACCCATATCATTTTTAAGCTGCAGAACAGCATTCCACAATACATTGGTAACATCATTCCTTCATTATCTGCTTTATATGGACATTTAGGGTGTTTCCAAATTTTGTTATTAACAAGTGATGTCTGTCTGGTGGGTATTCTTAGTCACGTGGGCAAGTGCATGGGTGTGAAGATGGCTTGTGCAGAGCCGCACACCGATAAGTGGGGTCGGGGCGCACACAGCCCTCTCTTCACACGCCTCTCGTGGTGTGTGCAAGCACCTTGCTTCTTACCAGCAGCAATAAGAAAATGATTGCCAACTCAATGGCAAAACATTTTAAAACTAGTACATCAAAATATTTAGTTTGTGCTTCTTGGATTACTAGTGAGACTGGACATTTTCACTTTCTGGTCTGTGAGTTGTTTTCCATAACCCAGTTACTGGGTTGAACTTTTCTCTTGATTTTTAGGAATTCTTGACATACTCAGAACACTAATTCTTAGTGTAATATGGAGTGAAAACATTCTCAAATACGTCATGCGCTCTTCTACTCTGCCTTTGGCGGTCACTGCTGTCATATGGAATGGTTCTGCCCTTGGAAATGTGTTTACAGCTCACCTACTGGCATAATGCTGCATTTGGTGTGCGTTTGAGATGCGGAGACAGAGACAAGGTAGGCAGACTAGGGCAGGGGCGTGAGTCAACTAAAGGCAAGGGCTGGGTAAACCGAGATACGCCCTGGGAAGCAAGCCCAAGGGCCAACAGACTAGTAACTCTGCGGACTGCAAGAAGCCTAGCGGCAGGAGCAACTGCATGCCTTCATTTCTGCACACCCACTACATCTGAAAAGGGCAGCAGATGACGCCCACCAATGACAAACTGCCTCTTTTGCACACCCAAAAATGATTCTAAGAACAGAACAGGTATATAATAGAATAGAAAAGAATGTAAGATTTATCCCTAGATTTACGCTTCCTTGGTGTCCTGGGGCAGAGAGAGCTTCTCTCTGCTCTTTCCAATAAACCACACCTGCTTTACTCCCCACTGTGGTCCTGCCGACTTACTTCTGCGACGTCCTCAGGACAAGAGCTGGGAGTGGAAAATTGGTTCCAGTCCTGTGCTATTTGTAACTCCTGAGTCTTGAGTGCACTTTCTCTTTTTTTCTGGATCAAATTGCCAAAGGTTCGTCTTTCTCATTGATTTCCCCCCGACCAGGACTAGCTTTTAGCTTAATGAGCAAAGGCTTTTTCTTGTATTCCTTTCTTGTTACTTAATATTACTTTTTCCCCTTCTATTTTTTTGGATTAACGTTGTTGCTCTCTTTTTTTCCTACTTTACAATATTTATCTTAATTTAAATTCGTGCATCAGTACCTTCCAAGCGCTGGCGAAGAGTGACTAAGGACAAACAGAGCCGTGGGCACTCTGGAATGTAAGCATCACCCCAGGGAGCCTCTGTCCTTCCCCACTGGAGACTCACCCTCCCGGGATCCTCTCCTCCTGCATTTCTGTTCTTCTCTTGCAGACCTTTTCTTCTCCTTGTGCCGCTGCCTGAGTGCCGTCTTAGGATCAGTAATCCAGGCTTGATACACAAACTGAAGGAAGAAAGTTCAATTACTTTCTGGCTTTTTAATAATTTGCAGTGAAGAGAAGAGGGACCTATTCCAAGCTTTCTAAGTTTAGGAAATCTTTTTCTCTTCCGACACTCCCAAGCCCACCCACCCTTCTTCACCTCCAGATGTTGGGCTGACTCGCGCTGTTTTCCTTAGCCTAAGATTTAATATGAAAACAGATGCTGTGAGAACAGACTTCACTCGGTATCCCAGACAACCCCGATGGGAACTTTGGGGATGTACAAACCCCCTACCCCCGGATTCCTAAATCCCACCGCCTCTGCAATTTTTTTCTACACCCAGCAGGAATAGCTGGAAGCCTCACTAGTGTCAGAGTGGTTTCTCCTGTCACACAGACTGAACCCAAAACAAGACAGTATCTTTATATTCACTTTGGGGAAGTAGTTTTGCACATTCAATACTCTCCTTTGTGAATAACAGCCATTACAAGCAACTTGAGAAAGGCTTTGAAAGTGATTAGCATTTTGAGAGGAAAACATGGGATGGTGTCAAGGGAAAGTGGTTACTCCAGGAGTATGGAAGGGAAACCCTGCTGTTTTGGTTGCCTTTCGTCATTTGAGTTCAAGAGCTGAAAACAGTTGCATTAATACACTGTAACCAATAACCAGCAGAGAGCAGTGCTGAACAGCCCTCCCCCACCCCACCCCCGTTTCTCCAGAATCATGCAGAAGAAAGAAAAAGAAAAGCAGCGGAGAAACTGAAGCCGGGCAGGCAGGCCCCATGCACCCCACACACCTGGGTCTCAGGGAAGCTGGCTTTTCACTCTGAAGGAAAAGTTAAATGAATGCGTTCTGGGGGCTCCTGGGACCCCAGATATTTTCAGATTTCTGAAATCTTTGAAGAACACAGCATGAACAAACCCCTGGCCTCATGGCACCAGTGGGAAATAGAGGGGTCAGCTTTCCACTGTGAAATGGAAGGGCCACAGGGCACCAAAAACAGTTTTTCCTAACGGGCAGAAATCTGGATCGTTTGGGCAGTGAAGACAAATGCAAAATTTGAATTATTTTTGGATAACAGATTCAACAGGCAATAAATGTCAATATGCCAAAATATGCTTAATGAACGGAGGAAATGGACTGCAGAAGGGAGCCCATGTGCATGTGTGGAGGGTTAATCAGGAAGTCTACCATCCTGAAGGTCGGCACCCTCCAAAGCAAACCCTTCAGCATGGTGTGGTGGTTTGAAGAGTCTGAACTATTAAATGTGAGAAATTTTCAGGTGCTAAGGGGGACGTATGGCAACACTACCTTTAAACATTGTTATTACAATGTTTTAGATAATGAAAGAATCCCCAAAAGAGAAAAATACAGAGATCATTAGATCTGTGAACATCGTGAGGCTATGAACTGGAAGAGTTCTTTTGCCCTGGGGAAGAAGCAAACTGAAAGGCGGGAGCAGGAGCTTTTGCGGGGAGGTGGACCCCGCAGAAGGGGCGGGGATGCTAGGACGTGTGGCCTCAGTGGTCCCTGAGAGGCTGCAACAGCGGGGTGGGGGAAGAGGAGGGAGGGTTCGGGCCTATGAATTTCTTTATTTGTCGGGGAATCATCTTAACATTGAGGTTTGCAAGCACAAATGTTTGAAGAGTCAGGACAGGGGAGGTTCCTCCAGAACATCCCTGTTGTCCCTTGGTTGCTCTTACTGTCACCCAAGTGGACAGGTCCACCCAGGGGACTCAGGCACTTAGCGCCACCTGCTGTGGTGGAAAAATACTCAGAAATGTTTGTAGAGGACTTGGGGGTCTCCAAGTGGACACCACTAGTAGTGTGTGTGCCTGACTTTATCTTAACTTTTATTCAAATGAATTTACCTTCAATTTTATCACATATATTAGGGGATACTGGGATTCATTTTCACTGAACTCTTACTACGCAAAAATGCATGAATTTTTCAAAACAGGGAGAGTTCTGCTGAAGTGGAGATCTTTCCCTGAAATAGGGAGAGTGTGTAATCTGTGCTTTATTTCAAGCGCGATCCACCACCTTCTTCATGCTGTGTGTGCAATCATTGTTTGGCAGAAAAATAGGGGATGGTTGCATGGTAGTTTTTCACTTAAATAAAATTTAGGATATGAGCTAGGTCCTGCGATAGCCACACAAGAGAAAGCAGCACAATGACTCTTAGCTAAGAGACAGCTTCCTCGAGTTTTATAAACAAAAGGAGGATGGAGGACAGGGCTCAGCTGCTTGGGGTGGAGCCCGGGACACGTGAAACTTCAGGTCCATGGGCTGCTGCATTTCAGTGAGATCTGGGAGAAGTGTGAGACACCCTGGTCTCTGTCACTGTCTCCACCATTTCCTTAAGGCTGGAGGAGCATGTAGAGCCGGAACCTGCCCCTGGCTAAAATAGGAAAAAGGGCTTCCAAAAGGCATGATTTTAATTTGTCATCTGCGGTGTTCAGTCACAATGGGGATACAGCGTGGCAGCTGAGTAACTTTTCGTATGTGTGAGAGGGGCGGACCGGCAACCGTCCCACAGTTTATTCTGTGGCACTGCCACAGTGAGCCCCGAAACGGGATGATCAGGTGCAATTTAGGGCGACGAAAGGGGGACCGACAGGGGATGGAGCCAAAGGAGTCTTTTGTGAGGTCATCCAGAATTTCACCAGCTCTCTGAGAAGAATTCCTGTGTGTTTCTCTCATCATAACTGAGCATGCAGCCAGATGTGACCCTTTTGAAAAGAGATGTCACCGAAACGCAGCTATGAGGAGACAGAGAGTAAGTACGTATTATCTGCATTTTCCCTTTCTATTCTCTATGGTCTCTTAGCTTAAAAACAAGAATCAAATAATAAGCATTCTGGCATCAAAGAACTTGTTTTGGAAACTTTTCTTAAGATTTTGCATCCTTTTAGCTCCTCCTCCATGGCAAAATGTATAGAAGAGAGAAAATGCAGATATGCGATGTGTTTGTCTAAAGTTCTACGGAGCAGAGTCACGCACTACACGTCAGGAAAATATGAAATACCTTGGCAGCTCTGATTAAATACTGGAGAATAGTTTTGGGAAGTTTAATGACAGACTTTGGCAAGGCTAAAATGGCTGACGCAAACTTCCCAATAGCTCTCTACAAAGAAGGACAAAGCAAGAGTAATTAGTAGGAAAAAACACTAATCACTTCATATATGATGTCATATGAGTTTGTATGATTAACATCAACTAAAACATGCCAAGTGTTCAATCCAGAAAGACGTGTTCCACCTGTGAGGAGTGAGGACAGCAGTCACTGCCTGGCACCCATCAGACAGAAGGTGCCGCACAAGAGTGGGGTTAGAGTCACACTCAGGAAAAGGAACACAAGTCATTAGTACTCGGCAAGCCAGCGGCACGTGTGCACGCAGACGCGGTCATCAAGTCACACAGGGAGCAAGTGGAACAGCAGCAGACCAAGGCGTCTCCACATCGTCAGGAAGACACGGGTGCTGCAACCTGCCAGCTTCAGAAGGCCTGGCCAGAATGTGCCGGTGACCTTATTTAATCATGGGCACATCGCGTGACCAGTGGGTATGATCTATGTTCCTTGTGTGACAAACCGGAAGCAACCATCCTGGTGTAGCACTGGGAAAGGGAGCAGACACCAGGCTGTCATCCCAGGTGCCATCAGGGTTAAAGCCCCATCTGTAAGGAGCAGGACACCCCCTTGCCCAGCCCCGGTACAGACACTGAGATGCAGATTCTGGAACAGGAAGGTAGCAAAGCTGAAAAGATCAGAACTGGGCCAAATGTCGTTATTATGATTCCAATACACTCTCAAGTCTTGAGCAGGACAAAGGAAACTGATTTCTAAAACCTGCAGCAAAAAAAACCTTTTGTTTCAAAGCAAAGTCAGTATAGTATTTTCATAGTCAGGGTTCCACATATTGACCCCTAAGTTCATTCAAGCAGCCCAAAGCAACGCCAAAGAAGTCTTGTTCATCTCCTACTTGCAACAAAAATAAAGTTCACCCAAAGAAGCTTTGTTTTTTTTTTAAAGCTTCAGCAAACATTCTGATGCAAGAATGAAGACCTGACCCAGGCACAGTCCCAGGCTGCAGCAGGGGTGGAGCCCCGGCCCCAGGGGCTCCGCAGTTTCTGGGGAAGTGCCCAAGGTGGTGACGCAGGCAGGGGCTGTAACGGGGGGCTGTCAATGGGAAAACTCCTCAGCCCTGGACAGAGCCCTCCTGCCTCCTGCTTACCTGGAACGCTGACTTTCTCGGGGGCTCCTCATCCTCTTTCTTCGGTTCTTCCTCTTCCTCTTCTTCACTATCCGTTTCGAACAAATAATAATCTCCACTCCTGACCACTACGCAAAACAAAATATGTGCTTATTTTTCGAAAGGGAGAAGAAACAATCGGGGAATCTTCATGAAATTCCCCCTACGGACACACAAACAGACCATAAAAGCACCATGACAAAAACAGCAGGGAGGAGAACAGGAGACAAAGAGAACCCATCTGGGCCTGCGCTGTGCGGCACGGCTGGGTCCACAGAGCACGAGGCCTGTCCCACGGCCACTGCAGGGCCGACCTGGTGTCCTCTCCCTTCTTTGTTATAAATTCACTTGGCTGAATCAGATCAGCTCTGCAGCAGCCAGATTCATGGCCAACATGGCCCGCGTGAGAACCACCATTTCACAATCAGCCAACGGTGCCGGCTGGACAGGGCCAGAGTGCAGTGGAGGAGCTGGCACCATCTGCGACGCAGAAGCCAATCAGAACGATTTGGGACCAAGATCGGTGCCACCAACCCTCCACTTCACTCGGTACTGTGCAGACCTGGCTTCTCCACACAGGACACGAGACAACACACAGAGGACAGGACATCCGAAAGAGTGAACAAAAAAGAACAGTCACACAAACCGCCACAGGGAGGAAATGTGTAGGTAACACCAAAGACACAACAAAACATAAGAACACCGCCAGAACCACTGCTCTGTCTGCTCTGCCCGTGCCGAGGCAGAGGGGACCGCAAGGGGTCCGCAGGGCTCAGCACTGCCAGGCTTCTGGGTGGCACGCTCCTCCCAGAGCTTAGCGGGATGCAGAGAAGACTCTGCCGGCCCGGTCACAGCACACAGAGCGTGGGTGCCACTGCCTGCCTGACCCTTTCCCTGTGGGAACACAGGCCTGTGTCGAGAGGCAACAGCAATGACCAGAGATGGAGAGAAACAACGAGATTCAGTCCTGAGCAGCCTGGTGAGCATTTTCAGTTTAGCAGAGAAGAGGCCCAGCTGCTACAAGAACTGCATAGTCATTCGGGAGACACATGTGCATTTCCCAATTCCACTTGGGTCTCTGAAGCTGCCCAAGCGTCTTCGGGGTGACATCTGTGACATCTCATGAGGTCTTTTGGGCTTGGACATTGTAAGGTAATGGAAAACCTTGGCTTATTTACAATTGGTTGTTTACATATCACTAAACATGGTCAAAAATCAAGTAATTTTGCCCACAATTTCACACGAGTCTGAAGCCTCCTCTCTTGGGGACGCAGAGTGAATGAATTGGGCCTTATATCCTTGAACAGAGAAGCACTGTAGTTTGATATTTTTACTTTGGAGAAAAAAATAGACCCAGAGTACCAGGTCCAGGCCTGAGGAAATAAACGCAATACAACATAAGGTAAGAATAAGCGAGAACAAACCAAAGTTGCAGCTTTACGCTGGACAGTGAAGGCAATGCCCACACAGAAGCCGAGAGACTGGCAAGGGAGTCGGGACTCTACGTCACACGATCGTTTAGGAAAACAGGGGCTACCAGAAGTGGAGCATTTTACCCTCATTATAGGCACTAAACTCAACAGCCAGCAAGCATGTGTTCAATCATACCTTCTGCAACACCGCCCATTCGGGTGAGCCCGAGGGGCTTTTCATCTTGAGCATTTACAGCATGGATTTTATCACAAGAAATGCCTCTAATTTGCTATGTGCAAATTAGCACATTAATAAAAGAAGGTCATATTTTAAAATAGCCTCTTGTTATTTACAAAGTGTTACTGAAACACAGGGAAATAGCAGTGCTGTCTGCTAATAACAAGTAGAAGGGCTCTTCCGGAAGCATCTGCTTCCTGCCCCCGAGGACGCACAGCACGGTGCCGAGGGTGGTGCTGAGCTCCTGGGTGTGGAATTAACTTTTGCGCCCCATCACAGGCATCCTCAGACTCTTGGCCCGTTACTCAGACATTTATCAGCAGAACCAGCTCTGTATTGGTGGGGCTAGCAGGGAGACATCTGCTTGTGAGGAAGGCATCATTGAACAGCAATAATGCAGGCCCCTGTGTGCACACAGGTGTGGAAGGAGGAGGCACGCCCACGACAGTGCCAGGGTCTCTGCTGCCCACCAGGGACGCCATCGACAGATTTACACTCGATGCTCGAACTCACATCTCTAAGGAATCTCTCTTTGAAAGCCCCATTACTCAACAGGACAGAAGAAGGGCTTTGAATAAAACTCTTCCAGATCTAAAGATAAGTTCTGGAACTCATCAAAGACTAAAAAACAAGCTACACATTCTTTCCCTTTTGTTCCTCTCAAGCTTGTAAGAGAATATAAAATATGCTTTGTAGAGAAATTTAGCATTACAATCAAATAGGATTCCAAACCGTGAATCACACACATCCCTGCATTATTGCCCCAAAAGGTATTAACAAGGCACATTTAGCTTAATACCAGTTATCAAGAAGTTGATATAATGAGGGTGAAATGAATGTGAACAATCTAACATGAATAACCTTCGCAGGAAGTTCTTTAATCATTACTACTGGTAAGATGCTTATCAAAGACCATATCCGATTCCTTGAAAATGCAATGCTTAGACAGAAAGGAGATAACCGCAGTGATCCCAGTGGGATTTCACCCCAGCAGAAGTGACAGGACATTCAGTATGACAAGATTCTGGAGTGGATGGGTCTCTGAACTCGCAGAGGCCCTTTAGAAAGGAAAGGTAGGTACAGTTTACTTGTGACTTGATAGAAATAGCCCCTAGCACCCTGCCTGGTTGGATTGCCAGCCAGGCAAAACTGTCCACCGTGGAGAGATGAGCCAGCCCCTGGGCTCCCACTTTGACTTGGGCAGAATTAACTAGGATTCTTTTTATCTCACTGTAATTTGCAACACTGATAATATTCAACACTGAGGTCAAATGTAATTACTTCCAGAAAAGTGAGCAGAGTTCAAATATGGCCTCATTAAACTAGCTTGCCAATTTTTAGAAAATGATTTCTGGGTTGAGAGAGGCCAGTGCCAAATGCAGGTGGCACTAAGAATTAGGTGTAGGAGAGATATGGGTTTACTTGATTTTCTACTGATTCAGAAACTGCTACTCAGAGAGGCCCTCCTGGTGCTGCATGACGTACACACTTGAGCAACTCCTCGCCCGGTTAGATTTGAAAAGGCTGGAGGCACACGAGTCACTGTGAGGTAGCTTCTTCAGTCTCCTAACACACCGAAGAGGACCAGGCTGAAACTGGGCCACACGTGTGAAGTCACTGGCCAAAAGGGATAACGTCTTCGCCAGCACAACAAAAGCAGCCATTGTCTCTGTAATTCCTCACTCGGGCTTTTAGGATCTGAGCAGAAATGCCCTGCATTCCATGTGGCCGTCAAGCCCCACTTTCCTGTTTTTTTCATTTATGGCCACTGCTCAGCACATGCTTAGTGTGGTTTTAGGGCCATCTCAGATGGGACAGGAGGTAATTGAGAAGGTAAATGGATTTAGAGATGCCCTTCCTCCTTCTACTTCATACACAGCCTAAAATTCTCAAGTGCAAACAAAATAAAAGCTCTGGGAATGAGGTCAGTGCCTCACAGAGGGTCACAGAGGCTTGAACATAATGGCTGTCTGTGAATCAGATTTGAGAGGAGCCTACAGTCATTTCCAAATGGGACTTTAACCGTACAACCAGAACCAGTGAGTGCTGGACCTCAGCATCAGGTCCTTCAGAATCAATTCCCTCGAGAGTGTCACCACCTGACTGGCCTCTGCAGCCAGCGTGGGGACCAGGGCCAGGGAGCCTGGCATGGCAAGTTGCCTACACACTAACCCCTATCAAGTCACAAGGGTCAAACTGTGCACGGGACACACAGGTCACAGGGAGCCTGGTTCTGGTCAAGGATATAAGGGTTAGTCGATGAGATCGGAGAGGATCGAGAGAACCTACTGGAAGCATGATCGACCCAAGGCCGCCACCACTGCTTTTTTTTGCCTTTGGCTTTCTGTTTGTCTGCTTCTCCTAAAATGAAATACGTCCAAATATTAATTCTCATAAAGTGAGCAAACACGTTCTGAAAAACCACGCTTTAATAACTCAATTGTCAAATCTAGGTAAACTGCAAAAGTCTATTAGAGGTCAGGAAAAGGAATTCTACAAAACCTGGGAGCGCACGATACTAACATCTGGCTCACAGGATAAACACAGACCTCTCTTTGACAGTAAGCTACACTTTCACTTTCTGCCTAGGAGCTGAGGGCATGTGAAGAAACGTAAGGAAAGGGACGTCAAAATGCACCTCATGTGGAAGTTTCTACCGAATTAACAAAAAAGTCTACTCAAAGTTAACAGAACCATTTAGTGGCAAATAATTTGTAAAATATATCAATTACAATAACCAAATTTTTTTTCTGTGATTATTTTAATGAGTGGTTGAACTATAACTCTTCTGGTGATGAACAGCTACTATGTACTGGAAAATTATCATGTGTTGCTTCTCTAATCCATGCAAACAGAAAAGCATGCACACTTCTATGAACAGCCTTTAAAACTTCAACTCGATATAATAAAATCTACAATTAGATGTAACGCTAAATTTACACTGAATTTTACACTAAATTTCACTGGGACAGGCAATAACTGATATTTTAACTACCAGTATTCAAGTGCCACACAAAATAATGCACAAATATTTAATTTTCATATAAAATTGATAGACATCAAAGGTGGCATATTGGAAATATCATCCCTGAACGAACAAAGTAAGCAAAGTCATGCCAATTTTCTTTATAAGCAGGTGTCTACGCGGCCAAGCTAGCCTGTGTGTTCCTTAGCGGCATCTTGCCAGAGAGTAGGTACTTATAAACCTACTCGTTCACCAGGTATGTACTTTATGAAACAAATTCATCTCATTCAAAATGGACAAGTACAACCGCCTGAGTTAAAAAATACACACAGATGACACTGGCAGCACCGGAGTAACGTTACCCTAAAGCCCTGCCCAACATCATTCAATGTCAAGGTGCACGAATGGGGAAAGCATCTCAACATACTTTCGTCATCTGCTTCGGAGAGTTTCCGGGCGTCCTGGCCTTCCCCCGACTCCTGGGTCAAGCTCAGCATCCTCTCCTTACCCTTTTTGTACTTCTGCTGCCTGGCCTTGATGCGATCCATCCTGCAATGCAAAGCGGCAAGAGTAGCGCCAGGCACACTGGGGAGCCTTCTCACGGTGGCTCCTGGACCTCGGCCTGTGTGCACACTCCATCCTGGACAAGGTCGGCAACGTCCTTCGAAGCACTCAAGAACCATGAAGTGACTGCTTCTAGCAACAAGGCTCCTTGTTTTGCACACAGCGCTCCGCCCTCAGTTGTGCAGGCTAAAGCAGCCATGGGATCTGCAGCCACACAGCCACCGGGGCACAGCCGGGGCACAGTGGGCTCTCCCAGCTGTGCATGCTCACACAAATGGGAAGCTAGCAAAGTGAGCTACAAGCCAGGCCTCATGAGAGAAATGAGCAGCTCCTCTTCCTAAACGCGGGTCCAGATCTGTCATTACCAGGGACCTGACCTAGATAGCTACCTAGAAACAACAACAGTTGTGCCACCCTGCATTTGCACTGTATTTTTTACATTTAACTTTTGGGTTGGTGAAAATAACCATGCCATGGCACAGCCTAAGGTACGACAGGAAATGATTCTGCTTGGAGGGAGAAAGCTGGTGAAGGAGGTTGAGGTAGGGTAAAGCTTTCTCCCAAACTCAGGGACCCTTCCTGGTGGCTTCACAGGGCATCACCACTTTCTGGGGGAATCTTCCAGGCTTCCATTCTATGGCCAGCAGCTGTTAAACCTGCTCCTTGGACACAGAAGCACTACAGGTCTGCTCTAAGAGAATCTCCTCCACGGAACGCACGGCTCTCCCGTGTGGAGTCACTCTGTGCCTCAGCCAGTGCTCGGCCATGTACACAGGGCAGGTGCCTGGCCACCAGGTCCAGGCCTCTAACACTGGAGGGGAGCTGCTTCTTCCCAGAGACTGGACTATATTATTTCATGGGACACTTCCAAGTGGGCCCCCTGTCACCTCCTTAACTCACGGGCCTGTGACCATTTGCTCCCAGTGCTTGGGCTTGGAGACTTGTCCTGTTCTTAGCTGGCTTCATCTTAAAAAGCCCTGAGGCAGAAAAGCGAGGCCTAATTTCCAGGACTCGGTGTGGGTGGCCCCTTCCCCTTCCCAGGAGTGACCTTGTTAAGCAGTCTGAAAGTTCAGGGTGGGGCCTGGCAGTGGTTCCAACCCCACAGCTAATGTGGGGTGCTGTGAGCATTGACATAAATGGACTTTGCAGGGTCTTGGGGCTTCCTGACAGTGGAGAGCCCACTGACAGGCCCTGGAAGGCAGGACAGGAAGAAGAGCAAAAGAATAGTGTCCTTACTGTCTCTTCAGCTGGTCCATGGACTTTTTCTCCTCCTCGATTCTTGCTTTCACAGCTTTTACAATGGTGGCCTGGAAAAGTTCAGCCCCTCTGCAGGAAAAGCGGGAGCACAGAACAGATCAGTGACCTCGTCACCCAACGGGAAGCAATGTTGAGTTAGGACACAGCAGCGCAGTCATGGGTCCCGGCTGGGAGACACAGCCCTCCCAAGCCCCTTCCTGTGCATGCATGAGGGTGCTGTCCATGCCAGGGTGGGGGACACGCAAGGCCATGAGTCCCCTCGAATGTGTCCCCCCAAACGTCACAGACTCTGCCAGGGCGTGGGCAGCTGTCCAGTCCTTACAAGGTGAGCAGGCCCAAGACTCTGCCAGGAGGCCAGGTCCAGGGCTACAGCTGCTCTCCTGTCGGGACAGCAGGCAGGGTCTGTCCTCCTGGGACCTGCTAGGCCCTTCCCAGTTGCAGCCCGGGCCCCACCCCGTTTTGTACCCTTCCTCCTGCCTGTCCCACCCTCCCTGTGACCAGTTCCAACCCAAGCGTGCCTATGTGCTCAGGTCCTGCTGACCTAGCGCTGGTGAAACCTCTGGCCTTGCACATTTCCGGGGCAGCAGGCTCCCACCAGCACGTGGAGGAGGCCTGTCCTGGGTGCTCCGGGTTGCCGCCTTTTCTCCCCTGCTCACTCTCCCTGCTCTGGGAAGGCAAGGCTGCCTTGCTTCGCCCCTTCCTGTGACCTCCTGGCCTGTACCCGGAGGCCTCTTACCTCACACATGCTATTGTCTGAAAGTGGGTCCTCAGATCCACAAGTTAAAACCTCATGCCCAAGGCAGTGGGGTCAAGATCAAGGCTGGGGTGGGATGGTTAGGCATGGGCGGATGAGTACCCCAATAAAAAGGACCCACGAAACTGGATGTGGTGGCATAAACCTATGATCCCAAGCAGTCTGGGAGGCTGAGGCAGGAGAACTGCAAGTCTGAGTCCAGCTTGGGTAGTTTAATGACTTAGCAAAACCTTGTCTCAAAATAAAAAGTCAAAGAGAGGTGAGCTGAGGATGTAGCTCAGTGCAAAGGCCTTGTGTTCAATCTGAAAAGGAAAGAAAACACAAAAGGCCTAAGAAGTCTCTGCTCTTTCCAGCGTGAGAGGACGCAGTGCGAAGGCGCTGCCTGCATGGAGCAACCTACGCGCCAGGATGCCCTGTGTACCCTGACTGGGCTGCACTTGCGGGAGGACGTGAGCCAGGCCCCCGGGATTCCCACAGCGCTCAGCGTCTGCTGCGGAAGACAGGGCTGCTCTTTGACAAGACCGAGCCAGAGCCTTTGCGCAGGACATACTTTCCGGACAGTTCCGACCCTCTGGGGAAAGACCCTGGCTTCCCAGGATGTCTCAGACCTCAGAGGGCCTGGAGAGGGTGGTGACATAAGAGACACGAGTGTCAATGAGTAGGTTCCTACTGGCCGGAGATAGGGAACGTTGCTGAAAATGATGTCCTGGCCAGTAAGAAACCGTCAAGGTGAACCGCGGGACTCACGTTGACAGGACAGGAAGTCACTACTCACGTGCGAGGGCGCAGGCTGCCACAGGCCCCAGGCTTGCCCTTGCCACGTGGCCAAAGGTAGGAAAGGAGCCACGGGCCGTGGGAGAGGCACATTTCCGAGGCAGCCCTCCTCAGGAAGGGGGCAGGCTCCAGACGTGCTGCTTAGACCACCGGGCGCCTGTGGCAGCGATCCCAACCCTCCCCCTGCCCTGCCCTGCCACCCTCTTCTTTCTTTTCTGTGCTGCCACTGAACCCAGGGCCCTGGACAGGTTACACTGCAGCCCCAGTGCCCCGCTGTTTTCTTTTAAGAAAAGTCTGCTCTGATTATTTGCCCTTTAAAAATAGGACCATTTTCTCCCTGAAAAGTGTCCAGAGGGGAACGAGAAGGGAGGCACACGCTGCTTCTCTATGCAAGATCTGGGAGCCTTCAGGATGCTTCTCCCCCACCAGGACTCTCTTCCTGAGACAGGGCGGGAGCAGGGCGATGGCGGAACCAGCCCTGCATGGCTGAGCTCCCTGGGCTCTGCACCACCTGCCCCCCTGCAACCTGCCTGGGTGTCCCCCATCCTCACACAGCGCCACCCGGAGCCAGGCTCCAGCACTACATGGGCCTGGTGCTGGGCTCCTCTGCACTGGTCCTCCCCAGGGACTTCTTGATCCCCTCCTCCCACTGGGGCGGGCTGAGCTCAGCATTGTGTCTCTCAGGTGAGTTCCTGAAGGAGCCTGGGCTCCTCGCCTGACCCACCTGGACGCCAGGATCTGGGATGCTTTTATGTCGGCCACAACGTGCAGGAAATAGTAGCTCATGAACACCCTTCGCTGCAGCAGGAGGAAGGCGAAGCAGATGCTGTCCCAGATGATGCCCGCCTCCCCGCTGGGCAGCTTGCAGGACACATCGTCGGAAGCTGTGGGGCAGGGTGGGGCAGCAGAGGGGACATTAAAGTGAGTATCCATTCCCGGGCTGTTTTAGACATCTGTGGGGAGGACAGGCGGCCCGGCAGCTTTCTGATGCATGCACGACCCCAGCGCTGGTTTGTCCAGCATGAACACGGGCTCCCGGGGCTGACGGCCACACGGCAGGCTCCCCTCGGAGGGCCCCGCAAGGGGCCATGGCTTCCGTGACAGAGGACAGGCTCCCACCTGGAAGGACACGACCACGTAGGACGGAGCCCCACCAGGGTGGCCGGGGACGGTGGACAGCGTCTGCCATGGAAAGCACAGGAAGCAGCGTCTGTGCAGGGCTAAGTGGTGCAGGGTCAGAAGCCCCGTGGGGACAGCAATGCGCCCCCACAGCTGCCGCGGAGAGCAGGCATGACTGCGTCCTAGGCTCTGCCCCCTTCTTCTCTGTGGCTGAGGGAAGGGTCCTCAAGGGCCTGGATTCCGACCAGAGCTCTGAGCGGCTCCAACTCACAGAGCACGTAGTGACTACAGCATCACGCCCGCCCTGGGCCCCCAGGACGGAAAGTTCTAGAAATGATCTGCGGTGCCTGGAGAAGGGTCCTCTCCTGTCACAAATGAGGCAACCCCAGTGCACTGTAGCTCTGCCACCTCCGTGAAGGGACAGCCTCAGTCTCCGCTCTGATTTCTCCTCTTTACTGCTGCAGCCCAGCTCTTCCAGAGAGTGACACGGCGTCTCCCCTGACTGCCCAAGCACCGAAGGCACCTCTCCTACTCACGCATTGTGTAGCCTTTGACGGTGCAGGCCAGGCTGAAGGCCTGGATCAACCAGCAGCTGTTCTTCACCAGTGTCCCGATGTATCCACACGCGCCGATCTGGTGAACGAGCGGGGACAGGTTCAGGGTCTCCAGACCGGAGCACACGTGTGGGGCGAGAGGCCTGCTGTGCAGGGTCATGAGCGGGTACAGGGGACCCACGCATAAGTCACTGCGCGGTCGTGCCAGCTGTCTTGGGGACAACATAGGGCCGGAAAGTGACGCCCAAGGAGGAGGGAGGGCCTCAGCACAGTGTGCTCGGGAGACCTCAGTTCTCAGGAAGAAATCACAGCACCACACAGGACAAAGGCCCCGCTCTGCACCAGGCCCACAGCAAGCTGGGAGTCTGGCCAAATTCTTTCCTCACAGGCCAAAGCAAAGCTCTCCTGTTCCCAGGAGACCGCTCACGATCAGCTGCAGGGCCACTCTGAGGACAGCAGCCAACAGTGCAGCCCCTCCACCCGTGGAGTCTGCATCCTTGGAATCATCTGAGCTGTGGCGAACAGGCTCAGACCTTTTCCTGTCACCATTCCCTAAACAGTGTCCTGCGCCTGACACGGCATTTACGTGGTCTGGATACGTGAGTGGGCTGCGCACAAACAGCGTGCCACTGTATATATGGAGTTGAGCATCAGAGGGTTTTGGGGTTCCTGGGGCCCTGACACCCATCGCCAGGGATCCAGGGACCCCAGAGAGACTAGAGGTGTCCTGAGACCCGCTGAGCTAATTCTCTGTGCAAGGAGACCCATCTCACAGCCCGGCCTGTGGCTTCTGCACAATAGTGAATTTCCCATTCCAGTTACAGTAAGCTCAGCTGCCGGTTCCCAGCCAGCACAGCGTGTGTCCAGGGCGCACGCACCGAGACAGCATGAGGGTCTGCTCCCAAGGCAGCGGTCACTCAGCCCGAGAGCGCAGCTCCGCAGCCGTATTCCCGTCCTTCCCACCATGCCCCTCCCAGGCACCAAAGGTGCTTTACCCTCTGCCTCCCTGGGGAGTTCTAGATGTGAACAGCATTGTGTCCAGGAAGCGTCCTGACACCTACCCAGGCGGGACACTCGCACCCGCCCTGCCCTTCCTCTGTTCCCTCCTGTTCTTTCCCTCTCTTCTCTCCGTTTCTCTTTGGTTTCCCTCCAGTGTCATCAGCACGATGACTAATAACTGCAGTGTCACTGCTTTACACTTTCAGAATGTGAGATAAAGGGTAAAACCCGAGTGCTCTCTATCACTAATTCTTCACAACACGAAACACTACTCAGCAAGGAAGAGGTCAGCAGAGTGGACGGGCGGGCAGTGGGTGTGGGAGCAGCCTCCAGGAGCGGATCCCTCAAGTGGAGACCAGCTGTAGAATGAAAGGCATTCAACGACCTACATTTTAGTTTGTTCTTTAAGTGATTCACACTTTGGGTTTCTCAGAGAAGTTATGCGATATCTAAGCTCATGTGTCTGATTTCCTTCACGTAGTATTGCAACCCTAGGAAGCAGAGCTCTTTTGTGAGGAAAAAAGGGAGGGCGTGGCAGAGGAGGGGAGGGAATGAAAGCCTCGAGGTGAGAGCTGTCCCGGCTGCAAACATGTACTGACACGTACTGCCATGTACTGACACGTACTGACATGTACTGACATGTACTGACATGTACTAACATGTACTAACATGTAAACGCTTCTTAAAATAAAAATAAAAAAATAGAAGAACGAAAGGCCTTCCACGTCCTGCTCACCCTACAACAGCTTCAGCACTGCTCTGGTGTGGCCAGGGGCGGTGTGGTCACAGAGCCGACTGGGTCACTTGCCCGTCCACCAGAAAACCAGTCTCTCCCCGCACGGCTGCACACACTTGCAAACACAGCGGCCCACGGGCACAGCAAACCCACAAAGCCCCACGGCCTCCCCGTGTGTGGCCCTCCTGGCTCTGGAGTCCCAGTGGCGCAAGGCTGGCACCAGGTGTCAGTGTGGGAGGTGCTCGCTCCTGCAGCCTGAAGCCGCCGACCGCTGTCCCGCAGCTGCTGACCTCACAAGGTCCTTGCGGCTAGACGCTGCTGGGGCCTCTGCTGCAGTCAATGCAGGAGGGCAGTGTGCTTGGCCCAGGCCCAGGCCTGGAGGCCACCATGCAGCTGCGCCCTCCACATCCGTCCACATCTCAGAGACACAAACTTCGCCCCTCATCCTCCCCAACCTACCGCGCTCGCTCAGGAAGCACTGTCACTTTATAAGTCTGCAGCCCCTTCTGGGTGGAGCTGCTTTATTTTCTTTCTTCAATAGAAAAAAGGTGGAATCGACCCCAAGCAAGTACTCTACCACTGAGCTATACCCATAGCCCTTTTTATTTTACATTGAGCCAGCATCTTGCTAGTTGTCCAGGCTGGCCTTAGACTTGTGATTCTCCTGCCTCAGCTTCCCAGGCAGCTGGGATGACAGGTGCATGCCAGTTGCTCCCTTGTGAACATGACATGACTGAAAAATTTGCTAACTTTGATTCAGCTCAACCGAGGGCCACTTCCAACACATCCAGGTGTGATGGAGGGTTTGAACTAATGACGGCCATGCAGAACTGAGTCCTGTGAGTACCCATGCCTTCACCCATGATCCTGAGATGGTTAGAAACGCACAGGAGTACTGCTTAATGTGGCAAAAACAGAGTTATAAACTGTAAGTCGAATCCTGAATCTGCAGCATCTTAGCTGGGGTTTTTGACAGAGCCACGTGAGAGGTGGGAGGCTTTTATGAACCACCCCGTGCACTGTTCTATCCCAGCCGTGGCCACCTACCGACAGAATATTCTTCATGGTGATCACGAAGACGTTGTAGGCGATGAGCCAGTCCCAGTAGCGCAGGATGCTCCTGATGGGCTTCAGCAGCAGGTCACCCCCGAAGAGCAGGAAGTAGAAGCAGGCCACCAAGTAGCCCATGCAGAAGATGCTGATCCTGGTGGTGCCCGTGATGAAGATGATGGTGAGAACGAACCAGAAGAGGTAGCTGAAGATGATCACCTTGGACATGTCCAGGTAGGACCTGGAGAAGCAGCACAAGCAGAGGTGGCATCAGGAGGAGGGCGAGTGCTCACCGGGCCTGCATCCTCCAGGAAAGCACTCTGCGGCCCCACGAGCCTGCGTTCACCTCTGACGTCACAGGCGCGTCTGTGGGCCGTGGCACCGGGGGCCGCCGTGGCGTGGGCCTGCAACATGCGGGGCACGTGAGCCCAGCGCAACCTCAGGTGGGCCAGCTTCTCACCAACAGCAGCGCGCTCTGCCTGCTACCTGACCACTCAGAATTCCTCCTTAAAGTTTATTTTTTCTAACAGTTTTACTCAGACATAATTTACAAAGCATAAAGTCCACCCTTTCACAATGTACAATTCAGTGGTTCTTACTCCATGCACAAGGTAGGGCAGCATTTTCACCACCCAATTTTAGAATATTTTTATCACCGCAGAAAGAGACTCCATCCTGGTCACCTCCATCCTCCTCATCACAGGCCCTGGCCAACACCAGTTTACTTCCTGTTTTATTTTACCATAACACAAGTAGCTATTAATAAAGAAAATATGAGAAGGCACTCTTCTTACTTCTATGAAAAATAACACAAAATTTCATAACAAATGAACTAGAGAATAATGATGGTCAATAAACACATTGTTACTCAGTGTACAAGTCACGGACAAAAACACTCTGACTTACAAAACAGAAACAAGTAGATAATAGCGCAAAGCTTTCTTTTCAATGAATTAAATTTTATAATATAAGTGAAACAAATTAGCATATATATCACAATTCAACACATTAGCTAATATATATTAGCATATATATCAAAATAGTTTTGAAATAATGGAAGGGACAACTTGGGGAATTATTCGGGCTTCTCCATACTTCCTATTTGTCCCTCTCCTATCATGACGCACATGAATGCGTCCACATTCACACACCCTGAGCCTCTCCTGTAGGAGAAGCCTTGTGATATTTAAACTCATGTGTCTGACTTATTTCACGGAACACTATGTTCTCAAGCCGCAACCTTCTGCCCACAAATGCCTCAAGTGTGTCCTTCTTTTTGGCAGAGTAGTATTTAACTGTGTATATAAGCCATATTTTCTAAATCCATTCATCTGTTTATGGACATATAGGCTGTTTCCAAGATTTAGGTATTATAAAATGTGCACGCATCACTGTAATATGATGACTTTAACTCTTCTGGGAAGACACCTATAAAGGGGACAGATGGGTTTAATGGAATTTCTATTTTTGGTTACTTGAGAAATCGCCACACTGATTTTTACAGTGGCTATAATAGTTTACATACCTCCAACAATATAGTAGAGTTCTTTTTCCCGCAAGCCTCATCAGCATTTGTTATTAAATTTTTGATGCTATCCATTCTTTCTGGGGTAAGATGGAATCTCAGTGTTGTTTTAATTTGCATTTCTCTAGTGGGCAATGATGTTGAACATTTTCTTCATGTATTTACTGGCCATGTGTACTTCTGAGAAGTGTCTATCCATTTCATTTTCCATTTCTTGACTGGGTCTTTTATTTTGGGAATTCTCATTTTTTGAGTTCTTTCTATATTCTAGATGTCAGTCCTCTGTTAGAGGAACAGCTGGCAAACATTTTTCCAATCCTGTAGGTTGTCTCCTCACCCTGCTGATTGTTTCCTTTACTGAACAAAATCTTTGTAATTTGATGTAATCCATTTGGTGATTCTTGGTATTATTTCTTGTGCCATCGGAGTTCTGTTCAGCAAGACCCTGCCTATATCTATGTCTTTAAGAGTTTACCTCTTTTATCTTCTAGAAAATTAAGTGTTTCTGTTTTAACACTTAGATCCTTGATCCATTTTGATTTTACTTTGGTACCTGGTGAGATATGTGGGTCTAGACTCAATTTTCTGAATGTGGACAGTTTTCCAAGCACCATTTATTAAAGACACTATCTTTCTGCCAGTGTGTACTTTTGGCCCCTTTGTCAAAGATCAAACAGCTCTATGTTCCTGGGGTTGTTTCTGCATCATCTGTACTGTTTTGATTCTCTTACATTTACTTAGGCATGCTTAGCTGGTATGTGGTCTGTGTTGGAGAAACACCCTTTGCTGCTGAAAAGAATATGCATTCTGTTGTCTGGTGAAACACTGTTGATATCTATTAAGATCACTGTTTGAAGGCTTGGTTCAATTCTAATATCTCTTTATTGAGTTTTTGTTTAGTTGATCAGTCTATTTGTGATAGCAGGGTATTGAGGCTCCAACTATAATTATATTGATGTTTATCTGATGTTTCATGTTTAACAGTGTCTGTTCGGTGAAGCTGGGTACACCATGGTTTGGCGCCTATATGTTTTCAATTGTCATCTCTGCCTTTTGAACAGTGCCCTCAATAATAAACATGTGATGTCCTCCTCCTTTGCCTCTTTAATCATCTTTAGCTCAAAGTCCACTTTGAAAATAGGATAGCTACTCCCACTTGTTTTCAGGTTCCTATTGCATGGAATATTGTTTTCCATCTTAGTCTATGAATTTCCTTTTGTGTTAAATATTTCTTGCATACAGCATACTGTAGGATTTTGTTTCTTGATATTTCTCCTAATTTGTCTTTTGATTGGCAAACTGAAGCCATTTACATTGATAACTGATATCCTGTCATTGTATTAATTTCTTGTTGCTGTTTTGCTTTCTTTCCTTTCTACTCAGTTGCTATCCCTACCCTATGCTTTCGTTCTATTAGACCTTTTGGCATTGTTAGTCTCATTGCCTCTTTCTAAGAATCCTTGAGAATTTTTCAGAGTGCTGATCTGGGTGTCATGACTTTCTTTAGGTGCTCTCTCCACCATGGAAAGAACTTATTTTCAAAACTGCTCTTTGTCTTTCTAGGGACACAAATGATTGCAGTGAAAAAAAATCTTAAGATAAAAATGGAAGGAAAAAGTTAGCAATGGGTTTCTTCTCTAAACAGAAATTCACAGAGATAAATTAACAAAATCACATGACATATGAAGGTTTTGCTACAGATGAGAACACTCTCTATGAGAGATGAGAGTGCACATACTTCACAGTGGGGCTTGGGCTCTTTCTGATCCTCTGCCTTGGAAGGTGGACTACACGTTCCTGGCTCAGTCAAGATCCCTTTTGGGGTTGTCCCTCCCCAAAAGTTTTCACAGCTAGATGATGAGATTGGTGTCCGAGACTCGGTGTCCCTGCAGGAAAGCACAGCTGCTAGGGGCTTCCGGGGCCTGGGCAGCCTGCATTCAACAGTTACAGCTTCTTTGTGTGAGTGGTTTGTTTCAGCTGTTTCTCTTTCCAGGTGAGGAGCATCAGACAAACAATTCTGGATGTGTCCCTTGATTAATGGGTTATAGTTTTTCAGGAAGTTAGTGAATAGCCCCGTAACAGAACACACACTCTATGTGACCTACACAGCACCGCTGCGGAATGAAGAGTTGTGTGGGAAACATTTTTCACATATGTGAACTTTTTACCTTTCCTTTCATAGAGTAACATGTTTAAAGCATTTTGATAAACTCTTTTCCCCTCTAGAAGCTGTTGCATCCTTGCTGGGCTTCAAAAGCAAAGGAGGAAAAGGGAAAAGTCATGAATTCTCAGGGGCCAGGACCACCGTGGGTGGCCAGGCTCACAGGGTCTTCTGAGACACCTGTGGATCCAAGTCAGTGTGCATATGTGTGCACACACGTGTCAGGGCAGTGTGGACTCTCCAGTGCCTCCCTCCTGGCCTGCGGCAGTTTATCGTTCCCCAAGCCCAGTTCTACTCCTTAGCATGCAGCTGCTTCCCTTCCAAATCCCAGTGCCCAGGGCTGGTGGAGGCGCAGCTCTGAGGATGACCTGCTGTGCCTGGTGCAGACCCTGTGGGAGCAAACCTGCTCATGGCTCCGACCATCACCACCAGGTTTTCTCAGCTCTGCCCCATAGGAGGAGGGGTGTCAGTTTTTTGATTAACAGGTCTAAAAATATGAAATAAATAAATTTAAGAAATGATTTGGCTTTAAAAATGAGTGATGCATATAGCTTCAATCTGGAATGATTTGGGGACTCTTTTGAATACACTGTGTGACCTGATCCCTTTGCAGTATGGGCCAATGTTCTCTTGGCTTTGTGCAGAAGAGGCAAAGTTGGAAGCTTTGTCTTAGATCAGTGTTTACAAAAGGAATCTGCAGTCTAAGTCATGCGCTATACTGCACTGCTGTATCGCAGCCAGCTTGGCAACTTAGTGCTTAACCCTGCCTCAAATGAAAGAAATAAAAAGGGCTGGAGATGTAGCCACAGGGACAGGACAGAGGCCACAGGAAGCCAGCCCCAGGCTCTAGGAATCACACTCGGGGTGGAAGGTGGCAGGTGTCATGAGGCCGGGTCTGGGGTCTGGGGTGGGAACTTCTTCCTGAGGACAGTGGCTCCACTGAGACCCACACTGACAGGTTGGGACAGGCCTCCCCCTTGGGACAGCAGGGGAGGGGACAGCACCCAGCCAACCTCAGGGTCGGGCCATTCTGTCACATAGGGTAGAAGTCACACAGCTATGGCAGAGGCTGCGAAGCCCCTCAGGGTGCAGGAGGGGACGGAGGTGTCCATGACATTAGGTCACCAGAGAAAGCAGAGGGACGGCCCAGCGAGAAAGTGGCATGGCCAAAACCAGCACTGTAACAGGGCCACCGGGCCATTAGACAGGGAGGGCTGAGAGAGAGCCCACACAGGGCACGCAGGGAACACTGGGCAGGGGGCACTGTGGGTCTCCCTGCTCAGCGCCCAAGGGCACAGGACGTGGAGAAAGGACAGAGGGACGGCCCTTCTGGGACACGCTGTCCTGTTACCTGCAGTGAATGAAGTCTGGGACAGGGTTGTGCTGGCTGAACGAGGCCGCATCCAGGTTCATGCAGATCTCGACGTTGTCACCGGCCATGATGCGCACGGCGGCCTTGTTCTCGTCCTCGAAGATCTGCCGCTGCAGGGAGGCGCACAGCAGCAGCATGAAGTCATCTGTGGGGAGAGGGGAGGTTGCTCAGCCCAGCTCCACTCCGTGGGCTCCACCAGAGCCCTGTAGAACCAAGGTCAGGGCCAAGTCCCACTTTCCCCACGGGGGACACAGAGCGCCCAGCCCAGGCCCAAGGGAGGGGTGCAGAGCAGCTGGGCCGATGGGCATTTGTGGGAGCAGGGATTCCCTGGAGGGTGGCACAGAGCAGCCGTGGATCCCCAACAGCATCCTGCATGGGGGCTTCTGTGTTTCAAACCAGATGTGTCCAGGCGGCGCCTCTCCTGAGGGCCCCTTAGCATCCTGCTTTCCTGTTCCCCTCAGGTGGGGCAGCTGTTCCAACCTGGGCTGCAGGTGCCCTGGGGTGCAAGGCCCCAGCTGGCTCTCAAGTCAAGTTGTCCAGTTTCATAGGACAGAGACTGTCCTGTCCTGTCAGGACACACAGGGCCTTGCTCTGTGGCCTCTAAGGGGTGGACGTGTGTGTCTGTGGGGATCAAATTATGCAAGTGCCAAGGGACTCCGATGTCCACTTACGAATCTGGGAAACTAACAGAGCAAGAGGCAGCCATTTGGGACTTGGAACTTGGGCACAGTCAGTGTCTCCATGCTTATGAAGCCTGGGGAGGAAGCCAGGTGCAGATACACAGCGGGCGCAGAACAGAGAAGCCATGCAGGCCGCACCCCCACTTACAGACAAGGAACACAGGGTTGGGCCGCACGATGAAGTCGGGGAAGTACAGCCACTTAATGATGTTGTCATTGAAGTCGGCCCCCTTGAGCCTCCATGGGTAATCTGCAGGAGGCATGTGGTGGTCAGCACCCCACCTCCTCCAGGTGGGGCGGCCAGCACAGGGTGGGGACTGCGGGTGCTCACCTCGGCAGGGTGCAGGGGGCACCCCGATGCACACCAGGTACTGCAGGGTGAGGATGCAGGCCAGGAAGCAACAGTACTTGGGCCACACCTCAGCTATGGCTTTCCTCCGGCGGCGGTACAGGACGCCAATCAGCCAGCAGGCGTGGATCATGGCGTAGAAGTCCATCCTCTGGCCGATGACATTCACTGACAGTAGGAAACAGGTCTGTGTGAGGGCGACAAAGGCAAGAGAATTGGGTTTACAGGGAAGGTGTGCGGCATCCAGAGCCAGCCTGGTGGCAGAGATGGCCCCCAATGTGTTCCCCCGCTGGCTCTGAGACAGACTTCTGGGAAGACAGAGTGCTCAGACCACTTCTAAGGGACAACTGCAAAACTACTTGGAACAATGAGAGAGCCACAGCCATGGTGTCCTCCTGCAAATTCTCCTTCTCAAAAAGGACAGTCACCATTACCATCATGCAGGTGAAACAGTTCCTTCGGCTACAGACACGTGCAGAATGCATAGAAAGAAAGACAGGCAATGGCTGCTCTTCCTACTGAGAAACTAGCACGACAGCTGATGTCCACGCACTTCAGGGGCACCCGCTGTGGACAAGGGGATGTGGGCACCCGGTCCAGGGAGATGCCCGGCAGAGCAAGGCTCACCGGCCCACAGCGACAGTCCACAGGCCCAGCTGGCCCGAGTGGGCACCATTACCATGCAAGAGAGCAGCAAAGCATTTGGCAAGGAAACTCACCTCCAGGCCAAACTTGTAGAAGAAGTAGTTTATGAAATATTTGGCACAGTTGACCAGCCCGTCATCCAGGTGGAGCCTGGTGATGTCGTGGAAGATGGTCTTTGACACAGGGGCTGTCAGGTTGTTCCGGCCTCGGTAATACTCCTGGTGGCGGTAAATGGTGACTTCGAAGGCCAGGATGGCCAACATCAGGAGATTATTCTACATGTAAGAAACAAGGAAACACACTGTGCATGCTAATGCTTGTGGTTCGGTTATTTTACACAATCCCCATAATAAATCACTGCATTTAACTGTGGGTGTCTAAAAGGGCTTTATAAAATCCCACTTGCATTCAGCATATGAAGCTCCAGTGTTGCTTTCTTTGTCTTATGTATGGTGGCGTCATCCTCAAACATCTATCTGTTTACCCTTCTAACTGCTGTTATGGCAGGAAATAGTCCCAAAGACATCTACCATACACTGAAACTGGGATGTTTTGTATGTTTAAAAAAGCCATTTTTAACTGCCTCGTCTGTGTAGTATGACTGGGCTGCAGAAACTGTCCACCAAAAAAAAAAAAAAAAAAACGCGAAGAGTCTGAAGAACCTTGGCATCCCGGCCCAGGGCCATTCTCCTGCCTGAGGTCCCTGCACTGGTGAAGTTGCTGTGCGGCCCTAATGAAGCCTCTGCCACGTTACTCAGTCAAGCTCAGAGCGCCCGGCGAATCTCTCTACAGTGCATGCAACGCTGATTTTACTGTTTAGCTGCCTGTGGCACAGCTGACTCTGGCAGCCGGCTGTGAGCCTTCAAGGCCCGCACCGCATCAGAGAGGGCGTCCCGGGCGGCCTCACCCTCAAGTAGACCAGCAGCGGCGAAGACTTCCGCAGGCCCACCCACTCTGTGGGGTCGATGGGGGCGCTGTAGAGCAGGGACTTGTTCAGCTCCTTGAGAGGTATGTTGGTTTGGTTTTCATCTGGCTGAAAAGAGGAGAAAATGGAATAAAAATGGGTTCCGAATGTAGGGTTCCCACTGTTCTTCAGCGTCCACCAGGGGACCTTGCGGGGCAGGGAGGACGGCCGACCTCCAGGCCCGGGGCAGACCCGCAGAGGCCGGCGGGAGGAGCGCACAGAGCAGGTGCGGTACCCGCCCGCCGGCTCACCAATGTACAGTTAATGGAAAAGGAGCTGGGCTTGATGGTTTGGAGCTGGTACAGCATTTTGCAGACGATGATCACACAGGTCCAGACGGTGCAGACACTGGAAGCCAGACGGCGGAGCTTGGAGTACGGCAGTGCGAAGGCCCAGGAAATCAGAAACACGTAGTTGAACAGAGACACCTGAAAATGTAAATCGGAAAGGGAACGAAACACATCGCAGGGCAGAATGGCTGCGGAACAGCGGCTTGGTTTTCTCAAGCGCAGGTGAGGCCTTGGCGCACGCGTGGCTTTGCCCTTGGTGCTGGGGACGCGCGGGTGGGCGGGCGTGGTCCAGAGGAAGCTGCTGCAGCTCCAGTGCGAGCAGAGGAGGAGCGGGGCAGCCCAGGGCCAGAGGGAGCGCACTCGGTAAGGCGGAGGGCAGAGCCCCCAAAGTGCCACCCGCCTGGCCGGTCAGCTCTAAGAGCCGAGAAGCATAGCGGGTGGGAGCAGAGGGTGAGGGTGGAGGTGCAGCCCAGAACCGAGCGAGTGTCCACCGTCGCTCTGAAGCAGGCAGAGGTGTGCGGTCTGGGCTGCACCACTGAGGGCACCTGTGCCACCATGAGAGGGGTGCAGGGACCAAGCGGCTCAGCAGAAGCAGCAGGTGCCAGGCTGCAGAAGTGATGCCGTCGTGCAGCTTGAAGGGTCCCAGTTTCAGTACGTGGCTGAGCTGCCCTCCTATTGCCAGTCTTGCCCAGCTCCGAGAGCAGCTCCTTCTCGTCATCTAGCACATGCTCTTCTCTGCTGCCTTTTCTCACTTTTCTCTCTCCTTCCTGCCTCCCTTCTTCCTTTTAGAGAATGGGCCTTCTGCACCCGACTCCCTCTTTTGAGGCCCATTGCCCTCACTGAGTTGTCTCCCTAGCTGGGCATGGCGGTGACCACCTGTAGATCCCAGCACTTGGGAGGCTGAGGCAGGAGGATCACAAATTTGAGTCCTGCGTGGGGAATACAGTGAGGCCCTGCCTCAAAATAGAAAATAAGAAGCGTTGGGGATGTAGCTCCATGTGATGGCCTGGGGTTCAGTCTCCACACAGAGCAAAATTTAAATGGTCTTCTTGGGCCTGCAGGGCCCAGCAGCCCCACCCCTCATGGGTCAGAAACCCTGCAGTTGGATGTGGCCTGCATCTCTGGTCAGATGCCTCTCTCACTTTTCCCATCTTTCTTCCTGTTCTGACCCTCAAGCTGCACTTGACTTGGTTGCGTGCTCACACGGTTCAACGCTCAAACTCTTCCACTCTCAGTCAGCAGACCTGGCAGCTAACACACAGGGCAGCTGCCAATCCGCAGGGCGGACGGCAGGTTTCTGCTGCGCCTGTCTGTTTCAGGAGCGGGAGGCGACCTGGTTCAGACTGCACAGCTCAAAGCAAGCCCCGCAGCTGGTCTGTTACTATTATCTTTACTATTATCTCTTTAGTGATGACAGCCAGGAGTTTCCTGACTACTTTTTTCAGGAACAAAGATTCTGAGTTGTACTCAATTCAAAAACAGCCCCAGGAAACCAGGACCATGCAAAGTTATCTGTTGAATGAATGAAGATAAGGCCTGTGTCCCACAGTGAAGGGGAGCTGCTGTGGGCGGAGTGCCGATCCCCTGCGAGACAGATGAGGTGGGACCCTTCATTCTGTCCCAGGAGACCCCGGAGTGAGCAGGGTGCGGTCTGTCGAGAATCAGATCTGATTCTGGAACTTGGGTTGAGCCCTTGGTCACATAAACAGAAAGCTATCATCCCCGCGAAGAGCGCAGGAAGGTGAATCCCCATCTAGTGAGAGAGCAGGCCCCTCGCAGAGCCTACACCGCAGAGGGGCTGAAAGCAAGCAGTGACGGAGCCGACCCCCACCCGCACCGGGCAGCAGCGCTGTGCCGCCTCACGGTCTCCCTCTTCATTTCACTTGCCTCTTTCACGGACACCCAGATGATGTAGGAGGACACGATCTTGGTGATGTGCAGCTCCAGCATCCACCACATGAACACCTGCAGCTTGTGGAAGTACTCCAGGAACTTCAGGAAGAGCACTGTGAGCCGGTCGATCACCAGGTGCCACTTGTTCCGCAGATCTACAAAACAACAACCCGGAGCACGCAGCTGTGTGTGCAGATCCGCCCTGTGCTCCATAACTTCACTGCGATGCGGGGCTGGGGTGAGCGCCAGGGACAAGGTCCATGGGCCGCAGAGGAGCGCAGCCGGGGGCCAAGCGGTGCTGGTGACTCTGGTGTCATATGGAGACTCGAGGACAGTGCCACTCAGCCTGTCTTTAATTCAACCAGTGCAGCGGTGGCGAACCTGCAGCACTTGTGCAGCGGCATGCCGCTGTATCATTGAGAGCTGTTACTGTGGGCTAGTTTTAATGTCTGGCTTCTTTCTTCTAAACTATAGCCTCAGGATTCAGGTTTAACTGCAGGGTTGGTGCTTGGCAATAATTAAGTGGGTCTCGTGTTGCAGTTTGGGCTCTGGTCTCTAAAGCTTGCTGGATTAGTGTGAAGAATTCCGGCTGTGTTAGGGCTCTGCTCTGACTCCCTCCTCAGGTGCTGTCTCCCTGGCCTGGTCAGCTGGACCTGAAGCTAAGCAGGGTTCAGCGCTCACATCGGAAGGACCCAGGTAGCAGCGGACAGAAAGGCCCAGAGTCCACAGATAATGTGGTGTAGATGGCACACGCACCAGGGAGTGGGGGCAAAGCCAGCGCTGTCTGGTGAGTGCCCGGAGCCCACCTTCAGGTGGCTCACCGCACCCCAGCCTTGGCACCTGGCCTCGGGATCCAGGCTCCCTCCCTGCACTCCGGGACATGTGGTGCTTGGCATGGGGCACACACCCCAGTCCTCACGGGGGTCCCCTGAGATGACTGCAAGGAGGGACAGGTTAGGGGAGCAGCCTTGGGAAGGGAGCTCCCTTCCTGGGCTAAAAGGAGGCAGGGAGATAGATCTTTTGCAAAAGGGAAGAAGAGCAAGAGAGAGAGAGGGGCAGAGGCAGGGGGCCTGGAGAGTACGAGATGTGTTCTGTGCATGCACCAGCCACCCAAGAGGAATGTGGTCATTACAAACTGCAGGACTGGTAAAAATCAAACTACAGAAGCCCTGTCCAGTGGAGCAGCGCAGACCAGCAAAGACCAAGGCTCCTGAAGGCCCCAGGAACCTGTGCAGGCCCAGCCCCTGCCCAGCTACCACACCAGCTCGGCGCCAGGAAGAGTGCGGCAGGCCCCGGGGTGACAGCGATGGCTGGGGCACCGCACCCTGAGACGCGGGCAGGAGGAGGAAGGACGACATCATCTTCACTGCCAGGGCCCAGGCCGCTGCTTCCCGGGGCGGTGTCCCCAGGCCAAGGCAAGGCCTCAGCTTCCGGCACAGCTGCGCGGGGGACCCGGCCTGCTGAGAGGTCCCAGAGACCAGCCAGACTCCCAGGAGGGTACAGCAGTGCAGCAGCAAGACAGGAAAGCCTCCAGGCATCTGTTGTGTGCCAGGACTGGGTCACGCAGGGCCTCCTCATGGTTACCTGACACCTCCTCCTCCACCTCCTCCTCCTCAGAGTCCTCGCCGCAGTCCTGTGCCAGCTCGCCCTTCCTGCCTTGCTCCGTCTGCTCCTGTCCCTCCGGCTGCTCCTGCCCCGGCTCCGCCTGCTTCTTGGCCTCGGGCTTGTCCAGGCTGGGGGTCAGGTGCATCATGGCCAGGTCGGGCAGACTGCCCTCAGGGTGCGCCAACCTGCGGGCAGAGGGCAGCTGAGGCCCGGGGCCAGGTGCGGGGCAGAGCAGCAGGGTGGTGAGGAGGAGGAGGAGGAGGAGGGGGAGGAGACAAAGCAGAAACCGGTGCAAGAACAGCACCCTGGTACGAGGACGTGGGGGTCAGCGAGTTGTCGCTTTGGGTTGGTTTGTTTGTTTTAGGGTCTTTCTAAAAACAAACTGTGAGCTGAGCTTTGATTGGCTTCTCTCACTGAGGCTCTAGGGAGTCCTCAGGAATGAGAGCTGTCGACACCCAAACTTGACATTTTTCCCAGGGAGAAATGGTCAGAGTTTAGGATGAAGAAGCATGAAATGGTGCCGGGCGGGCAAGCATTTCATGGCTTCATGGGGGACTTACTCATTTTGGTGGATTGGTAATTTTTTCTTGATGCTGCTCAAAGTAATTGGAATAGAGAGGAAAAAGAGGAGATGAGAAGAGAGGAATTATGAGGAAGGTCAGAGATCACACATCATGCCATACATCATAGCAACTGCATTCGGGGTGCAGCCACGCGGAGGCCTAGGGCCAGCGCATTCCTGGCTCAGCAGAACCCTGGGCTGTGTCCAGAGAGTGGACGGGCACAGGTGTGAGGGCGAGAAGACGCCCCAGGCCTGGGCGGGGACTCCATGCTCTCTGGGAAGCGTGTGCATGTCCACGGGAGTCAGGGCGTCCGCCTGCTGGCTGGGAGGGTGCAATGAGGCAAAGCCCTTCGGGGTGAAGCCATCTGCAGCACAGCCTGCTGGGTGCCCAGTGTCCACTGCGGACGCGGCTGTGGGGAACGGCGGAGGGACCTGAGCTGGTGTGGGGCACAGGAGGGCTTCTGCTGAGCCCACAGTGCTCGGGCCTGCAATTTGCCTTCAGTCGTGGGTGTGACCCTTCCACCACGTTTTGTTTGAGACCAGGCCTCACTCGATTGCCCAGACTGGCCGCAAGGTCCTTGGTCACAAGTGTTCATCCTGCCTCGGCCTTCTGAGTTGCTGGGACTATAGGTATGTGCCACGATGCCTAACTTCCTACATTTTGTAAAAAAATATAATTTTAAAATTCACATTCAGACGAATGCTTTAGAAAACACTTGTGCACTTAGGAATGTCTCAGGAGAGTCCCAGAGCACAAGTGACCTTAAGGACCACAACAGATCCATGCAGAATGACTAGTAATTTCTACCTGTGGACTCAGGGTCAAATATTTTACTTTTTGGAAACTTACGTAGTTACTGGATTTTGCAGATAAAATCTAAGCTAGTTTGAATTTTCAAGTTTCAGATGTGAACAAGCCACTTGTCCTGACACACGCTGTCCCTCAGGAGAGGTCCCCATCCAGGGGCACTGAGCCCACCTCGGTTCAGGCCCAGAGCCCAGGAGAAGCCAGCCAGCCTGCCCGCGGCCTTCTGCAATGCCCTTCTGCCCACACCAGAGCCGCACACTATGCCTGGCTGAGCCTCGCTGTGCCTGGCTGTCCCTGTGGTCAGGCCCAGGGCTGGGGCTGGGAGTGGACATATGCACGGTTCTTTTTGACTCAGGAGATCATGTGTCACCAGGGGCAGACACCTGCTCGGGGGGCAGAATTAGGCATGACTTTGTTGGGTGTGTGCATGCATGGCTCTCGGAATGCACCTCAGGAATCATCACTGCTGCCACCGCTGCTGCTGATGGGGTGAAGCTCTGCCCTCATGCTGTCCCTGCAACTGCACCACGGTGTCCCCAGACTGCCATGCACACGGGGCTCAGAGGGAGGCTAAGAAGAAGGCATCGGGTCGCCACAGGGAGCCCTGGGCGAGAAGGCCCAGGCCCGCTTCTAGAAACCCATAGTTGGGACCAACCCAGGTCCAGCAGAATGAGAGCTCATCTCCATGCTGCTCACTGCCCACCGGCCTGACCCTCAAGGGAAGGGCTTGGACTCCCTCCTGGGTGCTCTCTGGAGCAGGGCATGGGCTTGGGATGGATGATAACAAAACAAAAATAAAACAGAGTACACATGGGTCAGGCCACACCCATTAGCCTAGGAGCCCATTCTGTGTCCTGCCATGCACATTCCCAAAAGTCTGTGTGTGAAGTATGTGCAGGCGAAGTATTTTAAATGCACAATGGGCATGTGTGCAGTTTTAAAAACACATCCTCTGGGTATCCTTTTATTTTTCATTCATTTCCACGATATTTTGGGGATGCAGTGGAAAATGCTGAAAGCAAGAAATACCTGAGCTCAGACCCGGTCTGATGAGCCAGTAGCTAAGTGGTGCAGTGAAATCACCTTACCCATCCTTTGGGTCTCAGTGTGCTGAGACACACTTGGAAGAATCTGCCTGGTCTCCTGGGTGTTCTGAGAATTAAGGCAGTTTCCACGAGTGCTTACTTAGCACAGTAATAGGTACAAAGCAAAGCATATTAAAGCAAGGAACTCTTTTCTGAGGACTGATTTACCAGGCTTTTGTGACCTGTATCATAAAACCATCCTAATTAAAGACAGGTTAGACAAATACTTCTGCAGTGCACCACTCAGCAATGCCCATGGGGAGACGCTCAACTTAGACACCAGCTCCAACAGCAGCACACTCCAACAGTTTCCTTATAGAGCAGCACCCCTCACAGATCAGCACCCCTGACGGGTCCCTCATAGATCAGCACACCTCACAGGTCCCTCACAGATCACATCTGACAGGTCCCTCACAGATCAGCACCCCTAACAGGTGCCTCACAGATCACTTCAATCAGGAGATACCTAGTGGGCGCCCACCAGTGGGTGAGGCTGTGGGTTTGGGGGCAGGTCTTGGTCAGTCCTGTGGAGTTGGACCACTAGCAAGCGAGATGAGCAAGGAGAAGAGCAGGGAGCAGGGGTCAGAGGGGACATAGGGAACACGGGTTATGGGGACTCAGGGTGGGCATGGTGGGGACTTTCTCAAGGTGATGGTGCTCATGAGGGGGCGTGTGGAGGAGGCCAACCTTGAGCCGAGCTCAGTCACAGGACAGAGGTGACCTTGCAAGGGTGTCACTTGGTCATTCCGCTAGGAGCCAACTCCGTGCCAGGCTGGAACCAGAGACTTCTCTGAGCACCAGCAGAAGACCCCAGCCACCTCCACACCACTGGCCCACGTACCTGGAGGCCACTGTTCCCCAGCGGGACACCACTCTCACAAAGCAGCAGAGAGCTTAACACGCAAGAGACAGTTGTTGACAAAGGCAAGAGAGAAAATCCGGAAGTACCCACCTATTTATTATCAGATACACGCGACCATTGACTTTGGCATGGCTGCGCAGGAGGTGGTGGGAGACAGGAGAGAGAAAGAGGACACTGTTAGACAGAGACAGCAAGGCAGGCGTCCCTTGGGCTTTCTGTCGCCAGGTGAGCCATCGAGCCATTGCTAGGCTGGTCCACACGGGTGATCTGCTTTGAAGAATCGAGGGCACCAAGCGCAGCTACAGCAGAACTCGGACACACTCGGGATACACATACATGCCCTGCACGCTTACTGTCCCTCCCAGCACACACTTCCTCAGGAAGATGACGCTGACACCTCTCGACATACAATTTCTCAAAGAAATTATACAGGATTTATTTTTGCTTCTTTTCTGGAATTAAAAAAAAAAACTAAGCAACCACAGTTAATACATTTTCTCTAAGGTCTTTAAAAGCTGAAGTTTGAAAAAAAGGTTGTTTTGTTTCTACATGCAAAGCAGTATTTTCTGACATGAATTGCAGACAAAATACATGGATATTTAAAAAAATGGATAAAGGTTCTTAATAAATTATTATGAATTATATATTATATAATACATATATTATTACTACCAATATAATAGATATTATTATCAATAGATTAGTGATCTGAGATTGGCTGCTCCAATAACTTCTTATGAGTATTATAAAAGTTTTCCACAAAGCTAACTTCATAAACTTGGTAAGGATAAAAATAAATTGTGCTTCACACACAAATTATATTTGCTTACAGGACACATGTGCACACACACACAAGAATGCACACAGGCGCACACAGGTGGAGAAAACAGGAAAAGATCAGTTAGATATTGACAGAAACAGCAGTCCCGAAATCGAGTTAACGGAAATGAATAGGCTGATCCCAGCTGGCGTGTGTGAAGCAGGGAAGAGCAGAGCGAGCCGGAGAGCGGGGTGTTACAGTCAAGCCCACAGCAGACATACTGACTTTTCTTTATTGCTTTGATTTTAATGCAGTCACTGAAAATACTGTGATTTATTCTGGGACGAGGACACGGGGATGAATGTTCGGAAGGACTCTGCCGCAAGCAAGGGCTGCTAAAAAGCTGGAATTACACAGCCCATGCCAAAGCTAAAATTATGGAACTTTCATAGGAGCCTCTTGCATTAAATCCCAAAATACCCATCTGGAGTGAGTTCCTCAAATTCCCTCAGTTCCTAGGAAACTGTTTTTCCAGACTTAGAAGCATAAACAATCCCACATGCTTAAACTCTTCAGGTAGCTGAGCTTACAGTCCCTCTGCCCGCTCTAAACTTCCTTGCAATGTTCACCACGCAGGGGTGTTCAGGGGTGGATGCAGGTGGCTGGGAGAGGTGAAACGGCAGCAGTCGGGCGTTAACCCGCCACGGGTGCAGGCCGACGGAGCGGGCCATGCACTCACTTGGTCCCAAACCTGTGATTCCCTCAGCCAGGAAATCTCTGTGAGCCAGACTGATGGCCTTCTGCAAAACTGCAGCCCTGCCCAGCCCACCGTCTGGACACACCGCGATCTCTGTGCTGATTGGGCCACAGAAGCCTCAGAGCCATGACAATGACCAGTGGCAAAAAAAAGCTCCTGTGTGCGGGGGTGGGGGGCTAACGAGAAGAGAATTAAGGGTATTAAAAGTATCATCAGCAGTGATACAAACATGCAGATCTGTGCTGTCTAAAGGGTTTTTCTTACTGAATATGACTGTTGAAAACTGAGGGTGCATAAAGAGTGTACAGTTCCAAGGTCAAATACCAGTCTCTTCCACAGGTCTCCCGGCAATGTCAATGGTCACCTGGCCATCATTTCTGTCATCACTGACAGCTCCCACTCCTTGTACAGGCACTATCTTTGTGAGCTTTCAAACTTGGGGTCATTTCCTCTGCCAGCAAGTTCACTTATGGGTCTCCGTACTTTGTTTTTCCTACTCTTTGGCTGCCCCTGCAAGAAGCAGGAGTAAGTACGTGGGGAGCCCGCACACCCAGCCGTCACCACAGTGCCCAGATGCCTCATGCCAGGTCGGCCCCTCTTCCTTCTGCCCCTGGGAGTCACTGACATGCTGGCTGTAGTCAGCAAAGGATCCTGGGAATGAGAACTAAATGTAATGGCAAACAAAGCCCACAAGGAAAAGTAGTCTGCGGCTCATAAAGGTTATAAAATACTTTTGATCACCAGCTGAAAGTGTTTCAGAGTTGTCCATAACTCCAGTCTCTACCAGAATAGAACACTGGAAGTTGACTATTTCCTAAAATTAGTGATAATATCCTACTTCTCCTCCTGTTAATGTGCTCACTGTTTCCCCGGAAGTTCGAGAATGGCAGGGAATTCCCACCCCGGCCCTCGCCGCTCATCTCGCTGCAGCCTCTGCTCCCTTAGCTGCTCGGCACACGCTTCCCAGGACTGACTCAGGCTCAGTGCAGGACCAGGTCAGCACCGCCAGAAGAGCACTGGAGACTTCCCTGCAGAGGGATGGGCCACGGTCCAGGAGGGATCGCCAAGGTTTCTACAGATGCGGGCAAGTGATATCCCACGGACCACTGTACACAGTCCCCATTTGTTGGTGAGGGAAAGGAAGCTTCTGGGAGAAGATGCTGCCTTTGCTTCCCTCCTCAACTAGCCTTCTAGGCACCAGGAGATGGCAGGTTCTTTCCTTCCAGCTGTTCACACATCTTCCTCTGCTACGCTGTCCTGTGACTTCTCTATGTGCCGGAGTTAGGAAGATGTGGTAAAATGTCCTAAAAACGCATAGCCAGCCTGGGACTACACCTGCATCACCAACTCTCAGATACCTCAGTGTGAACAGTCACTCCGAAACTCCCGGATCCAGCCAAGATCACCACCCTGGTGTCAGAAAGTGTCACCAAGTGCTCCACAGTGTTCCTTTTGCTTTCTCTTTCTTGCTCGTGTGTTAACACCAGCAGAAAGCACAAGGCTGAAGCTCTAGGCTAGGCCATCCTGTCCCTGAGGTGCCCAGGCTAACCTCCGGCTGGAGTCCCCGTACTGCCAGCACTCACCTGTAGATGGTGCTGTCTTCCTTGCTGGGAATGGCTTTGAGGTCTGTGAGCTCCAGGAAGCGGTCGTGGAAGTAGTGCAGGTGTAAGATGCACACGAGCAGGAAGGAGGTGGGGATGAAGATGCGCGTGAACAGCTCGGCCACAGTGAACTGCTTCAGGCCCAGGTCCTCCAGTCTGAAGAGAACAGGGAAGGTGGAGCCTCTCTCAGGCCCCCTGACCGTCACCCTGTCCCGCATTCCCAGGGAACTGTCTGCGCCAGTGACATCGCTCCTTCACGGTGCTCAGGACCCAGGACGCTGCAGGTCTGGCGCTGCCTCCCCGCACCCTCTGGTCCTCCTGGGACAGCCCTCGGGCTGCTGCCAAAGTCCCGTAGGCAGGGCTTGGGCTGAGGCCCCTTCCCAGCTGCACAGCCTGGGCTCCGCACGATGCCTGGACACCAGGACGCCCAGCCCAGCCTTCTGGGGTCTCTGCTGGAAGCCATTGCCCCAGGTGTTTGCAGGCAGTGTTCTCAAGGTCCCTAGCTCTGGGGGCCTGGGTCACCCCTCCTGTGTCCTGTCCTCTTGTCCGTTAGTCCTCTGAGGCCCAGACCCAGCTGTGTCCTGCCTCAGGGCCTTTGCTTCTGCTCTCCCATACCCAGTCCCAGTGCACCCACTTTCCCTGCGGAAACCTGGCTCTTCTCCACCCGCTTGGGAAGCCATCTGCATCTCTCCTCTCGGTTCCTGCTACTCACTACCTATGCCTGCTGCTCCTTCCCAAGCGGTCACAGGTTGCACAGAACTCACGCACACCAAGTGTGTCCTGTTCACCTCCTCTGCTGAGGTGTGAGTCCCACGGCTTCCCCTGTGACCCAGGCATGGGTCTGGCCCCGGAAGCACTTGGGACCTGAGCAGTGAGCCCTGCAGCTGGTGTGACCCTTTCCCTCCACACCTTTCTCCTTGATGCATCATCTGCTCAGCCCAGGCCCAGTTCCTGTTGGACTTCCAGACTAAGTCCAGAAGTTCACAGGTACATTGGCAGGGAAAGCGCTATCTCCCATGTGCACAAGGAGACGCTGCCTCCCCGCACCCCTGCCCACATGCACTCTCCATCCTGGAGTCCACGCCCTGCAGCCCGGGCCAGAGGCTGTGCTCCCAGCAAGTCTGCTGTGACCCAAGAGTCGAGCTCAGGCTGCGAGCAGGACGCACAGCCAGCAGCCAAGCAGGCGAGGTCCTGGGACCGACACCTGGAAAACCACTTCATGAAAGTGGGGATGCAAAGTCGCATTTTAGTCAGAACCCAGGGAGCTCCTGCCCTGCCCCAGCCAGGCATGGTGAAGCCTGTCCCCAGGGCCCTGCAGACGCAGGGACATCTCCCTGAACCGGCCTGTCCCCCGCTCGGCCCACCACACCACATACTTTTCTTTTCGCAGTCCGGTCAGGTTTTCCCACAAGCTGGGGAAGTTCTCAAACTGGTACGTGTAGATGAAGATGAGCACCAGCATGGTGTATATGACCACCGACATCCAGAAGTACTTCAGCACCTTCCGCCACCACTCGTAGTGCACCTGTGAGCAGGAAGTGGGGAGCAGAGGAAGGAAAGATGGCTACAGGAAGCTCAGAAGAGCACTTGGAGTCTAAGACAAGAGACCATCAGCAGGAGCCCTGGAAAGTAAGGTCAAGCTTGTGCTTAGTTTTTAAAGTTCCTGTTCCTAGTTCAGGTGGGGGTGTGGACAGAGCCCCGTTCCCCTGGCTGCCTGCGCAGGTTGTGGGCACAGAGCAGGAGAGGCGCGCCCGGCCTGGGAGGCAGCCGAGGGAGGGCACTGCCTCACTGCTGTCATTGTTCAGGGAAAACACCAGCAACTCTGGAATCCAGCATGGTGCTGTGTGGTACAAACATGAGCCAGAGAGAGAGGATGCCGCTCTTTACCACAGGCTATGGGCACTCGTCGGAGTCCATGTATCCTAAGTTGGCACAAGCATTGACAAGTCCCCTCGTTTCTCGAGATCCTTTCATGTAACGGACTCTGCTCACCGCTGTGCTTTGTTTTGAGGGCTATCTGCCAAAAATATTTTACTGTTGTACACATTTCCATCACTGGATCCCTTCTCATGTCGGGAAAAGCGGAGCTTCTGGAGAGGCCAACTCGTCTCAACATAGCCTTGTGTAAGTTTCAGCTAGGGATAGGCTGGTGCTCTTGGTGTGACACACACAGATAGGTGTACATGCGTGGACGCTGGCACATGGGGTTTCCTCATCCCCAGCACCCTGGGAATGCGCCACTGTTTAACATCATCCAAACACGGGGTTCAAAGATCTAATTCGACTGCAACAATCTCTTTTGTGAATCGGGAAATTTTGAGAAAGTTATACACTTTTTCTCAAGTTTTAAAGAATCTCTACTTTTTAAGTGGAGAGTGGGCTGATGTGTGAATCTCACACTGGGGTTCCCCAGAGCGACGCCTGGCTTTCACCGGTCATCTCGGTGCTGAGTCCCCGGGCTCAGGGTAACATGCACTCCCTGGGGAGGGAGCTCAGTGTGTTCCTGGGACAGGTAAGGACTGGCATCAGGTGCCACGCTGACTTTCCCTACCTGGTACAAGGCCACGCAGAAAAGGAAGAGCACCATGTAGATGATCTTGTACATGACAATCTTGCCCTCGAAGCTGACGAAGAAGAACATGCCGCCGCACACGTAGATCCAGTACTTGATGAACATGGCCACCACCAGGTTGCCCAGGACTTTCATGATGTCCTGGTCATCCTCGTCTTCCTCCTCCTCCTCCTTCTTCCTCTCTTGCTTCTCCTCCTTTGGCTCCTCCTCCTCCTCCTTCTCCTTGGGCTCTCCTTCCACTTGCACCTCTCCAAGTTCCTCATCTTCAATACAGAAAGCAGTGCCGTCACAGGGGGACCCTGACCAGAGCCACGCTCAGGCTGGTGAAGCCCGTGGGACAGGCGTGTCTACTCCAGGTGTCTGAATGTGACTTGGATGACTTTAAACAGTACAGCACGCACACCGGGTTCATACATAATTTTCACAAACTTCCTGAAATTTAGCTCAAAAGAACACATTTAGTAATATTTTATACTAATTTCTTCATAACACTTTTTCATTTCCAATATCTAGGAACCAGGATCAAAGCAGAAATCAAAATAACTGTGCCAATTTCAAATTCTAATTGTTTCATGGCTCTAGGTGATCCAAGCCTTTCTAGACTATGACTATGCTAACCATCCTAACCAAAAACGTACAAATTAAGTCCAAAGAATAATTATATTTAACCAGTCTAAGCAACTGTAGGCATAGGGACCCAAACCATTTCCTCCTGCTTTAAAATATGCTCGTAGTTAGGACTCACGTCTGTGTCTCTAAGGCTCCCTACGTGTGCTTCGCTTACTCCAGCCCCACCCAACCCAAGTAAGGGGAGTGGAGACCAGGTGAGGTGGTCAGAGCCACTGTCCTCAGTTAACCATTCTTTACCAGCATTAACGGTCCATCTAGTCATCACGTTGACGTTCAAAATCACAGGCAAGATTAAAATCTTACAGACAGATTTTTGCTATTGAGAAGCAACTTGAGGGTTAGGTCTAAATAAGAAAATGTGTGAGGCGTCCTGGTTGGTCTCCACTATTTTCTCACAGCTCCTGGACTGAGGCCTGGCCCGGCATCCTGTCCACAGCAGAGCTCCCTACCTGACCGCACGGCGGCCCTCACCTCTCCGCACCTACCGTTCTCCTGCTGCTCTGTACACTCAGGGCGTTCGGGAGCACGCTACTCTCTTGTCGTCTGGATCGCAGGCCTAAAGCTATGGAGATGCTAACAGTCACTGCCCCTCCTCCCCACCCCTTCCATTTACCTTGTGGTGTGTTATTTCAGAAAACGGAAGCATTCGAGTTCAAAGCTTTGTGTCAGTCGCGTGGGGCCAGTACTCACTAAAGTATGCATGTGGCGAATCACTGAGCCTCTCTGACCCGCACTTCTGCTGCTGGGAGTCACTTTCCTCTCCTTTACAATGCTCACTGTGAACTGGCACACGAACTCTAACAGCTACACACTGTGATCTTGTCCCTTACTGCCCTGAATTCAAGTCCCTTGTCTATCTAGGCTGAACCACAGAGTTTCTATGATGCAGTTTGGGCTCTTTATAATTTTGCAGATCACACACACACACACACATACACACACACACAATGTGGCCACTCACTGTCCATACTAATTTACCTTTTTCTTCACCTTCCTGACTTCCTATTTTGATTTCCGACAAAAGAGCTTCCTTTTCCCGAATGGCTTTTTGCTCCGTGAGGTGCTGCCGCAGCAGGAGCCAGAAAGTGATGGTGAAGAGAATCTGAAATGGGAGAGTGAGAAGCACAAGAATTACACACCGTGTGCAGTGTGGACTCCTCTCTGCACAGACGCGGCCTCTCCACACTGTGATGGGGGCCCGGTCAGTAAACCTTCGCCTCCAACACTGGGCTGATTCCTCTGGGTTTTTCCGGGAAGTGAAGTGGCTGCTTCTCGGCCCCTCTGCTCAGGAGGCTGCACATGTTGGGCCAGGAGCACAATAAGCAGGGTGCAGGCTGCAGGGACCACAGCACCACATGCCTGTCCTCAGCTGATCTTGCTCTTCGGGGCAGACAGGGCGGCTACTGCTTCTGTCTCTGTCCACAGCTTTACTGAGACTTAATCCACACCCCACATGGCTGACCACCCAAAGTGTGGGACTCAGCCCAGCTCAGCGGTACAGGGAATGTTTAGGATGTACAGGCCCTGGGTCCCGTTTCCCAGCACCGAAAGAAACAGAGTGCAACTGCATGGTTTCACTGTAGTCACAGTGTTGTGCACCCATCACGCCATCAATTTGAAAATATCTTCCTCACTCTAAAAAGAATTCCAGAGCAGTAACCTCCTCATCTCCCTGTCTTAGCTCTAAACAATTACCACAAATTTCTTGTTTGCACAGATTTGCTTAAGCCAGACAGTTTAAGTAAACGGAATTATGTAAGATATGCCATGTGTTCTTTTCCAACATTATGCTCAGCACAGTGTTTTTAAGGTTTGTTCACACAGTGACATATGTAGTTGTTTGTTCTGTTTTCTTATGAAATAATATTCCGTTGAGTGAACGTAAGATCTTTATATGCTCATTCACCAGCCAATAGGCATAAAGGTGTGTGAGCTTCTCTGTGGCCATGAGGGGCTTCGTGTGAGCGTTTTGTGGACACATCTGCCTTTCTCTGGGATACACAACCCTAAGACGAGCAGGGATAGATGTTGGGATGGTACTTCTGTGTGCAACATTTTGAGGCGCTAACAAATGCTGAACATTTTCCAAAACTGCTGCACACTGTACATTCCCACCAGCAGCGTGGGCCAGCTCTGATTCCTCCCGGCCCACAGGACATTTATTATCGGCCTGGAAGATGTGAAATGGCATCGCACTGTGGTTCAAAGCAGGTTTGTAATAAATACTTGCTGAAGAAATGAAAAAATAATTTAAAAAAGCAAGTAAGTCATTTTTTCTTTGGATAACTATCTACTTAATTATCTATAAATATCTATTTATCATTTTATTTCAACATAGACCAGTGTCCATTACCTGTTGGTGACTATACCCAGGGCCTAAAGAAATCAAGAACCACAGTGTGCACTTCTGAAAATCTGACATAAAAATTCTGCCAATCACTACAGATAGAACTGCAGCTGTGAATCAGGAAGGGAATGTGAAGCCTATTCAGAGAGGCTGGAGGAACTGGGCCCTGTAGGGTGTCTTTCCCAGGGAAGATGAGTCCAAGCTAGGCTTTGAAAGCTGAGGGTGACACAGTCTGCTGAGGCCTGGTATGAGACACCAGGGCCCAGGGATGCATCCCGAAACTTAGTCCAGCTCAGTTAGAGGTGCACAGACACATGGGGACCAAGGCCAGATTCATTTCCATTCCATGGACTCACCAGCACCTTGCGTAAATCTGTGCTCAGTGCCGTGTTTTTATGAACAGCACTGTGTTGGAGATTTTCAAAAAGCCTGGAGGTATGTCGTTACTGTCTGACAGAACCGGCACTCTTTTGAGCTTCTGGTTGCATTAAAATATAAAAACAGAGCCTAGTTTCTCAGAATGTTTTTTCTTTTGGTACCTGGGATCAAACTCAGAAACTTGTGCTTGCGAGACAGGCGACAGAACCACTGAGCTAAAACCCCGGCCCTCAGAATCTGGTTTTTAAAGTGAGTAGTAATATTTCCCTCCCGAAGAACTGCTATTTTTAGATTAGACAGGGAGTCATTGTCCATGCCAGCTGGGCGCCTCTTCCATGTCCCTGTGATACTGAGTTGGCTGGGAATGGACATACACAGCCAAGAGGGTAAGAGTTTGAATTCTCTTGCAGAAACAGGCTTACCAGTTATGTGTGAGTAGGGGAAATGATGGAAAGAAAAGTGGTCAGGAGATGGAAAGATAAAGGAGACTTGTAAATGAGCATATGAGGTGGGATTTTTAGCAGTGTACAGTTTGGGAGAGAGAGCAGAGGCGCGGGAGTTGGGGACAGGACGATGGAGGGACCAATGAATTAGTGGAGGAAATCTCCACGGTCCACACACACAACACCTCTGCCGGGGTGTTCACTACAAAGATGACACTGCCCTTCACCTCAAAGCTCTTTAGTAGAAAGCCTGGTGGAAGGGCCAATCTTTTGCCTCTTAGCACCCTAGTACGGCTAACTGCTGTGGATTTGGGTGCCTGGCAGTCTTTAAATGGCTGCTCCCAGGAAAAGGTGGATTTCCTGTTCCACAGGTCACTTCTTCAGAGATGCTGACTTTTTTCTCTGGTGGAAAAGATGGCGAGGCTCACTGAACACACGTACTGAACTGCCTTTGCCGTTCCAAGTCCTCAGTGCACAGCGGCACGGCCAGGGCCTGCCTCTCTGTTAACAAGATGGGTAGTAAGGAGTGGAAACTATCAAGATGGTCCCTGAAAATCAACTGGCCATGAAAAGACTATGAATGTTCTGATCATGGATGAAGGTTCAGCAAGAGGTGAAGAAGAAAGAACAAGGGTAAGAAGAGCTTTTGTCGCTAAAATGTGTTTAGGACATTACTGGAGAAAGCATGTTGTCAGCAGCGAACGACTTTAGCACAGTGCACAAACAGATCTCTTTAAAAGTGATAATCTGTTGAAGAAAATCCTCTGGCCCCTTGTTACATTTTACACTGTATTTTTCCATTTTCATTTTATGCTATTAGCACAACTATGTGCTACTACACTATAATTTATACTAAAAATAATTTATACTATGATTTTTCTTTAAGTAGAAAGCATTGCCACTTTCAAGGAAAAGCTGAAAATGTGGTGTGGTATGCGTTCAGGTTCCAATGTAGAGACTTGCAAGCAGCGAGAGTTAGTTCTCAGCCTTAGGAATGTTCACTTTTTGCAAAGCACTGACTCTTTGGAGCTGCTTCTTATAAGGTTTTGCTTAACATGACTAATATGATTACTGTGGTTTTGTTTTATTGCTTTCTATTCACTTACCTTCGAGGCAAGTTCTCCTGGCATTTTCTTCTCCAGAAACCCCGGGACCTTTTTAATTTCTGGAAGCTCAAAGCTCCATATGTACTGCAACACCAGCAGCAGATCGGCATAGACGACCATGAAAGGGGAGCTGATCATGGCGTACTTCCTCCTGCTGCGGATCATCCACAGGGTGCAGGACCAGATGAGCAGCACGAAGGTCAGCCAGCTGTGGTAGGTGATGCTCCAGGCCTCAGGGAGGGAGGAGAGAAAAACCACCAGGGTCAGTGCGATGCGGCCTCCACTCTGGTAAGGTCAAAGTGTGCTGTGAGGAGAAGGTAAAGGAAGCTCAAAGGAGAAAGAGGACAGAGCTGTGCGGAGTCAGTGGGCCTGGCCCGAGACAGAGGACCGGAGGGCAGGCAAACTGGCGCTGCTGCGGACGGTGTGCCCGTGCGCCTTCAGACTTCTAGGACAGCCAAAGCTGAGGGGACCTGCATTCTACTCCTCTTCCCGCTAGCCCAAGCCTCTTCCCCTTCACTCTTCCAAAGTCAAGTGTAAGTGACTTTTCCCAAAACAGTCTGGAGTTATCTATGAATGACTTGTGAGTATAAGCCGTTGCCGAGCTGTGAAACAAAACACTCAGAGAATCACATGGTTAAGCGTATGATTCAGGCAGCTGAGCCACATCGGAAATGAGAGTCCACCGAGGAAGCTGTGGGTCAGGCTTCCCCACATCCAACAACAGAGGCCAGGCCCAGCCTCTGCCCAGTGAGGGCGAGTGCAAGTAGCCAGTGGGCTCTGAATGAATGGCACTTTGCTTCCTCCCCCGTTAAACTTTCAAAGACACAGACATGTTCCCTCATGGCAGCTACCAGACAACCAGCAAGTCAGGGCCACACCCGCTGTCAACTCCAGGAAACCTCCATGTGCTTCTGATACGTTTTGTGTGTGTGTGAAAAGACATTCACACGCACTTGCTAGGTATGTTTGGAGCTCACTGAAGTCAATCACACTCTTGTACATCATGAATGACCAAGAGAATTCTCAAGTCCAAAATATTTTCCTGGTCTGTTTTACTTCTGGGAGACTAGACCGGAATGAAGGTAAAGGAAGCCAGCAGAGAACAAATGAGTATCTCCTCCCAGCAATTTGGAAAAGTGTCCTGAAACACCACTCGCTTTTTAAGTGATGAGTTATTTAAAATCATTGGTTAAAAAACACTTATAGGGCCAGGGATTTAGCTCAGTGGTTTGGTGGCCTGCCTTGTAAGCGCAAGGACCTGAGTTCAATCCCTGGTACAAAAAAGAAAAAAAAACCACTTATAAACTGGACATTAAAACTGCTTTTCTTGAAATGAAGCTAGTAACAGACCTGAATGATTTTCATGAAAATATTCTTCCTTAGAAATAGTGTGTATCAAAGGTTTGGTAATGTCTAATATATAAAAAATTTAATGGATTTGTATGGAATAATGTATTTAATGCTCCCATTCCAGTGCGAAATGCAGACAAAACTTTGCCATTTTTGTGTGATCTGGGGCTGGGGCCCCTGAGAGTTTCTCTTCCCATGCTGCTCACATGTGGGAGGCTGAGGGTGGGTGCCAGGGAGAAGCAGGGGGCCAGGGCCACTAAAAAGCTCTCTGGCTTTGTCCTGGTGCCACCCGCATCCCAGCTGTGAGCCGGGGAGCAGAGTCTACACAACACTGCTTCCCATGCTGGGCTGCGGAGCTGTCTGAGAGCTAGCACCTTCCGCTTCATGTTGTAGGATCCACACATAAATCTTCCTAGCAGACTTGGCTCCGCATTGCTCAGGTTCTGTCTGTGAGGAGAAAGCCTGCTGCTGGGCACTTCCTGGCGGGCGTGGCTGCTGAATCTTTAATGTTGCAGCTCCATCAGGGCAATGGCACTGCTCCAGGCCAGGGCCAGTCTTGCAAGGACTGGTGCTTCACAACTGATTTTTTTCTACTAAATAAAAAACGTATACTCAAAGCTGTTTTCATCTTAGCTCTATTTCATTAAGGAAAAGACCACACTTACCAACGTGAGAGTGGAAAAATATGAAGTGCACACTTTCTTGAACTCAGAATCAGAACTGCACATCACCTTTATTTTTATATATTTATTTGGTACCAGGGATCGAACTTGGGTCCTTGTGCTTGTGAGGGAGGTGGCAGAACTACTGAGCTAAATCCCCAGCCCCCTGCACATTGCCTTTATTACGCTAAGTTATTAACATTTAACCATCAGAGATTTGTGGCCATTTTGGAGGAGGAACATGGAAATGTCAGACATTCATTAAAGTGCCAGAATGAATTCCATTTGAAGACTGCAACTGGCCACCTCAGAGGAGCGCCTTGCATTTCTAGGCAGTTCTGACTCCTCTCAGAAAAGGCAGGAGTCCTGACGGGAGCTGGTGCTGGGCTAGCAGTTTTATCCAGGAAGCAGATGGACTGAGGACATTGTGCAACTGTGTTTAGGGAATTTCTCCCTAAAGATATAAAATATTTTCATTTTTTTATCATCAAGGTGTCCACAGAATCTCGCCACTGACACAGAATTTGGAAGAGGTATATTTTAAATAAGAATTTTGATTTCCCAAAACTGAATCAGGTGTCCTGAGAAATTTTTTTTTAGGATGGAGAGAGATTAGAGCTTTTTTTTTTTTGGTACCAGATTGAGCTCAGGACCTTGTGCTTGTAAGGCAGGTGGCAAAACCACTGAGCTAAATTCCTGGCCCAGATTAGAGCTTTTTAATCTCTGTTCCTGGAGCTGTGATGTGGAGGTGGGAAGGCAGAGGCAGGCAGGACCTGGGAGCTCCAGGCTGAAAGCAACTTATGGGCATCGAGGTGGCCGTGTCCCAGACAAGACATGTTGGCCACACCCACTGTCGCAGTGTGGCTAACCTTGAATTCCTTCAATATCATCTAGAAAAGCTGCCCAACATGTCTTCAAAGTTGGCAAAATAGGGGACAGTTGGATTTCATAAGCAAGTTCGAGATACAAGTATTAATGTTAAAAAGAGGCCAGCAGAGTCGGAGAGGAGATGGTTTTGCAGCCTACAGTACAATACCCCATGAAAAACCAGCACGGCCGACCGGTCAGCCAAGGCCTTGGGATGCCAGGCCCCCATGCTGGCCTGAAGCAGGGCACCCTGGATACAGCACCCAGCCTGGCGGTAGCCCGGTACCTACCATCATGGAAATGAGGGCACAGATGTAGCTCTGCTTCATGATGAACTGGAACACGGACACCATGGCATGGACTTTAATGCTTCTCTTGTCTTCCTGGCTCCCTTCCTCTTCAAATTCTTCCTTCCCATACTCCTCATCCTCTTTCTTTTCTAGACAGCCAGAGGGGTCATGTAACTACCATGCAGACAGCTGACATTCATGGACACATCCCAAGTACTGCAGCTCAGGCGAGGTTTGGGCAGGACCTTTAGTTCAGACTTTGGGAATTATTTCTAATTAATAAAACCCCTAGAATTCAAAAGGAATCCATAGGTCCTGGGTGGTCAAGTGTATGGTACGCAGCTCCGGAAAGTGCAGGAGGAAAACCTCCATGGGAGAGGAAGTGGAGAGTGCCCGAGGGGAGCCCGGAAGTTCAGCCTCTTGGTACTCAGGCCCTGGGTGCACTGGGCTTCATACCCACAGACTGCTCCCCAGGAAATGAGACCAAGCGCCACCCCCAGGTTCTGCTGTAAGAGACGATGGCTTCTGCCATGGACACCTTCTGTTACCTGTCCCTGAGACTGTGGCTGCTGGGTTGTAACTGCTCAGCAGCTCTACCTGGTGCAGGAGCTGAGGTCTCCCACCCACCAGCTTCCAGCAGACAGGGCGGGTGAGGGTTTGATGCCAGCTCATGAGGGACCTCAAGGCGGGGCCCAGCTGGTCACACCTGGGTTCCTGCCCCAGAGAGATGTGAGTCACCAGGTAAAATGTCCTCCTGTCTTTCTTGTTCAAATTAAGGGGGCTGCACAGAAAGAGTCACAGCTGGGCGTGTGCTAGCACTCTGAAGAGAAAGAATAAACCACAGAAAAGCCAAAGACCACCTCTTGCCACCCCAAGCAGGGCAGGGGGTTCTGTATCTCATCCTCCAGCACCAGGACCCCAGCCTGGCAGTGCCCTATGGCTCTGCTTGCAATGCTTCTGTGTCTGAAGTCTTTCTCTCTTTCTTCCTCTCTCTCTCCATTCATTGTTTCTAGAAAGGGTCTCACTATGCAGTTCAGGCTGGCCTTGAACTATGTAGCCCACGCAGGCCTCAAACTTGTGGTGAACTTTGTCCTGCCTCAGCCTCCCAAGTGCTGGGATTACAGGGGTGCATCATGACTCCCAGCCTCTCCTGTGTCTGTAGAGTGAGTATCAAAACAACTTTTCAGATTTCGCTTTACATCTGAAAGCTCAGTTTATGGTGTGAGTGTGCTTGGGTGGCCTTGGCAGTGGGCAAAAGGCCATGTGTTCTCATTCAGGAAGCAAAAAGAAGGGGTCTCGGCTGTGACCTGTGTCCCTGGCCTGGCTCCTACCCCAGTGCACCCTTGAGACTGCGTCTGTGGCTCTGGACCGAGGCTCTGAGTGGTAACTTGGGAGCATCCAGACCCTGAACTCTGCCACAGGTGATCTGGAGCCTAAATTGCCTGCTCGTGGACCACAGAAGTGGCAAACCAGTGGCTCCCAGCACAGCGCATGGGAGCCATGGGAGCTGGTGTACGTGTGCGTGTGCGCATATGTGTGTGCAGGGCAGGCTGACACTGATCCAACCTCAGAGAAAACGCGGGTGAGTGTGACCTGATGGACCCGCTGTGCTGCCAGGTAGCGGTGGCTGCACTGTGAGGGCAGTGGCAGGAAGTACGGAGAAGAATCAGGCAGAACCGGACGTCAGGACGGGCTGGGAGGGTGATGCCAAAAGGTCTCCTGGGACGCTACTGTGCCCGGGTGCAGGTGAGGGCCCTGCCTTCTCTTGGGCTGCTCTGCCGCCCCTGGCTCGTGTTCCACTCTCCCTTTCCTCCTTGTTCAACTGATTCTTTCTCCATGAACTGTGGGCCGTGGGGTTGGGGAAAGGCAGCAGCGGCTGAGTCCACCAGTGCCTGCAAGGCTGAGCGGCTGGTGCTGCCCATGTCCACCCTCTCCAAGCCACTCCAGAATTTCTGTTTCTAGGTCAGGGCTGCAGCCTTTAAGATGCTGGTCACTAGATTTTTGTTCAAAGGACACTGAAAACAAATCCGTGGTAAGAGCTCGATCCCAGGGCACCAATTTATCACCCGAAGAGCTTTCTGCAGACACAGTAAAAGGAGAGACAGTGCAACATCTGACCTGGCCCTCAGTCCTGGGACCCCAGGGACTCACTGGGTCTGGGCAAATGTCCCCCACTGGGCCAGGCCTCCTGAACGGGCAAGAAGGACTCATTCTTACAACAGCCATAAACCATCCAAAGAAGCAGCGACTATCGCCGCAATACCAATGATAGGCCAACATACAGATAGAGACCTAGGTCTCTACAGACACACGCACACACACACACATGTCCATGTAGGTTTCATGCTATTAAGTGCACACATTTGAATTTGTTTTGTTTTGTTGAGGCAGGGACTTGCTATGTAGTCCAGGCTGGCCTTGAACTCACTGTGTATCCTAGGCTGGACTTGAATTTGCAGCAATGCTCCTGCCTCAGCCTCCAGAGTGAGAGGATTACAATGTGCACCACCATGCCCAGCTAAAACATTTTGTTTTCCTAAGTTTGACCCATCTGGCCACTTGTTTTGCAGATAAGAATGGAACACAAACAGCAACAGGCTGGTGCCACTCGGAGCCAGTGCTCAGAGACGCTGAGCAGGAAGGTGAGGTGCCTGTTGAAAAGTAATGAGGCAAACGGAACAAACAGCGAAGGAAAGATGAGGGGGCCAGGATCACGACTGTGGCCCCAGGGCCTGGGCTCCTCACCGGTGGACCCCTCCGAAGGCTCCCATCGGTAGCGGGGTGTGGAGTACAGGTCGGCTTTGGCAGGGCCGTTCTCCAGGGGCAGGCTCGGATGGATGGTATGGTAGTCCACAGGGTTGCCGTTCACCGTCACCAGCAGGCCCTGTGGTGGGGTGGAAGAGGACAGCTGGGTACGGCTCTGGGCATCTGTGGGCACCGCCCCTACACCATGCGCCATTCCACAGCCAGCAGCCAAAGGGAAGCGGACTGCCAACTATGCAAACACTCCTGCAAGGTGAATGTGTGCAGTCCCTCTCCAAACCCTGTCTACACAGAGTGGCGGCAGCACAGGCAAACCACTCAGCATCCCCAGGCAAGGCCCACAGAGGCACAGCCCGGGCTTGTACTGCTCTGAGGCCCTGCAGACCCTCCTGCACCCACCCGTCCTACCCTACACTGCCCAGGACTCTGCAGAGGGCTTAGATCTCAGCCTGGGTGCCCTCCAGGATCCATGCCCACCACCGAGGCTGCGCACTGCCTCGGTCTTATCACTGCCAGGCTAAGCACATATGTGTACATGCATGTGTGTATTCATGAGTATGCGCGGCTGCTCCTGTAAATTATGCTGCTCAGCACAGCTGTAGCACAAAATGCTTAAACCACAGCCCCAGAGAAAGACAAGGCTTTTTGGAGGTTTAAATACACTTTGTGTAGTTATACACAAGGTCACAGTGTGAGTCAGCCTTTGTAACAGCAATAAAACAGATATCATTTCTGCAAAAAATAACCGAAAAGCTTATACGTCCTTAAGCAGACTCAGAGGCGCTCACCCCATTTGTAACTTTCAAGTGACTTACGCAAGCATAAATGGTAATTCTAAGGGTATACTAACATCAGATGGCTTGTAGTCATCTTGGGTCATGGATAAAAGCTGCAAAAAGCAATGCAGGACAGCACGTTATGAGGAGCCGAAAGCGCGATGACACTTACACACCATCTATGAAGTTCTCGCGCGCAGACCTGCACTCCTAGCTGGAGGGGCAGTCGTTAGTACTGCCATGCAGAATTAAGTTAAGTGACAGGGGACTGAGCTGTTTGACGCCAGTTACTGTGGCCACTTCCATGTTTAGTTAGTTTTCATCATGAGAGCAACTACACAACCACAGAAGTTGCTATCTTTTTAGGTGCTCTCTTTTAATGAAATAAGGTGCTTGGTTTTATGCTGCTAAAATCCTTAGAAAAAGCTACACAATTTTCAAAGTATTTCCTCTTCAAGAAAAGCTTCTTAAAAAAAAAAAAAAACAACCAAACACTGATTGTACTGAAGTTTGAGACTATTTAAGATTTGCATGTTACCCACAACAAAATAATTATTATATGATCATGCTTTTAAGCTAATTGGTGCCAAATGTTTGGGCTTTCCTAGAATAATTATTAGCACAGCAAATGGGTCTGCAACTCTCTGGAGTCTGGACTTGGTTAAATTCTTAGAAGCCCCAGAGAACCGTTGAGGGTGTGGACTCGATCTACCAGTATCTGCCACTTCAGAAACTCCAAGAGAGGTGTTCAACAATCAGTTACTTAGGAGGTCGTTAAAAACCCACTGTGTAACGTGAATAAATGATTGAGATGTCCACGTCTTCAAAGAGAACCGAATACTGGGGCGGGTGCCGCTGCCTGCTCCTGTGTGGTCTTTTAATGCCTGGCTGGTCTGCCAGGGGAAGTTGCTCTGGCTGAGTCCTGCAGAGGGCCTGGCCAGCAGGGGCCTGAGGCTGGAAGAAGAGGGTATGTGAGTCCCTCCTGGCATTACAGCCTTTCCGGGGATGCCCCGGCCGCAGCTGTGGGGAGCCAGTCTGAGTCAGAGGCACAAGCTGCATAAGGCAGCACGGGAGTGCGCTGCTGAGAGATAGACAACCCTGGACCCGGAGCCACACAGCGCCACCACATCTGCTCGCCCCATGGTCCAAGTGCATCTCTAACTGGCACCATCCCGCCTGGCAACCGGCCAAGTGCCCAGACCTGAAGGACCATGCTCTGCCCCCTCCGTCCTGCAGCTAAACGTGGTGCATATGGGGACACGGGGTCGGATGCTCACTGGGACCCAGGGCAGACATCCTGTATGGCCTGCCGCTCACACAGAATAGTAAAAAGATGTGCGCATCAAGGTGGGGATCCCAGACAGGAACGTAGGCCTCGGTGAATGCTGAGACGCATGCTCACAGGTGCGCTGCTAGGGAGCACGCGTGCATCCCAAGGTGAGATTGCCCAGGCTCAGGGCAGGTTCTGCCACACACCTGGCCATGCCTGATACAGCACGGCACTGTGGTCGGCACTGCACGCGCTTGTGACACAGCAACGGCAGGGAGTACGTTGGGAAATGAGGTCTCATGGCAAGCGTGGTGCCCCTGTACAGGCCCTGGCCCTGTGGGGGGCTGTGGAGATGGGAGCGGCTGGGTGAGCAGGGAGAGGGGTGGCAGCCGTGGCAGACTGAGCTCCTGCAGACCCTGGGGCGCCGTCCATTTGTGCTACATGACACGTTTGTCTGCCAGTGTCGCCACCAACACGGGAGGACTGCACAGGGCCATGGTGCCCCACGCCGGGAGGTGGGCACTTCCAGGTCATTCTAGTCCTGCAGGGCAGCGGCCTCCGTGTGCACGCATGGACCAGAACATCGCCACGAGGTGGGGCTGTGGCTCTCGCCAGCTGCGGAGGGTTGTTTTTCTCAAGTAACATTGGCTGTCCTGCTCCGCTCTGCTGTGTACTCTTGGCTGCAAAGTGCTCGGCCTAAAGCCCTCTCTACGGGGCGAACTGGGGATCAGCTGTGATCATGAGCACCCAACAGGCCTTAGGGTCCCCGGAAATCCCAGGCCTCACCAGAAACATAGTGGCCAAAGCCTCTCACTGTCTGCCATCTGGAGCCAGGTGCTAGGTGAGGCAGCAGTGACCCCAGGACCCCAGACTCCCCGACAGCTCAGAACATCTGTCCCCGCCCACAGCACTGTCCCCAGCTGCCAGCCGAGTCTGAGGGGCTGCTCCTCCACAAGCTGGCATGGGGCAACCAGGGACCTGCCAAGAGTGTAATAGCATTTGCCTCCTCAGTGTGGCCATGCTCAGGGGTCCACACTGCTCTGACAGAAGGGACGCTGAAAGGTAAACACATGTCCATGGATTGTGAGGCGCATACAATGCACCACCAGCGGCTGGCCACTCCGCAGAGGATGTCCGCACACCGCTTCCTTGTTTACGTATATTTTAAATGTAGAAGTTTAAAAAAAAAGAAATGGAGAACGTCCCTCTAGGACATGAGTGGTGTCCTCCCAGGCTGGGGCGTGGCTTTCCTCTGGAAGCACTGGGCCCTTCTGCAGAGCGCCCCACACTGAGCCTGCTCAGCCCACCCTCTGCACAACCCAGAGCGGCCCGTGCTGACCCTGCCGGCTGAGGCCCCTCTGCAGAAGCAAGTGTTAGCTCACCTTCCTCTCATCGACAGGGTAGTGGGCCGTGTACCACAAGCTCCGTCGCCGCTCTGCCGAGGGCTGGTTGGGGCTGTCACCCAGGGCACGGTCCTCGTCCTTGGCCATCTCGTCTGGCACCTGAACACAGAGTCACAGCCACTGCTCTGCCTCCCGGAGCAGCCTGGGCAGGTGGGGGCCACCTACGCCTCTGATCATTTTCAAAGCTAATGTGTTCTCTCCACAGGATGTGACAGACAGTCAGAGTAACAAAAACGCTGTCTTTGGGTTCATACAGACAAGGATGTGAAATGTTGCTGTTTCCTGAAAAGCCCCAGACCGCCTCAGTGTGCACTTAGGGGAATGGCCCAGCTGCCCAGAGTGTGCTCTGTGCCCAGCTCGGAGCTTAGGCAAGCCCTGCCAACCACGTTAGGGCGCCTCCCGCCAGCTGGACAGCAGAGGGAGCAGACGGAGGGTACAGGTGACTGCGAGCTCGACACCTTCCCAGCTGAGAGGCCCCCATGGGACAGGCACCAATGTGCCGCTGGTAGACGGGAGAGGACTGGGGCTTACTGCCCACCCCTGGGTTCTGCGAGCCAGGGCAGAATGTCTACAGGAAGTGCTCCTGGTTCCCAGGTAGGGTGCCAGGTGGGGCCCTGTGCAGACGTTCCCGAGTTACCATGGCTCATTTTGCCAGTGTGGGGACACACGTACAGCAGGGGCAGCACTTTCCCTGCTCCCCGATCTGGTGGTGACAATGAGTGCTGTCCCATCACTCTGCTGGGCGCCTCCGGGGCCAGGCCCCAGAGTAGACAGCAGAGAGACACCCAGGGCTCGAAGAAAAGGGCTTTGCCTGACCCCATCTAACCCCTGTGGTTAGAGCCTGTGATCTGAGGCTGGTTAGAGCTGCCCAGGGCCACCTCGTCATCTTTACTGAATCTTGACTTAACAGCATTCTCAGCTCCTGACGGCTTGTTGGGAGGTGACCCCACCGCAAGTGCAGGAGCATCGGTAGGACGTGACCCCTCGACAGCTGCTGCTCTGTCTTCCAACCTGATGGATCTTCACCTCCACTCCCACTGCCAGCAGCTGGCATTTTTCATGGAATGTGCCAGGTCCCTTGCAGTGTGACTCGGTCAGTGTTCTGCCTCTTGACACTGCCTTACCAGGAATGTCTCCTGCCCCTGCCCCTGCCCACTTATGAGGTGGACCCCCAGGTGTGGACACTGGGCCTCAAGGCCAGCGGTGCTGCTCCTGCCTGGGTGCCCAGCCCTGTCCCTGCCTCCCCTCGCTTCCCAGACAGCTCATTGCCGAGACCACAGAATATGGTGGGGCCTGGAGGGACAGCGAGACCACGTGGTCCCACGGGAAATCCACAGGCAGGGCCCTCCTACAGCTGCAGCGCCCACATCTCTAAGGGTAAGGGACAGTTCCCACATACATTTTAATTTCTTATGTACACCATTTTATGGACATATACATATTCATATGTACAATGAATGCTAAAATGTGTGGTGGATGCTTAAATTTTGAAAAAAATTATTACAGTAAAAAGTTGTTACACTGCCATTAACGTCCGTCAAAATACCCTCTCTCTCTTGGAATACACTTGTCCCGTTGTTCTTGCACCTTTCTGAAACAGTTCTGGAGTTCTTTTCTTGTGAGTCTATACAAGGTGTGATTAAAAAATGACAGCGAACCCCACTGCTGACTACCCTCCAACAGATGGTAAACGCACGACATGGATATGTGGTGCTGTGTCCTCATCCACCTTTTTCAGCAGATGTGATGTGGCACCACGTGACTTTCGGTTCTTCCCCAAGTTCAGAATGGCCATGAAAAGGAAACGCTTTGAATCCATTCAGGACATGAGGCATCCAGGACAGTGCAGCTAAAGACATTCACAAAGGAAGACTCCAGAGCTGAAGAAAGTGGCCAGGATGGTGGGACAGTGTGTTCAGAGAAAGGGGGAGAATTCTGAGGGGGATCTGTGGCAATGTGTCTTTTACTGTAGTGCTTTTTAGAAATTCACATGTTCACTGTATTTTTAAGTCCCACGTCATATGTTAGTGAAGGGAGTAAAACATAATGACATTTTACAGGGTTTTCTGGCGTAGTCCCATTTCATAAGGGAGCTGGAGAAATGTGACACCAGATGGTGGGGACCCCTTCCGACCTTACAGAGGAGCTGCACTGGTGTGAGCATCCCCCAGGGCTCAGCAGGAAGACACGCTGAGCACCCTGCTAACACTCCTATGCATGGCAGCGTCCTCATACACGACCCCAGGATGGGCCACAGTTGCCACACAGGCAGGAAGACAGACACACGGTGCCTCTGCCAGGGTGGGACAGAGACGTGCACCTCACCTACCCTCCCACACAACTCTGTCGGGTGTCTCCGACTTGCCCCAGACCGTTTCCCCGAGGAAGGGTGGGTCCTGCCTGTTGTGGGCATGTTCACCTGGCCTTGCACAAGCATCTGCTGGCTGACTGATGGGCTGTGTATGTGGCTCTGTCACGGTCGGTGGGTGTGAGGACATGAGAGAGCAAGGAGGGAAACTGCTCCAGGCCTAGACATGAGTGAGGAAGGGGAAAATAAACCACAGGCCTTGCTCAGCCAGGCTCAGAGTGGCGTCTGTCATGAGTAGTGCCCCCTGCCGGTGGTGAGCAAGGCAGCTCTGACCCAACCCTACCTGGAAGCTGAGTTCCTCACAGTCAAGGAGACGCAAGAGGACCCAAGAGAGGCCTCACACTCTGTGCTCCCGCAGAGGCATGGGGCTCCTAGTGCTTCCACAGGGGACAACCTTGTCCCCACCCGAGGGCCCTCCCACCATGCGGGCTGCAGGCACTAAGGCTCTTAGGCTGGGGCAGGCCTGGGAATGCCCACCACAACGGAGAAAGGGGCGGCGGGGTCCTCGCCACCTTAGTTGTTTGACATGAGCTGGATACTGATTTACACCCATCAGTAAGTTTATGATTTCAGAAAAATGGGCTTCTGTAACTTCATTTTCCTCAACTGTGACATGGAAATGATTCTCACTCTTCAGGGGGATTTAGGGGTCGAGTGAGATGAAGTCTGTAAACAGCCTACTGTGTGACCTGCACTTAGTAAATGCTCAGTAAAAACGAAACCTCAGCCCCCTTCCCTGCTAGTGACTCGTGGTGGCCCTGAGTGGCACCCGCAAAGGAAGCCGGCTCTCACCCTGACCAGATTCTGCCTTCCTCACCCTCGGCAGCATCAGGCACCATGATCAGGCAGTGACTGATGCAGGAGCACCTTGGGTCAGCAGGGAGGCAGGAGGAACAGCCTCTCCCTGGAAGACCCCGGCTGCTCCGCAGACAAGAGCAGGGGGACCCTGGACCCTTACGAGGGGCTCCTGGAGCCAGATGCGGATCAGTGTGGCCAGCGTGTAGTACATGACCAGCAGCAGGATGGGGCTGGCGTGGTGGTACCAGGACAGGTCTGGGTTGACGATGATCTTCCAAGTACTGGAACAGTCGGTTTGGATCACTGACTTGATACCGAACAACCTGTGCAAAAACAAAGAAAATGGCTTGAGCCGTCTGTAACAGTGGTTGCCCTAGGTGCGTAAGTGCAGCATGGCATAATGCATGCAGGCCCGTGTGATGTGCATACGTCCCACACACTCTGAAAACACGTGTGCATAATGTATAGAGTGATGCCAACATCAGAGTGATGATCTTCACACTGGCTCAAAAATCTAGCTAACGTAAAATCTTCACACCCCTTTTAGAAACGTGCATTTTAATTGTCAATCAGCCCTATTAAAACCCTGCATTATTGAAATTCCAAGTATGTGGTAACATGTTACCAGGTCCAACTAAATGAGCAAATATTTTGTTTCTGGCTGGACTTAGCATGAGCTATTTAGCTAGTGTTGATATTATGGGGCAAATATTGAAATTGGACATAGTTCTGTAGTTTGGCTGTAAAAGTCAAATACTAAGCAGAATTTTTGTAAGATACATTTCTGTCAAATTTCATTTATAGGAAATTTGATTTTTTCAAAGTTTTGTAATTAATTACTTTGAAAGACAACTTTACAAAGCTTGTTAAATTTTGAAATGGTTTATTTTTTGATGCTGCTTTCTAGTATAAATCAGAATGCTTCTGATTATATAGTGAGGAAATGTATGACTTATTTAGAAATTCATATGGATGTGCAGTTTTTAAAGACAAGATGCTACTAAATGAAACTTTTATGTGCTAAATGCATTCCATACCTTTCTACTGTTTGCATCTTCTATACATGAACTTCCTTTGTTTTTATTTTTATTTATTTTTTTGGCACCACAGATCAAACTCAGGTCCCGGCATTTGTGAGGCAGGCAGCAGAAACTTCCTTTAATTTTTATCCCACGTTTTATATTCAGTTGTAAGATGTCAAGGATGGTGTGGTTTCCTCCATAAAACCTGTCAACATTCTAACTGTTCTCTATCACAAAGCAAACGCAGTGATACCACACAAATTTTAAAGCTACAGAGAAATTTAACTTGCTTCAATTATACTAGAAAGAAACAACATACTAGAACTTGTTTTTATTATAGGACTTTTTCCTTAAGTCCAGGAGGACTTTTTGTAGTTAGCATCTGAAAGAAAAAAGTACAGAAATATCACACTGAATCTCATTAATATATACAATTAAAACATGTTAATCTTAAGCAAAATAAAATATATAAAGAAAAATTCTTTAATACAAAAGAATCTACTCAGAGTAGTGGAATTTTCTGAACATGTTTTTTACAGCCCTATATTGAAATGTAATTTCTTGCAGAAAGGACACAGAATGAAAAAAGCTCTTAGATTTAAAATCGGATGGGCTTTTAGGTTAATATAAGTGGTCGGTTCTAGTTTCCAAGTCCTCACACCTGGCACCTCAGCTAGAAATGACCTCATCCAGCTGCAGTTTCCAAGTACCTGCTTTGCCCATCGGTACTTGAACGGTAATTTTCCACAGCTGTTTGTGGCCCGATCTCTACAGCCTGTGAAGGACTTCACGAGACCTCTGCGCTCCACACTTTCTCCACGGGGCCTTGACTCCTCCCAGTGGACTGTGCATGCATCCACACGCACACGTGTAAGGGCAGCTGTTGCGGCACCAGGTGTGGGATCTCACAAACATGTGTAGAAGCTACACAGCGCACACCCGCTGTCCCCACAAGGAATGTCCTCTATGGAGAAAGTGGACACTATAAGGCAAGGGTCCCCCTGGCCGGCTCTCACCCTGACCAAGCGGGGAGGGAGGCAGCTGCCCACCTCAGGGGCTCCCCGTCAGCAGACCCCACCAAACTCACGTCGAAAGTGTCTGGAAAGACATCTGCATCTACATTTCTGCACGTGTGCCAACGCGTTTGCTCATTATTCCCGAAAGAATACAGCCCATTATCTCCACTGCAGCGGGAGTGCGGGTCACGCACATCCTCTGCGTCTTAGACAAAGGGCCTGGGGGATCTGTGGGGCCCTGGAGCCTGTGCGTCTGTGTGTCAGCGAGTCAGTCAAGTGATGACCTTGACTTGCCCACAGCAGCGGGACCGAGGCCATGCGTGGTCCACCCTCTCCCTTTGCTGCATCCCGAACGTCCCTGGTTCATGTGGAGCCCGGTTCGCCTCATTCCCCTGAGAGTGTGTGGGTGTTTGTTAAGTGACTGCTGTCTTGGGTGGACACTTGCAAGGGAAGTCTGACGGCACTGGGGCTGGGGTGATATCTGGACACTGAAGGACATTTTTGGGACAATTGTACCCTAAACATGAAAGGTCTCCCAAAGCCACAAGAAGGAGGGGTGTAGCCCTACCTAGTCCTGGGCCACGCAGATGCAAGGAGCAGCACAGGGAGGCTTCTGACTTTCTGAAATCTCCACACTGTACGTCCAACCCCAAATGGTGAGCCCATCGCCTTCCAAACACTGGAGACCTCAGAGGGACACCTTAGATCTAAACCACAGCATCCTGCCCATGGCCACCAAAAAGCTCCTGTCCATCTGTATGCAAAGTGCATTTAGTCTCTCTCTGAGAGCCACCAACATCTTAGGCCTAGCAGGGCTTCAACTCTGACTCTCAGGACTGCAGCCTTCTGTTCCAACTGCACCTCCAATCGCCTCTCTCTTCCAACACCCTTGTGTTTTCCATCCTGCTCAGCCAGGGAGCTGGCTGTGGCCCAGGAGTGCACGATTCTGTTACGGCCACAGCCTGTCCTCAGAACTGCATGCTCATTTATGACACTCCTTTGTGCGGTGAGCAGTTTCTTCACTCCTTACAGCTAATGTACACCAGCAGCCTGAAACTGGTCCCCAGCCTCTTCCTGTGGCTTCATCCTGTCCCTCTGTGCTGCTGTTGGACAGGTGTGATGTGGTGACATCTGCCTGCTAGGCTGCCAACCCATCCACAACTACTCCTGGAGTCACCTTGCCCAACTCTGGATTGAGGCACTCAATTGAACTGAACACATGAGACTCAGTTACACCCACAAGTCAGTCAGGGCGGGAGTAGGAACTAAGGGATGGTAAAGTCCCTGCTTTTAAAAAAGGAAGGGAGGTAGAAGGAGCTGTCGGGGATGCAGACACACAGGGTCCCCAAGAACTTCTGGGAGACACTACTGTTGCTTGGAGCCCAGCACCCGTGGCTTTAGGTAATCAGCTTGGACATTAAGAAGAGGACGGGCATAACAGGAGTTCATCTGGGTCATTTACAGCGGATATTTCTTCTGTTCTCTACCAGCTGTTCATGAGAATCTTGAAAGTTACCCTGTGAATGAACCAATCAGCAAGTGTGGGTGGCCAAAGACACTGTCTCACTCTGAGAATCCAAGTGGTGTGGCTTGGATGTGGTCTGGCCCCGAGAGGCTCCTGCGGTGACTGCGGGTGGTAGACCTGAGAGGAAGAGCCCACTGGGAATCCTTGGGTGTGAGCTCTCGAGGGCCATGGACGCTGTTCCCCCAGCTCCCTGCGGGGAGGTGAGCCCGCCTGCCCTACACCCCCTGAATCCTCCCCATGCCCTCACTGCACACTGCCCTCTACTCTCCAGGACTGTGCACAAACAAACCCTTTTCTTCATAAACTTAGCCTGAGTCAAATTTTTCGTATAGCAATGAAAAGCTAACACATCAGGTTTATGATTAGGAAACAATAAGAGATCTCAAATCCAACAGAAACAAAACAGGAGCCAACCTGGGTGACTCCTCTCAGATCCTGTGACAGCACTGTGTGCGGGTTATGTATGAAATGCACTCCCTATGCTGAGCGGAGGCAGCCAACCAAAGGACTCGCTGAGCCTCCTTTGCCCAGGCCCACACACCTGCAGCTGCCTCTTGGGGCTCTGTGGGCCTCCACAGGCTCATAGCAGACGCCTCTCCAGCCTGTAGAGCTCTCTCTGCCCCTTTCTGTCCCACTCTGGAGCACTCACGGCATCTGACCATACGTGGCCATCGTGACTTGGCAGGACACTGGCTTCCACGTGCACACAATGGCAGATTTATAAAGTGCCCACCTGCTTCAGGTCACACCTGCTCGGTGTCTAGTAACAGGAACTGCCACGTGTGGAGATACGTAATGCTGAGGCTGTGAGACTGACGCCGCACTCTAAACAAATTTCACTGTGGGGAGACATGCAGTACACAAAACTGACCGTTTCGGGCGCAGCCCAGTGGTGCTAACTCTGCTGATACTGTACAAACACATCCACAGCATCTCATTCTTGCAAAGTAGAAACCCTGGGTTCACAAACTGTTCCCCCTTCTCTTCTCTTGCCAGTTCCTGGGAGCTGCTGGTCTACTCTTGCCTGGATTTTTCTCCTGGGCGCCCTGTAGAGCTGGACTCCCAGGGCACTGGTCTCTGGGGCTGACTCACTGTGCCGGGCACGGTGCTCAAGGTCGAGCTGTGTGGTAGTGCGGGTCAGAGTCCATCTCACCGGAGGCTCAGCTCCTGTGCCACCGTACGCGTAACCCACACTGTGTTCATCCACTCACCCAGCAACGGGAACTTCCACCTCTCACCCTTGTGAACGACGCTGTGATGACACAGGGTAAACGTCCCTTCCAGATCTTGCTTTGGGTTCTTTAGGGTGTACAACCCGGAGTGGAGCTGCTGGACCACACAGCCACGCCACTCTTACTGGATTGGGAACCGCAGTGTCCTCTCACGTTCCCTTCGGCCGCCCCACCCGCCGACGCTGCTCACGCTGAGCTTCTGGAGGATAAGCATTCTGGGAGTGTGAGAGGACAGCCAGCTCTTCTCGTTCAGCCTTTTCTTCCGAAGAGCCCCGGAGTTGGTGAGGGGCTCTCACAGGGAGGTCGATCTGTAAGGAACTGAGCGCTAGGGAGTGGGATGGGTGCGTGTGTGGCTAGGCTGATACACGGCGAAGCCAAGAAATGGGTTCCTCTCAACCGACGAAAAATGGCTACAACATTCCGGGAAAACAATCCTCCAAAGGAAGCATTTCCAATAACCTCTTTTTAACCGAATGGATCTCCACGGCTTTTAACCAAAAGGGAAGGGAAGCAGCACAGTGCAGGAGG